GTTTTCTCCGTGTCATCCCCTTTCGTCTGCCGTGTTTCGACTAAACAAGTGGCTTTATCATTTGATATGACATTCCTGTGTTGCTGACGACAGCTTGCATCCCTGTCAATCATTGGCCGGGTTTCAACGTATTTGACGCCCACTCAAATGGCCATGCCAAGATGTTGCCCGGGTTTGACAAACCCCAGTTGTAGAACAACACTAGCAGCCAATGTACCCTTTTGAGATCATCGTGCCAATACGGTACTCCCGGCCGGGCTGACCCTGCACTTAGCAAGTCGTTGACTCATCCTACTCCACTGTTCCCCCGAGCATGGCCGATTGTTGGCTCGGATGAGCGGTTCCATTCCCCGAGGCTGATAGAACTCGGGGCTCTGTTTCCAAGTTGGGGAAGCAGCTTTAACCTGATGCACGTTCCTTCGACCCTGAATGAGATAAGGTTCGATTGGTCCATCTACTTTGCAATACTCCGTACTCCGTACTCCATCCCTATCGCTACAATTGCGAGCAGACAAATGAAGGTAGCAAAATCGTGCCTGGAAATCGGTCCTAGGGCCTAAAAGAGCGCGCAAAATCCCTTTGGGCAAAGAGCGTCTCATTTGAGGTCTTAGCCAAACACTTTATTGCCTTTACTGAAATCTTCGTTGGCCGTTCTTTTGTTGGAAGAGCGGTGTTTCCAGTTATCTGAATCGCATACGTATGTTTGCCGACTTCTGATTGATCTTCTTATTGCAAATACGCCAAATTTGAGCATCTTTATCTTAGCATCATATGCTCTAGCCTTCATGGCAAGACATATCCACCATCGATAAGTACATCACTTCCGGTCATGAAGGTAGATGCATCACTGGCGAGGTACAGATACAATCCCTTGACTTCCTTCACGTGGCCTTGCCTTCCAAGTGATGACATGCGATATGCCTCCTGGAGGGCCTCGGGGCCGGCCCCCATCTTTGTATCGAAGAAACCTGGCGAGACGATGTTGACTCGTGCAAAATCCCGCCACTCACGGGCAAGTGATTTTCCAAAGTGAGTGACGTACGCTTTGGTTGCATTGTAGACAGGCTGATCAGTAGGAACGTTGACAATGTGTGCGCTCATGCTCGAGGTAATGATGAGGTTGCCATGTCCTTGCCGTGCGAAAACCTCACCAGCATATTTAGCACAATACACAATGCCGTCAACTAGTTTTGGTCAATCCCACGATCCAATGTCTCGTCAAAGGAACGAATGTCATACCATTCACGGACATCTGCTTCCGGTACTCTTCTAGAGTCTGTTCCAAGATAGGCTTCGAGATTGCCATGCCTTCTCCGAATCAGCTGTCTGCTATCAATTAAAATGGCCACGAGAAACTAACCTGCATTGGCTATGAACACATCAATCTTGCCGAAGTCTGTCACAACTTTTGTGATCGTCTCTGATACCTGGATGGACTCCGAAACTGCAGATTTAAGCTTAGCATTCTGGCATCTTCTTTGTGTGCATGGAGCTCCAACTGTCCGCTTACCATCAACCTTGTAAGCAGAAGCCTGTATGCCATGTTCCCTTGCCAGGACCTGGGCTTTTTCAACAGCGACGTCATTTCTGTGAATACGGTTAACCGGTTCTACGTAAGACAAATATTGAAGAAGGGAAAACATACGAATTATACCACAGGGCAACATGAGCGCCAGCTTCGGCCATAGACTGTACTATCGCATAGCCAAGCCCATCGGCAGCTCCCGTAACAACCACCACCTTTCCGTTCATTTTAAACTGCTCCAAAACATTTGAAGGCGAATCCGGGAATGGACGAGGGAAGCCCTCCCGGGGTTGAGCGCAGTCTTTAATGTTCATAGACATCTTATATTTTGTGCAGTGGTTGAGGTTGGAAAGATTGATGGGACAACCCCTCTTTGTTCAGCATCCAATGTGGTGTCCCCATTGACCCACTGTCGGTGCCGTGTTGGCCGAGACGATCTAGAGCCCAGCATTCTCGTGTGCCTTCGTGACCTCAATATCCCAATTACTCTCCTGCTTCAAATCAAGTCACAGAAATCGGAGAGCTGGTTGAAGACCTCCATCGGGAACTAGGAATCTCCAGAGTTTCTTAAATCAAATTCACGCCATTGTGCCATGGAGTATCTTCGAAGTGTTCCAATTTCATCGTGACGATATCTAATAACTCCCTGACTATGAGTTATCACACAACCATAAAAGTGACAACCTTCCCCTAACACTTGGTTTGCGTTGGCCGTACCAAACAAATACTAACTTGAAGATGGACAGGGAGGAAAGATGGCATCATAAATAAAATCCAGACTAGCTGAAGAATTTGTTTCTGTACCTCTGTAAGCCTACATCGGCCAACGCTTCAGCCAAGTAACTAGTGTTGTAGTGCGATGGAGTCTGAGAGGTGGGAATGGGGTTTTCTATAAGAGAGACCCGTCAATTTTCTTTAGAAGCAAGCCACCTGTCTTCATATACTTGATCTACCGGCAGTACTCTTGGATTCTTTCATAAGAAAGAGTGTGTTGGATAACTAACACCGCTGAAATGGATGTTTCCCCCCGGATGTACATGCTCCTGTTCGGAGTAAAGGCCTGAAGCCCGCTTCTTCCGTTTCCAGGTCTTTAATTCTCTGTAAATATTAGGCCTTTCTCTCTTTCTCTCTTTGAGGCAGCAGGAGTCTAAATAGCAGTTCTGTTTCCCCCCCCGTGACGATCCTCTGGTGTTCTGTCAGCTCCTGGGCTCGATTGCACAATTTGGTGACTTGGTAGGGATGTGGTTAAGCTCCTCTTCCCAGGCCCTATTGAAGTGAGCTGGTCGCATATCATTGCCCAGAAGCTACACCTAGTAAGTTCAAGACCGCAAAATTTTCACTGGCCACTCGAGGAGATCTCTCACCATGGCCTGGAGTCCTCCAATCTAGCAGAAGCGATCACTACCGATGAACTCCCGGACGATCTTCATTCTCGATGCAATAAACCCATTCCTGTCAACTTCAAATCGAAAGTCTCCTTGCATGCCAGCTCTTGCTCAAAATGAGTCTGACCTCGGATACTCGACCTATGTCAGCTTTTGACGGGGACCGAGCCCTTCCAACTAAGACAATGATTGCTGATGAGATGCATGATGTCTGCTTGCCTTGAGTTTCGTATCTGAGACCTACAGAAATGGGGGTTTCATGAATAGAAACACCAGTTATGCTTCTCTTCCTTCTCATCCTCTTAACAAATTCGACGTTTTTTTTACCTTATGAAAAGCCAACCATAAGCATACTCTTTCTTACCAATGATGAAGATCTCCCTCGACTGTCTCCTAGATGAGCATCAACGGCGACTCAGAAATGCTACTGAAAAAGCTCCGAGAGAAGCACGGACTAGTGCAATCCAATCAAGAGCCTAGAAAGTTACCGGACTCCGATCTCCCTCCGATTCCTTATCCACAATACGCACTGACTGTTCAGCAGAGGTACAAGGATGAGAGCACCCGGCCGCTTCAAGTCTACTCAAGGGGCCTCTATAAATTTCTGGTGTCCCTGAATGTCACTATCATAGGTTAGATAGGCGTTTCACGTAATAGACCGAAGAACCACGCAAAAGGATCATCTCTAGATGGCGACGGTATGGAAGATGAGAGGTTTATTTGACTTGAAGTGCGCGGTAGCGCAGATGACGGAAGTGAGAATGGTGAATATTGAACAACCACTAGAATTCTAGCAAGGAATCTCCTTTCAATCGAATGAGTGTTCACTAATCATGATACTAGACATGGGTTAAACGGACTCCTTTTCAATTTCCACTGCCACCACCCACACCTGCAGAAGTTGGGACCCCAAAGGCAACCCGCAATACGGAAACTGTGAAGATGTTGCGGCAAATTTTTAGACACCAGACTGAAAACACATCCCCATTGATGCGCACGGGGAGCATTTGGGATGAAACCAAAAATGACTAGTTTTATATTCTGGTCGTGAAGATTGACAAGGAACGTTGGTTGCAGAGGTTGGGCCCAGGGTAGTGTCGTTTAATGTCCACTTGGTAACTTTCTACCTACATTCGTATCCCTAAGCCAATGTACTTGATGGCAGAACTGGAGTCAATATCCGCAACCATTCAACCAGGAACGCCATGGCCTGATCAACCTGATCGATTAACCCAGTGCCAGAACCTCATCGATTGCTCAACTTGGAAGAAACACAACTTATTAAATGACTGTAGGAATTGCTTTTCACTGCCTCCTAACCATAACGTCGTTAGAACTAGTGAAGAAGAAGAGTGCAATATAAACATGGTGACATAAGTAAAGTCGTCAACATCATGGAAAGATCGTGAGTCTTTCTCATGTAGGAATAAATCAGGTTACTCACGGCCCGAGGACTTGATGTGGTGTTGAATATACGAACGCGTATCGTCAAGTGTATCTTCAATTATCCCAATTATACTACACAACATTTTCTCTCATGAGGTACTGGAGAGATTGTGCAACGTGCTGGATTTGGTTTGTTGAGGGTCACTGGTGGTCACACCATGCTGCCTGAACATGAGAGTACGAATCCCAAAAAGGAAGATAGTCATCAAGGCGAACGATGCGTTCCCAACTCCTTATCTAAATTGGAATCTATGACAGTGGTAGCATGTCTTGATTTCGATGTTGGTTCGATGTGGTAGCACAGCTATGCCGATCTTGCGCATGACTCTCGTTCGAGTCATCTATTGGCACGCTTTGGGTGTGCTGTGCATCTCTTAGTCCTATTGCGCATGAAATCGATCACGGATGAGCATTCTACTGGCTGTAGGGTAAAGTTGACACATTCAGGCGTGGTGTTGGGAGGCTAATTTAAAGTAGTTTCATGATGGTGCAATTTGTGCTAGGGGAGGGGGAATGGGATAAAAAGCCTTGAACAGAACATCGAAAGGGTTCTACCTTTCAAGAGAGCTTGAGATTGCGTTTCAAGCAAACGTATAACATTGAACATTGTATTCAAAGCTCTTTTGGAAGTCCACAACGCCACTATGCATCTTGCTGAAGTATGAAAATGAGATTAGTTGACTCTGTTTATCCGTGCATGGCTAACAAGTTTACCTCTACGACAGTATCTGTTCCGTCGAATTCACGAGCTTGGAATCCGGTCCATCTTTGGTGTACCCGGTGATTACAATCTCCGCTCCCTTGACTATATCGCTCCCTGCGGTCTCAACTGGGTCGGTAGCGTGAACGAGCTCAACGGTGGTAGGTAGATAGACTTACTTTTCACTCGTCAGAAACTTGTGAGTCTGATAATTTCACACAAACAGGCTATTCCGCCGATGGATATGCCCGCATCAAGGGAATCGGCGTAGTCATGACAACCTTGGGTGTTGGGGAGCTTTCAGCCATCAATGCCCTCGCAGGCTCATGCGCCGAACTTGTACCAGTCATCCACATTGTCGGATATCCCTCGACGGTTGAACAGAAAAATCTACTCCCAATGCACCACACACTGGGAGATGGGGACTTCAGGCGATTTGCCAGAATGAGTGCCGAAATCTCGAGCGCCACGGTCGTGTTGGAAGACAAATCAGATGCGACGAGGCTCATCGATGAAACGATTATTGAGTGCTGCCGTTCCAGCAAGCCTGTCTACATTGGCCTCCCATCGGATCTTGTCCAAGCAGAGGTAGATCCATCTCCGCTTAAAAATCCCCTTGCTGTCGAAGAGCCTAGCCCCAATCCGACGGCGGATGAGGACTATGCCGTGGATCTGATTCTCAGCCGTATCCGGGCGGCTCAGAATCCGGCCATCATTGTCGAGACTCTGGCCGGAAATCCCCACAGCTTGAACGCAACGAGGCTATTCGTGGAAAGTTCCGGATTTCCTTGCTATATTACGCCAATGGCCAAGGGCGTCATCGACGAAGGCTTGAGCAACTTTCGCGGCGTGTACGTGGGAAAGGTCTCGGGCCCTAACGTTTTTGAACAAATCCAATCCTCCGATTTGATCCTAGTGATTGGGCCGCGTCCGGCGGATTTCAACACAGCCGGGTTCAAGACAGATTTACCTCACATCGAGACCATCAAATTTGAGCGGTACAGAATCCAAATGCAATACCAAGGGATTCTGGGGCTCGGGATGACCGGAGTGCTTGAAAGACTCAGCCAGGTCCTGGACAAAGAACGGTCCGAATCTGTCTCCACAGCGTCTACGGCCTCCACTCCACCCCGCAAGTTCGGTGGTACCCCCGATATCCATGGAGCCATCTCCCCCTCCTCCAACTCCCCGAAGGAAAGTTTGAGCGGCGATGAGTTTATGGATCTCGAGGGTCCCGTTGGTGACAAGTCTGAACCATTGACCCAAGAGTGGATCTGGCCGCGCATGTCTGCCTGGCTCGAAGAAGACGACATCATATCCGTCGATATCGGAACTTCTGCCTTTGGAATCTTATGGTCTCCATACCCGCGCGGAGCAGCTTCGCTAGTGCAGATCCTTTGGTCGTCAATTGGATACGCCGTTGGGGCGGCAGTGGGAGCCGCCCTCGCTGCGCGCGAAGACGAGAAACAATCCCAAGGCACTCGGCGCCGACGCACCATCTGCTTAACGGGTGACGGTAGCTTCCAATTGACCGCACAAGAAGTGAGCACCATGGTCCGCCACAGACTGGGGGTGATCTTATTTATTGTCTGCAATGAAGGCTACACGATTGAGCGCGTGATTCATGGCGTGGATGCGGAGTATAACGATATCCAGCCATGGGACTTTAAGCTTTTGCCGGCTGTCTTCAAGGCCGCTCCGAATACTGTTCACACTTATGCTATCCGGACTAGGGCTGAGTTGAATAATCTACTCAACGACCCACTGTTTGGCCCTGCTGATCATTATGATGAGACGAATCCTCCTCCGTTACGCATTGTTGAGTTGTACATGGATAAATACGATGCACCGGAGAGTTTACAGGGGACTGTTGATTCCATTCAAGGTAGGATGTGATGACGGTGAGGCGGTTATCTCGGAAATTTCGGTCATTTCAGTTTCGGTAATTTCAGCCTGAGTCGCTGTCGTTTTTTTTTTTTGGTTTTGGTTTTGTTTTGGTTTTTGGGTTTTTTTTGTTCTTGTTTTTGTTGTTTTGGTTTTGGTTTTGGTTTTGGATTTTTGTTTTTCAATTTTTGATAGATCCTATTTAGAATTATAGAACACAGACACTTGTTTCAGGATATTTGAATCCCATCTCCCAAGACGTTCCACTGAAAGGGGACTATCTGCCAAGAGTTCGTAAAGCTTGACTGGCCTTGGAAAAGCTTAGGCTCGTGAGATTTTCAAGACAACGCGCTATTCCAGTTGAATCCGAAAATAAAAACAAAACCACTTGCCCTCTCTGGTCATCAGCCGGTAATACCACCGCCGGCCTCAGCCCCACTCAAAACATGGCTGCCTGTGATGGCTGAGCTATCCAGTAGGGTCTGGAATGGACTGAAAAAAAAAAGAGATTTAATCCCACTTTGGTGCTAGTACCGTCCTGACCTCTGTGCTTTAATAGACACGGCTGACCCCGGCTTATTGATCTTTTCCCTTCTTTCACCTTGCCACTCGGATCTTTTCTTACCCATTTATTTTCAACCCAAATTGATCTGCCAATATGTTCGGCTGGTTCAAGTCTTCCACCGAATCCAAGCCCACCCAGGAGCCTACCTGGAATGCGGCCACTATGGCTATGGAACAGCCCACCAACGCTGAGGCCATGTCTTCCACCAACGTCGTCTCCCAGCAGCCTGTATGTGTTCCAGATAGCAGTCGCGGATATCGCAACTAACCGATCTCGTAGAACTCGGAGTCGATGAAGATGGAACTCCGTGGTGGCGGTGAGGGCGGTGATGTCTGCTGTGGAGTGTGAGTCTTCCAAGGCTACTTCGGTGCCTGACGTAACCAACCCGAAGGTGAAACAGTGGCTGACTCTTTGACCACAGCTGCGCCGGTATCGCTTGCTTCGAGTGCTGTGAATGCTGCTGCTAGATGTTCCGACTTTACTACGAAATGATACAACTTGATGGATGAACGGCGTTGGAATGAAACTGGGTACCTGTGAATAGCACGAGCCAAGATGAACACCACTTGGTCACGATAATATACTCCCGATGGATCTATTTCCAGCTCATAGTCCGTGTTCTCGCACGATTCCTAGTAGGCTCGTAAATGGATTTCGTGCGCACCGATGTCAGGCACTGATTGGGATTGGTTGGGCATTTGTTGGAGCCTTGTTACCTGAAGGGAAAATTCAAGTACTCAGTGGGCAAGGGTTGGATTATATGAATCCAACATCGTAGTGAGAACCGGAGAGACAGTAAGTGCATTCTCGAGGTATCCGGCATTTGAGTCTCTAGCATAGGGTAGATAGCTTCCTTTCTTCTTTGCACATCTCTACAGTTTCTAGTGTGCACTACTTGCATAGCAGTCCTTGATTCTCTGTCTCACCCATTCCTTTGTATGTGCCCTCTCATTCCTAACCCAACGAGTAAGACACGTCTAAACTATCGAACTGATGGTCAATCCAAAGAAACAAGACAGGTCATGACTCGCATTCGTTTCCCTTTGGGATTGAGTTGGCCGCCATCATCTTCATGGAGATTAGCAGCACAGGTCAGACTGCAAACCATAATCCAGGCAGTGTTCGACAACCCACATTCCACTGTTTCCAATGATTGGAGATGGCATGTAGTGTCAGGTTTTAAATTTGCTGGGAATGTTCAAACGTTCATGTAGAGAAAATTGAAGAGGCCCTCATAGCTTCCAAACGGCGCTAACCACAAAAGGAAATGGAGCTCCCCTCGATCTGCGCGGAAACATCAACTTCTGCACTTACCTAGGTGTGGAACAATGCCTCACCTACGCCGTCAGCCCAATCAGCGCGACCGAATACCCAATCAAGGCTCCAATGCCCCAGGAACCCTTCGAGCCCAGTTCCAGACCCCGCCAACGCGTCACACTCCCACCAACCCGACCCATCGGCACCAACCCCCCTCTACGGGTCCAAATGCTCTCACACCCGACTCAGTCGCAATGGGGGAACATCCGGCGGCACCAATAAATCCATTCACGATATTTAGGAGACCAAGGGTAGAGCCACCGCCGCAAATGATGGATGACGACGACTTTGACGAGGATTTTGACCCACGCGGGCGCAGCATGCAAGAGCTCGGGAACGACGGGCCGCTCGACTTCGATGATTCCTTTGACGATGGTCACGCCATCGAAAGGCAACTTGATGACTCCGAAATTGATGGCGAGGAGCTGGAGGAAGAAGTTGAGGACCAATTCAATGACGAAGAGGACCCCGACCAAGAGATGCACGATCGAGGTACCGATCCCCGCTCCCATACTTTCCTCATGGCTACGCTCGAAGGTTGCAATCTAATGCTCTTGGGCTACAGAAAAATCCCCCTCCCCCTTACCTGCCAACTTGCGCGAGATCTCATCGCTGGCTTCCTGGACCGTCTCCACCTCCAAGCCGGGCTGCGGCGTCGCGGCCCTCCGCAACCCTTCCCCGGCACAGTACTGGCAATCCGACGGACCCCAACCGCACACCTTAACCCTCCATTTCTTCAAACTGGTGGCTGTCGTGCGCATCCGCGTATATCTCGATTTTGAGCTCGATGAAAGCTATACGCCCACGAAGATGATTTTTGCAGCTGGGATGGGCGGCAACGACCTTGTCGAGTTTGCAACTTGGGAAGGCGATGGCCCATGCGGCTGGGTCGATGTGCCACTGGAGAGCGTCGGCGGTAGGACCGGCGGATGGGTCCGTAATGACCCCGGGAAGTCGAAACGCCGCTCTGCGAGTATGCGTCGGCGAAGAATTGTGTACCGGAACTGTGATGACCCTGAACATGAACATGATGATGAATGTGATCCGTTTTATGAGATTGATGAACCTGATAGCCAGGACGAGGAGGATGATCCCTATTCTGGGAATGTGCTCAAGGCCATGGTCATCCAAATGCGCATTATGGAGAATCATCAGAATGGAAAGGATACCCATGTTCGTGGTTTCCAGGTGTTTGCTTGTGACGATAGCCACCGTCGGATGGCCGCTGCTCCATCCGCTTCTGCTGATGCTCGGCGCCGTCGTCCGTCCCTACGCGGGGCTCATGATCTTCGTGGACGTGCCGCAAGTGAGGAGGTTGATACTGGGTTCACTACTACCGGTCTAGACGAACCGGATTGGATGGGTGAGCCAGTGATTCGATAAGCAGAAAATTTTGTGAAGGTCAACAAAAGTACCGGCGTTGTTGGGCTTGCAAAAATGCCAACGGGAGTTTTATTTTCGGAGTTACAATGTCTTCATGATACCCAGTTTCAAAATTTTTTTTTTGCACGAGTTTGGGTCGCCAGTGAATCATTAGGCATAATTGCGCCAGTGAGATACATGTTGCATATTAAAACGGGTATTCAAATTTTTAGTTTTTTATGCTTGTCATATCTCATATAGAAACATCCAGGGCTGCTTGGTGTTTACTTGAGCAGCTTCTCCAGCTCGGCGGCGACAGCATCGCCGACCTCGGTAGTCTTGGCCGTGCCGCCAATGTCGCCGGTGCGGACACCAGCCTCGATGACGTTGCTCACGGCCTGCTCAATCAGGCGAGCCACGTCAATCATGTTGAAAGAGTACTGCATCATCATGGCAACAGAGAGGATAGTGGCGACGGGGTTCACGATACCCTTGCCAGCAATATCGGGGGCGGAGCCTATGAATACCAATTAGCCATGACCAGAACGATGGACGGCGGAAAGCAATGAAGAGGGCAGAACACATACCGTGAATAGGCTCGTAGATACCGTTGACACGGCTCTTGCCGTCAGGAATGCCACTCAAACTGGCACTGGGCAGCAGACCCAGAGAACCGGGGATAACGCTAGCCTCATCGCTGATGATGTCGCCGAACAAGTTGCTAGTAACAACAATACCGTTCAGCTTACGGGGGTCCTTGATCATGAGCATAGCAGCCGAGTCAATGAGGTGGTGACCAAAAGAGATCTGGGGGTACTCCTTCTCCATAACCTCGGTGACGACCTTACGCCACAGACGGCTGGTAGCGAGGACATTGGCCTTGTCCAAACTCCAAACGGGAAGGGGCGGGTTGTGCTGCAGAGCGAGGTTGGCGGCAAGGCGGATGATACGCTCGATCTCGTGGCGCGAGTAGGGCTCAGTGTCCATGGCATATCCGGAACCATCGTCCTCCGTGCGCTCACCAAAGTAGATACCGCCCGTCAGCTCCCGGATGATGTTGAAGTCGACGCCGCGGCAGACCTCGGCCTTGAGGGGCGAGCTCTCGACCAGTGAGGGCGCCGCGAAGTTGCAGGGCCGCAGGTTTCCGAATGTGCCCATCTCCTTGCGGAGTTTAAGAATACCCTGTTCTGGGCGCACAGCGCCAGTGCCCCATTTCTGTTGGACGCAACGTGTGAGTACGTTTGTTTTTGGTGTTTTGTGCGGGTAAGGAGGGAATGGAGGGGTTGAAGATGTAGACGTACAGGACCTCCAATGGCACCGAGTAGAACGGCATCGGCGTTCTTGGCGGCGTTCAAGGCCTCGTCGGTCAAAGGTGAACCAGTAGCATCGATAGAGGCCTGCAACTATTAGCCATTGAGCTTTTGTCGCGTGCGTGGAGCATACTCACACCACCAAGCAGGTGATCCTGCAGGTTGAAAGTAACACCACGGGATTTCTCAATGACGCGGAGGATCTACGATTCAATCAGTACATTTCTTCCGCGCGATTCCAGCTTGCAATGTTACCTTGACAGCCTCAGCGGTCACCTATTCTCTTCTGTCAGTCCTGTGTTCAATTTTCCCCCCCCCCCCCCCCCCCCCCCGGAAACGCTCTCAATGACATACCTCAGGGCCACAGTGGTCACCACCAAAGACAACGATGTTGAAGGAAGACATTATGTAGTAATATGAAGAAAAATGTTTGACTCAATTGACCAGGTCAGGAGCTTCAGAATATAAAGGCGGGTGAATTTCAGGTTCAACCCCACTAACTCCGACATCGGCGCCGATGACTTTAATCCAACAATCGGTGTCGCTTATTCACGGTTACATCGATGTATAGGCCTCCAGTCTCCCTCTACCGATTGAATATTTGATTTGCCCTTCATCCAATCCAAAAAGCTTGTTGGTCTTTGTTTCTATGCCCGCACTTAGGGTGTGGGCTTTTCGGGCCCTATACAACCAGCGACTCCTTTATTTATCTGGAAAATACTAGTGGTTCCGGCGATTGGTCAATCAAGTATACCGAGGTGCTTTGGATCGAGACTACATGATCATGTACAGATATCGTATCCAAAGCTTCCGAAAGATTGTCCATGGGTGTCAAGGTATTCCTGGTCGTGGCCGTGGGCTGTGAAGCAGTATCTCTATGACGTCACAAGCCGGCGCTCCTTCCCTCCAAGTTTCAAGCGACGATCAATGTTGTCCTCTTTTAAGAAACAATGCTTCTGTCAATTTGAAATCAGCGCTGGTTACTCAATCACATCCAAATAAAACCACATCCTTCCTATTGGACACGACTGCCGGTTTGGTTCATTGAATCCATGACAGACTCCATCCCGCTCACTGTAACAACACCATCCGGAGATTCTCAATCTGGTGTATCTGTCCGAAGGCGATATCCAGTATCATGGAGTTGTCTGCCAATGTGAGCGGTTCCACCAGGTATTTGGGAATTCACAATTGAGGGCCCGAAGATGAACTTACAGGGGATGCCCGCCTAACGCAAGGTCGCATGCTTTTTCTTTTTCTTTTTACCATTGACCGGTAACGATGCGAGTATGCATCACAGCTTCCTTCACTTGATAACTTGTAAGGCAGTTTGGATCTGGTTGCACGATTGCTACATCCAGAAGATCGTCACTTTTTTCGGAAAAACCTGAGCTACTCACGACCCTTTGGTGGGAATTTGGTGGATTTTTGTCCATGTTAAGTGTTTCACCTTCAGGATCAAGTGGCACACCTCTCGCGGCACTGAGATCTTGTTCAAAAAAAGCGCATAGTTCCGAAGACCTACGGCTACCGAACGATGATAATCTGGAGTGTCGTTTTCGATTTTCGCGCACCTTCCATGCGGGGTGGATACATTGACCGAAATCTCCATCTCTGGGACAAATGAAGGGAACCTCAAGCGAGTATTGCTTGGTAGAAGACGAAAGCCTGACCTCACCATTATCTTCAAGGTCGCTGTATGGCTGTGCATTGCAAAATGGTACTATACTCTGCATTCGTTGCGATACCATTCAGTCCTCCGTCGACAATCAAGGCTTTTTCCCTGATGTGATCGACTTTACTTCCTCTCTATTAATTGACAACTGTCGCCAAATAATTGGAGGCTGTTGCTCGCTACACTCGACTAACTGAATCGCATCATTTTCGAGGAATGTTTAGCTCCTTTCTTCCAAATGGAGCCCCGGTCACACCGGTGAGTACAATTCGCGCAGTCATAAGACTCCCACATCCTTTCGCAGTGGGTATCCCCGGCGACTTCATGGACGATGATATCTATGCCTTCTGGGGATCTCAGTCCGAAGAAACAAGATAGCAAGGGTTTCAATAGGCAGATGCTTTCATCTTTGATGCAATCAAACAACGCACACAATAAGCGGGAGCTATAGCTTCTAGCTTAATTTTTGGAGTATGATTGCATGTTGAGAGCAATTACAAGTCCCATTCTAAAAGTTGATTGTGACTGGTTTATTTGACCTGCATCTCCCAGCTAGGTTCTTGTAGCAAGTTGACCGCAGTTCGGCTGCCGAAAGCGGCCACTCCAGATGTGTTTCCAACTTCCTGTCACATCAAGAGTCGCTAGGTAGTATGTAGCCTATCAATGGTAGCAAGAATTCAGATACATCCCCCATCCCCCCTGGTTAATGATCTAATATTCTGCATTGGATTTCTACTTCCTTGCCCAACTGAGCAACTGCTGCGATATACTCTGCTGGTGGTTGGATTCCATTGTTTACCTTACTTGTCTTTATAACCTGGGTGTCTTAAGGCTGGGAGACCGACCTATGAAAGGTAGTCGTTAGTAGGACTCTCTGATGATTCAGATATAAGTACTCCTTGTCAGGAAGATCCAAGGGTTCAAGAAAGTTGAATCGACCTCTTCCTTATCGCGTCGGATCCGACTGATACGATCAATCTCCGATAGATAAGAAAATGGGTCGGTGAAACTTTCTGCTGCAACGATCTTTTCTCCACTCCTCTCCATTTTGTTCCATTCTAACCACATTTGGCATCAATTTGTTGGTCCACTTGGGCACTGATCGGGGTTTCTGCCGAAATCGAAATGTGTTTATAGCGGAAGGTGCTGGTCAAATTTAAGGAACGAGAAATTTCGATTTTGCCCCCTTTTACTTATATTCCTTTCAACGCCCCCCCTTCGTCTCTCGTTCACATCTCACAGCTCATCCTAGGTGCTTCCTGCCCTCTCTCAACAACACACTCTTTCCGCAGTTCACCGTGAGTCTTCCATCTACTCATTTTCTGCCCAACTACTGACCAGATCAGTCAGTCTTCTCCGCCATGTGGATCACCCGTGGAATCTCGCTCGTCAATTTCGGAGTCGCCTCTTCAGCGTTGGCATTCCAAGTCTTCGTCCTATACCCATGGCACAACCAGTTGGACGATGAATTCAAATCCTTGAAAAAGGAACACCAGCGAGTACTGAAACAGCTCGATCTACGCAAAATCACGGCTTGATCTACGCGACCCCCTGTGAGGATGTACACGGAGGGCGAATCAAAGCCAAAGGCCTGGAGGGGACGTGTATAGATGCAGGCAACAAGACGATTCCTTCACTTTTTTTTTGTTTTTCAGCCTTGGTTGCAGTGATGGAATGATTACGGAGGGTTTTTTTACAAGCGTTTCTTTTATTGACAATTTCGGAGTGGCTCATGTTTTGTACTGTTCGCTGTTCATCTCTCCCAGACACGGAGTAGACAAAAGACTTTTGCATTTCAAATCAAAGACAACCGTATCCACCTAGTGAACTTATAGCCTTCAGGGGGAGAATACTAACCTGTCGCAATGTCGTTCTTACGTCATGCCCATCCTTCAAATGGTCTTCCCCCCCCCCCCCCCCCCACCCTTAAAAACTCATTGAATTGCACTGTATGAACCAATCATAACTGGTACAACATCCTCGCATAAAAGGGGATAATTATAAACGCTGCGTATAAGGGAATTTAAATCTCAGACAAAGCCCCTCTCGGGTGCGAAATGCCGAGACTCGGAAGACCCGTAACCCGTGGTGGAGTCCCAGTAAATCAAGGATATCTTTAAAGGCGCGACAAAGGAGAATGACTACTAATTCTAAAAAAAGGGTTGAAGTTGCAAGCCAATTCCAGTCGATCACTGGTTTGCTTCATGTACCCTTGTTAACTGACTCCTTTGTGAAATAACGATATATCTAGAACCTATATTGGTGAAGACACAGTGAGAGCTTCCTTCCGATCAGCGCCTGAACAAGAAGTACAAACCTGCAACTCCAATTCTTGCGAAAGCGTACAATCTTTGTCCAATCAAATTTAAGCCTTTGTAAATGGTAAAGCTTTGGGAACTGTCTCTCCGATGACTCGTCGGTTCAGCAATAACTCCTGCAACAACACCTCTCCAAACTTCTCTGTTAACCTTCTTAGTCAAAGAGCGGTTTTGCCATTAAACGCCCTCAGTTTAGTACCATCGCCAATAACAAAGCAAGAGACCGAATGCCGAAAATCAAATGAAAACTCAATAAAAATAATATACATCTGATCTAGTTCGACCCTAAGGCAGTCATAAAGTAGATCGCAGTCGCAACAGCGACCCTACCTGCATACATGAAGGTAGGATTCCCGAGGTCTCGATTTGAAATCCCCGGCTGTGATGCGCTTCTGGATAAATCCACCCGTCTTAGCTGGCTCTGCTATGTCTACCGAAAGTGGCAGTGTCGAGGTTTTCTCTATGTGAGACTCGAGTAGGTCATGGCTCTCTGTGGAAACATTTTTTCATGACTCCTAGGGCCTAGGGTCACATTCTATGTACATGTGTAATCCGTAAGTGTCTCCGCCTAACATGAAAGGGTCTAGACTGCAACCCTGTTGCAGAATCTGATACGGATGTATGGTATCTCCCGCATGCCGCTATTGATCTCGATAAATTCTACACTATGCAGATCCTCTAATGATGGCAAGCATTTCCTCGCCCTTTGGTGCAGTGGTGAGATTCTCGTACCCCGTAGCAGTCACGAGGATATCATCTTCAATGCGCACTCCACCAATATGAACATATTTTTCAGCAACGTCGAAATCAATGTATCGAGCGTACGGCTGATGGCGCGCATTGGCAAGAGCCAAAGGAGAGAAATAGAGCCCTGGCTCCACGGTCACAACCATTCCCTCTTCCAGTAGCGACGCGGAAAGAGTGCATGGCGCAAGACAAGTGGAGTTTAAGATCGGGCGATATTGAGGGTGATCGAACCCCCGGTCAAGAGCCATAATTGACCGCTCCGAAACATCGTGGACTTCAAGGCCGACATGATGACCCAGACCATGTGGGAAGAAGACTTTAGATGCGCCAGATTGACGGATCTCGAGATTTGTACCGTTCTTGAACACACCCAGAGCCAGGAGTCCCTCAATGGCAATGTCGTGGGCTAAATCGTGGAGTGATAGATAACGTGCCCCTTTCCGGATTGACTGGATGCACTCCTCTTGCATGCGCTCTACCAGCTTATAGATATCTCGCACGTAATCACTGGGCCACTCGCCGGTAAGCGGGAAGGTGCGCGTCACGTCACTTGCATAGCAATTCCACTCGGCGCCGGCATCGAGACAGACAAGGGGTTTCTTGTCGAGAGATTCGTTATTTCGGTCGTAGTGTAAGATAGCCGCATTGGGGCCCGATGCCGCGATAATTTGGTATGCCTGGTTCCGTGCACCGTGCGAGATGCAGGCGTTCAGAAATAACCCCTCAATCTGCGCCTCGTTGGACATCGTCTGAATGTTCTCTAATATTCTCCGATGGGCAAGCCCCGAGACTTTGTTGGCCTGGCGGATCATCCGGATTTCATATTCGTCCTTGACGCCTCGGGCTGCGTCCATAGCAGGCCCGAGCCGTTCTAGATCCAACGGCAGGTCTTTTGGTAGATGCTCGGGCTTCTCTGAGTCATGAATGAGGTACAGCTCGCTGCCCTGCTTTCGCTCGTCCAGCCACACCTGCAGCTCATATTTGAGCGAGGCTTGATACCGTACATGGTCCACGTCATATCGGTCTTGTGCATCTTCCCGTGAAAGGGTCGGACCCATCCAAATGGCACGGTGGAGGTCGAAATCCGGGACATAGAGAGTTAACAGGTCTTGTTCAATATTATACATCAGAGAGCAGTCGGGCTCGTCGACTCCGCTCAGGTAGTAGAAGTATCGTCGTTGACGGAATGGACGCGATTGATCGGAGTCGCGCAGACTAATTGTCGGCTGTCCGGAAAGGAAAATCAAGCCACTTGAAGCTCCAAGCTTCCGGGCGACGTTGCGCGCATGGTGCTTGGCTAGCGAGGGCGGTCAGGTCAGCTCGAGTTTCACGCGATCACCGATCGAGGTTCAATGGAGCAGTAAACAGGCATGTGAAAGGGCAGAGCAGGGCAAACAAAAGCATTCTGACTGTGCGACATCTAATCTAGGGGGGATTGTAATCACCTGGGTACTTATCGCAGGAGGTAGGTGTCACCACACAGATATTATAGGAGTCGAGGGGATTGATCATGACGTCCTGAGCCACAGGCCCCTGGGCACCTCTAGTTGCACGCATTCTTCGCGTTAAGCAACTTCAACACAGAGAGGGGGGGGGGGGGGAGGGATCTAGAGTAAGGAGCTAGGAGAGGGAGGGGAAGACGAGAGAAGGGCTTATCCTAAGCAGGGATAGATAGTCCGTATCAGCCCCAGGTGTATGACACTGCTATATTATAGCTACTTATGCTTGCACGAAATGACTAGTGAATTTGGTTCTTTGCGAAAACCGAAAAAGACCTCTGATTTTCTTAAAAAATTTCCAGGATCCAGGATCCAGGAACCAACTCTACATCTACAACATACATTGCCTTGCATTTTTTAGTACGGAGTTCATGGCTCTAGGTCCAGGCCGAAAACGTCTTAGATAACCCGCCCATTTTATCCGCTGCGCCCACTCTTCTCTCTCACCTCCTCTTTTAACCACATCTCAAAATTTCCCGACTCATCTCGACTTTTTTTTCTCTTTCTTTGTTCTCTCACTTGACATATGAACGATGCAGGGTCTTGAGGCTTCGAGCCTTGATGCGCTCGCAGGCCTGCCCTCGACTCTGAGCACGGTGATGAGCAATCCGACGACGTCACCAATTGGCGTTGTCTCCTCAACATTACCATTACCGACCTCGATACAAACCAATCCATTAATTTCGCAGCAACAAATACAAGCGAGCATTCAAAATGTTATTTCCTCTTTGTCGATGGGGTTCCGTCCCGAACCTATGCTGGTCAGTGGCAACTCGCCCGGGTCAACCGGCAAAGGTATCTTGATTGGGATCTTGTCTGCGTTTGGTTCGGCTGCCGTTGCATTTGTTGTTCTAGCGATCTTTTTCTTTTTTAAATATACACGCCGGGGCCGGATTATGCTCGATCGCATTGGCAGGCCTGGTGAATACGACGACGAGCAAGCGTTTTTGCGCGAGGAAGAGGCAGCTCTAGAGTCAATGGATGACTTAGCGCGATCGGAATATTTGCGAGCAAAAGGTAAGATTGGAGTTGATTTTTTTGTGCGATTTGCTTTGATCGTTTGACTAATAGTCGATAGCTTTTGTCCAAGGAAATCCTCCCGAATCGGTGCAAACCGACATCTCCCTATCGCAGTTCCTCGCGATCCAAGAAAAAGGGGTATCTGCCTGGGAATTCCAGCCAGAGTTGGAAATTGCAAATTGCTTTGTGGAAGGACGAACTGAGATTGAGTTTTTTGACTCTGAGTGCAGTGTACAAACCAATCTGCCAATTCCTAAGCAGAATGATGTCTACTACTGGGAGGCGAAGATATACGACAAGCCTGACTCGACCATGATCGGCATCGGTGTGACCACGAAGCCATACCCCCTTTTCCGAATGCCCGGTATGTGTTGCAACCGAATTGTTGCTACTGAAGAATTCCCGGCTAACAACCGCTAGGCTTCCACAAAACCTCTGTTGCCTACCAATCCACGGGACATCGCAGACTCAACCAACCATTTAATTCCACCCCATACGGACCTCCACTACTTCAGGGCGATGTTGTTGGTGTAGGCTACCGACCTCGATCTGGCACCGTTTTCTTCACACGCAACGGCAAGAAATTGGAAGACGTAGCTCACAATTATCGCTCACAAAACCTCTTCCCCACCATCGGTGCTAACGGGCCTTGCACCATCCACGTGAACTTTGGTCAAATGGGATTCGTGTTCATCGAAGGCAATGTCAAGAAATGGGGCTTGGCCCCCATGACTGGCAGTCTCGCCCCGCCTCCACCCTATGGCAGCGAACAAGGCAGCATTCTACTCGAGTCAGGACGTGAGAGTGCGGCTCAAATCTCCCAGCGTGTTTATCAAAATGCAAACTACGCGGCCTCAGGCTCAAGTGTTAGGATTCCTCCGGCGCCCAGCCCAGGTCCTTCTCGATCACCAACTGACATTTCCCTCGCTCAGCTTACCCACATTCCTTCTCATGAAAACGCTGGCGAGGGATCCAGTCGATTTGCTTTGGCCGATGCAGAGGGCAATGATGCGGCAGCTGCCGACAATCAAGAGCCAGAGGCCCCGCCACCAGAATATTCTAGTCCCAACGGCAGTCGTAGGGGCAGCGATGCCTCTGAATGTCCACCTAGTTTCAGGGCTTCTGAGGACCCCAACTCTTCATCAAATGACTCCATGGATTCTGATGGTCAAATTTTACCAAGTTACCAAACCGTGGCGGGGAGAGATCTGAATGAACACAACTCAGAGGCCAACAATAGGTCTTGATGCAACATCTATTCCCCCCTTTGCTTTTGAACATACCTCGTGGCGCATGAGAGGCTTTATCTGATTATTTCTCTGTCGTTTTATTTAGCGGGCTCACGGAAGGCGTTATAGCAGTTGGTGAAGGCAGATTCTTGGTTTTTGTGAGATCCTTTCTGTCTGGGTTGGTATAGACTTTGTGTCCTTATTGACCCTTACCCTTGGGAAGTCATTCAATGGATTTCTTGTGGAAGGGCACAATCGTTTTGCTCCCGTCGCCCTTTTTTTTTTGACCTCATACCCTCTTTGTGTTAAATGCGTGTACATCTATTTGAAAATCGATTGGCAGATCTATTAATAGGTCATAGACTGATCAATTGCAAACCTTCCGAAGTTGACAGATTCGATTATGAAAACACGCCTGTTTCACTATTTTGGAACATCTGAATCTGTTGTCTATTGTGATTTGGATCATGGTACTCCTTTGAAATCCTTTGAAGGCGAGATCGTAGTGTGGACGTCATCGGCGATCAACTTGGCAACGTCCAAGATCTGATGCCACACCGAATAGATTAAATCTCCCTCCAGGGCTCGATCTGATATCTCACTAGTCCCCAGATCTTCATTCCGTATCCGTGGCTCCGTTGAGATCATACCCCACTAGAGTCCACCCTGGTCCACTCCAGGTGTCCTCCCCGTGTCTCCGATCAAACCTCTCTTCTCTCTTGATACAAATCGCCTCCAATCGGCACTTCAGATTGCTTGCAGTAGTGTCATACGCAGGCGCGCCCCATTGTGATACGAGCCGGGGAAACATCGACCCCACAAAATAGGAGTTCTCTTATCTGCTCTCTGCCGACCCGGCCTCCGGATTTTTGTGGCTTCGCGCCTGTCTCTATCTCTCTTCACTGTCGAGGAACAACAACTTTACTTGCTAGATACTGGCCTGCTCTGTGTATGACACTTGATATGCAGAGGGCCTTTGGTTCTGAACCATATCTTGGAGCAGTCCGAATCGCAACCCCTGTGCGCCACTATCGTGTCGCGACGTAATTTCTTTGTTTCCCCAGCCTTTACTAGCCGCCTCTCATATCTCGCAGTCTGGCCATCAGCCAATCCATTCGAATCTTTGTGAAACAATCTGTCGTTGAGACCCGCCTACTATTTGGGATTAGGCGCGCTCGGACAGCTTCACTTGCTCTTGGGCTGTAACAAGTCTAGCTTATCGTTCGTGTCTCACATATCCATGATGGATGAGACAAGTGAAACAATGGCTGATCAGCCAGTATTCCAAGTCATTGTCTTGGTAAGTTATGACCCGTTCCAAGGTTGACATATTTCTTGTCTGTTGCAGCACCCGTCACGTGTAAGGCCATGTGTTGAGATGCACTTGGGCGATTTAAAAGTGGTCTTCTCAACTTGCCTGATGACGGGCTCTAGCAGATGAACCCCTGTAACTTTACTTTGCTGGATGCTGACTCCCTCAGGGCCCGACGGGTGGACCTCGTGAGGATAGCGTCACAGGAATTCTTGTCCGGTCCACGTCTACGAAATGGTCTACAGACTCGGTGGTAGCCGTGGATGCAGGTACCCTTCTTGCAGGCATAATTCGACTGCTGGAACGATACATCCCCGAATGCAAGGATGATCGCGGCGTGATGACAAGTGGGCCTTTTCAGGGGCTTGAGCTGCCTTGCAGAACAGCACAAGCAAATGCAGCCCATGTATTTCGCGAAATTATCGGCGCTGTTCTCATCACACATCCTCATCTGGATCATATCTCAGGGCTGGCTATTAACACTCCAATTCTGGAGGCGGGTAATGGACCCAAGCCCGTGGCTGCTTTACCATCTGTACTATCCGCCATCAAGAACCACATGTTCAACGATATCATCTGGCCTAATTTGTCGGATGAGGATGGCGGGGCTGGTCTTCTCACATATCAACGCTTGGTGGAAGGTGGAAACCCTCGTTTCGGCCGCGGAGAAAGTAGGGGCTATGTCAGGGCTTGCAACGGCCTGTTGACAAAATGCCTGAGTGTTAGCCATGGCCGGTGCAGGCAGCGATACCACCCAGAAAGCGGGACGCATCATCGAATCGGGAGCACCGTGTTTTCTGACCACCAATTTATGCTTCCTTCGAGAGCGATTTCAGTAGACCATACCGAGGGCAGGTAAGCTACGATTGGCAGTTTTCGCCGGAATCGTATTAACCACTGCTAGTTATTACTCCCCCGCTCGCTCCCCACGTCAACTTCCATCCAACCCCAAAGAATCAGGGATGGCAACAGTCGAGAGCTCCGCCTTCTTTCTCCGCGATCATCACACCGGCCACGAAATCATCGTCTTCGGTGACGTTGAGCCGGATGCAGTTTCCATGGGAACTCACAACAAACGAGTATGGGAAGCCGCCGCACCGAAAATCGCCACGGGCAAACTCCGCGCGATCTTCATCGAATGTTCCTACAATGACAGCACTGACGACTCATATCTCTACGGCCACATGTGTCCACGACATCTAGTCTCTGAGCTTAGTGTGCTGGCCAACAAGGTCACGGAAGTGCGAGGGTTGAGCATCGGCGAGAAAAAGCGCAAGCGTGAACCCGTAGGGCCCGTCGAGATCAGCAGCGAGCAAGTCAGCCCTCGCTCGAAACGGACTTCAAAATCCTCCACCGATAAAGGCAGGGCATTTGAGCCGCTCATTGAGCCTCATTCGCATCGGAGCGAGTCATTCGAGATCCCCCTGATACCAAAAGTGGCTCCCAGGGATGTTCTGGGACATCCAGACTCTGAGAATTGGGTTGATGATACAGCTCTTCCTCTGGAAGGACTGAAGGTTTACATCATTCACATCAAGGAGAATCTTACTGATGGGCCTCATCCTGGAGAGCAGATCCTGAGGGAGCTCCAGGATCACGGCGAAGCAGCGCATCTGGGTTGTGAATTCTTTATTCCGAACCCTCTTGAGGGAATTTTAATTTGAAACCCACGAGATCACTGCGAGGAGGCTTTCTGCTTTGTTTGTTTTGACGCGGCGTCGTCTTCGTTATTCTCTGTATATTACCCCAGATTCGTTTCTAAGCCGATGAGTACTATTAGTGCATCTTTATATACCTGGTGTAGACTCCTGTACATTAGATAACCGATGAAGAGCCATACGAGGTTAGCAGTTCTTCAAGAGTCCCTTTACTTTAACACCATGCGTACTCACCTGTTTACTAGACTTGATGCTTCTCTGGATGACTATCTCAACAATGTTGGAGAAACTCATTCCTCCAAACAGGTCTTAAAGGTTATCAATCTTCAATTGCATTGGAAGTCTTGGTCTACATCAACTCAAAGCTCTGATACCGCGGTGCAGACGAGAGCCAATAGCAGCCTCCATCAATGAAAGCCCAAAAGCCTCGAAGTATTGCAAGATCTCCTTCAAAGCGCGTTTCTTCAATCTTTCCCCTGTAAGCTTTGCAGCCAGGGGCTCTTGTTCAACGATACTGGTAATGGAAAGATTGGATGCCACCTGCGTCTTGTGTGATGAGGTTGAGATTGTTCTGAGATTGTTTAAAATGGGACTAGGTGTATAAGAGAATGTCCTAGGTTGAAGGTAACACGGGCCCTTCTATGCAAGATAGAGACAGTTGAGTGCTATTATATCTATAGCAAATTGTGCCCTATAGATTTAACCCTTTTCCCCAAAAGTAGTGACACAAGTAAGTCTCAAATCACAATATCCCGTTTACCGCCGATCCTCGTGAATCGTGTTAATTGAGCTAAGGACGAGTCCGAGAGCATAGTTATCTAGTAGCCAAACTGAATTGAGCTGGATCCGATGTGCATCAAGGAGGGTCTCGAACTGGGACGTTTAGTGGTATCATTGCTTGCACAACTAAAAACTGAGCATGGACCAAATCATTTGGAGAATTCACCATCTCGCGGTTTCACAGGAGTGTTTGGACTCCCCGGTGTAGGTATCATAAAGTCGAGCATACCAAATGTCCTTTCCGTAGTTCAAGGTCTCCACTTGAAACACTACATTGCAAGGGGGAAAATCTCAATCTCAAGCGTCCGAGCTTATAAGAGATCGTGTTGTATACTAGGCCCAGTGTGACATGGGCGTTGCCCCGATTGGAAAAGAGACCCTGAGAACTTTCAAATTTTCTGTGTGTTATTTCACGAAATTGACTAGAGATATGTATGAATATCGTGCTGCCAAGAACATCCATTATGACGCAACACGCAACTTGGGCAATATGCATAACATTACGCTAGTCGCGATCCATCTACATATGTGGTCAAAATAGCCGATCTATGCATGTTTGGTCGAAAAGGATTCTTAACCGCCAGGGCCATCTATAAAATCACTAAAGTAAATACCACATGCAAGCAATATCAGTCGAATATTAGGAATAGTCTACCCTGCATGTAAGGAGTATTGGGTCGGAATTCTTTCAAATGGAATAATTTGAAACATGAGATGGATGTTGTAGAAGAGTTTGATCTCTTGGTTTCTTCGACTTTGCGGAGAGTCGATCTATCTGATAGGGGGTTACTTTCTTTCCCCTATTATATGGCTCCTCAAAAACCCCTCAGTTCTATAGAGACACATGGATTCAGTATAGCATTGGTTATACGACATGATGCAGGTTATATGTAGAAAACTGCATGAGCGAGAGTGATCTGCATCAGTGGCGTCGATAGCACATCCGTGCAGATCCTCAGTGTCAGATATCAAATTCGGGTTACTCCGTGCAATGCGAGCCAACCAAGTATTGGCAGCAGTTTTCAACAGTAGACGCTCGATAGAGAAGCACGCAATATTTGGGCTTTGCAGTCTATCTACAACACGTCGAACCCCGTAATGGGGGAATGCACAGATAAGCTCATGGGACGTATCTTGTTCAGACGATGCAAAAGCAGTGAATAAATGCAGTGGACTATACAAAAAGACAAAGAGTTCAGTCTCCCAATGTTGGTCGTAGCGTTCCTTCTCCTTACGATATCTTCTCCTTAGCCTGCGCGATGATGTCTTCCCACACAGAGAGGTCATCAGAAGGAGTCCGCAGACCCTGACCTGCCGAGGCAATTTCATTTTCCTCGAGCAAAGGACTGCTACCAGGAAGGCCCAAGATAGGCTCTCCATCTCGAGCAAAGGCAAACAGCTCTTCTTCAGTACCCCATTCGCTCATAGCCATCAGACCGATAGGTACACCGCTATCTGGTGCATAACCAGCGGGACAACTGATAGCAGGGCATCCAGTAAAGTTAGCCAGCCAAACATACTCCATGTTGCGCACAGATGACTGGGCATCAGACAAACCGCGAGACAAGTCCGCCTCGCCGCCGTCAATGTGCCATCCAGGGATGGGCGTTGTGGGCGAGACAATGAGTAGCCCAGGGAAAGTCTTGAACAGATGCGCAAGATGTGTCATGAGGAGGTTGCGCAGCCGCTGGGAGGCTAGCAAGTCCTGTGCGGTGATCTGGTACATGCCCATAGAGACAAGCACCTTGTTTGGGGCTGTGAGTTGGCGGATCTTGCTTGCATCGACGCCGGATGCGATCTCAGCCATGATAGTAAGAGCATGGGCACGCTGACCTTCGGGCAGGTAAGGGATTGTGATATCGACGATTTTGTAGCCTTGCTCGCGGTAATAGTCGAGCGCCCGATCAAGCGCAGCGCGCACAGGGTCCTCGGCGCGGTCATTCCAGTCGCGAACAATACCTATCGTCTTCGTTCTCTTGACTTCGGGGTGCGGGGGAGTAGGATAGGGGAACTGCGAGGAAATCGGGTCCTCTGAAGCCGGTGCCGGGGTGGCCATGATGCGATAGGAGAGGGCGAGGTCATCGATGCTGGCAGCCATCGGCCCGATAACACCAACAGTGGGGGCGAGGCTTTGCGATGGTGCACCGGAAACACGGCCATGCGAAGGCTTCAAGCCCCAGATACCACAAAATGATGACGGGATGCGAATTGAGCCTCCGCCGTCTGCGCCAAGCGCTATGGGCACAAGGCCCGCCCCGACAGCATATCCAGAGCCACCGGACGAACCACCACAATAGTACTCCTTATTGTGGGGATTTCTAGGTGTTCCAAAGTTGGGATTGTTGTTGTTTGTGTCTGAAGAGCATTAGGTTACTACCTGCAGGTGAAATTCGATGAGGACCAATGGGAACCCACCCAGTCCGATCTCATGCATGGATGTTTTCCCGATGATTATAGCTCCAGCAGCCAGCCACTGTTTCACACACCACGAGGTCGCATCAATCCCGTTCTTGAAATCCATCTTTGAGCCTAGCGTACGCTTATACCCGGTGAGGTGCACCTCATCCTTCACTGCGACTGGAACGCCGTCGAGTGGACCCAACGACTGGCCGTTCTTGTATCGCTCGGTAGATTCTTGCGCTGCTGAACGGACCAACTCGGCCTGAGACTCAAGGAAAGCAGTTGAGTGTTTCCCTGGCGGCTGGGTATCACGTCGGACCAGAGGCAAGAGCGTCTCGATGACAGCGGTCGGGGTCAGCTCCCCAGACAAGTAGAGCGCATGATAATCCGCGGAAGTATAGTATCCATATTCTCCCTTTCTGCGCTCCACAATGGAAGACACTGCTTTCGCTGGTAACTCGGCCTGGCTGGTAATGTCGACTGGAATCACAGTTGGATCGTAGCGGCCGGCGTACTGGCCAAGGTGGGAGATTTCACGAATGACGCCGAAACCGGCATTACGCCAGAAATGGCTTTGGATTAACCCAATATGATGGATTCTGATTTGAACCGCGGGGAATTAGCATGTTGCGAATGCCCAACGGAACTCTCCTGTAGCTTACAATGTAGCGCCGATGGCCAGAGGTGTGCCGCGGAAGACCGGTAAGACCTGGTCTTCATACTTGTACGGCACATTTGGACCCTCACGTGCTTGGGGGTAATTTAGAAAAGACTGTTCGTGAAAGGGCATAGTGTTGGTTGCAGAATGGTTTGTACAATTCACGGGCTCATAAATTGCTCCACCATGATATCACATGCTGCGGCTAATCCTCATGTCCAAGCTTCTACGCCCATGCAAGGCTATGTCTGCGGATGCAGAACACATCAGTAAAAACACATTTATATGCAATTTTGAGTTGGAAAATACCCTATCTATGAGTGTTGTAATATATCTACAAGCTCAATTTAATGTTGTAGTTGTCCATCCCCAGAGCAGCACCAGTTAGCACTGCTGCATAGACTACTAGAATACCCATGGCCTGGGGTGTGTTGAGATCCAATGTTGGAATGCTGAGATTTACTGCTCCAGTAAGCAGGTTCGCAATCAGGAACAATGCAAGCCCACCACGGTTGAAGGCATGTAAGATGCGACTGGTCGCAAAGGACGTCTGCTCTGCCTCGCCTTCCTTGCTAGTCGCTCGGTGAACCGAGGGGAAAAAGACAGTCTCGGTAAAACAGAACAGGAAAAGCTGGGCACTGTTGAATGCTGCCACCCAAAGCACGTATGGCATGTTAGCCAGCCGACGCGACACTGGGATGTTGGCACCATAGCCAAATGCGTAGGTGGAATTAAAGAAGAACAGGGTTGACCAGAACATTCCCTGAAGAACCAGTTGCACCAGAACAGAGTTCCGTGCTTTCTGTGGCGACTTTGCGGCCGAGGTACCACGAGGAATGATGCGAACTCCAACACCCCGTCCAGCGAGGAAAATTGCAAAATATCCAATGAAAGAAAAGATTCCCTCGCGGTTCTTGGAGAGCAGATCTGGCCCCCGAGGAGACACCAGAATGTAACCCTTGAGATCGGTCGACTCCAGAGCGACTTGGTAGAGTACCGCTATTCCAAGTGCAAGCACCTCATAAGAGGGAATCAGGGCAACCAAGGAGTCGAATAGCTCCACAAAAGGAGGCAAAAAGCCAAGCGTGAAGAAAAAGTTCCAGTGGACACCATATTCCGTCACATGTTCCGCATAGTCCAATCCTTTGACGCTCCACAATCGGATGAGGCCTAGCACAAGCAGAGGAATGGAGTGCCGAGCCGACCCAATCAATCTCTTATGCAAAGCCAATCTCGGGGATTTTGAGTGCCGACCCTTCAGAACCGCGCGCGCAGAGACTACTCCAGCGGAGAACACAAAAGAGCCCACGCCCAAGTCCATTAGAGATGTTCCCCAGTTCTCTACCTTGGCGAAACGACGTGGGAATGCGCGGAAATCGACTGCAAGAATAGCTATACAGGTGACAATCATCATGGCTGCGCGGTAGGTGGTCAAGAATGGGTGAATAGGCAGGGCCTGCTCCTCCTCCTGGGAGCTTTCATTTTTGGCCTTGGACTTGCGAGGCGGTTTCGCCTTTTGGGGTATGCGCAGGCCGTTCTGGGTGAGGAGTAGGAGAACCGCGGGGGAGATGAGGAAGATGTTGAGGAGAAGCGGTGTGGAGGAGTATGCAGTCGTCGCGAATAAGATGGCGAGTACATTGAGGATGAAGTCAGTCGCGAGTGCCGCAGGACCGTAGGGTGTGAAGAAGGATAAGCGAGACTGAAGCGCAGACCAAAGGAGGACAGATGTCTAAAGCGGCCACTAGTTAGAAGATACTAATTGCAAGGTAAAGCATTGAGCTTTCTCACTGAAGCAACGAGTGTGACTGTATTGATCTCGAGGATTGTGCTTCCCGCAAGATTAGACACAAAGGCCTCCTTGCGAGCTTTGTAGCTCGGATCCATGTTGGGCAGTTATCAATATGGATAGCTGATCGCCCTCGAATGTTCGAATTTAAAGAGTGACGTGGTTGAATGGCGTGGAGGGTTGAAGCTCCAAACGTTGTGTTCACCCGCGATCACCTGACCATTTTGACAGTCTACAATCCCAAGAACAGCTGTCAAGATCAATTATGACACTGTGTCAATTGCTTCAAGGTTTCATGGATGGATACCTAGATGGCTACTCCTACAGATGGCTCAAAGCAATTGTGACTACCGTGGCTAGCTTTGAGGATGGCTTTACGACCTTACAGAGATGTGGGCAACTGTTCACAAGTAATTTTGGGTTCGATTAAGAAATTTTGTGTAGCAGGTCGTAAGTCTCTAGTGTCTATGAATAACTAAATTTTAGCACGCTGTCCTTGACATCAGGATGTGAAAGAATCATGAACTGGGCTTTCCACGTCCACCACCACGACGTGCTCCACGGCCTCCGCGGCCCCCGCGACCTCCTCCACGCTTTTTCTCAATACCGCCTCGGTCTCCTTGGCCAGCTCCGGGGCTAAGTGCATCTCGAGTCTTGCCGCCTCGGGATGAATTGCGAGGTCTAGAGGATCCGTTTCGGGCCATCTCATTTGGGTCTGCATAGTTGAAACCGGGAACACCCTTCAACCCCATCTTGCCAATGACCTTTCTGTCCATTGGTGGAGGCTCAGGACATCCCATGCCTTTGACGGCCATCTCGTTGGCAAGTTGGACAAGGCCAGCCTTGTCGAGACGAAGCTGTCTCAGAAGACCCGATCCAGCGAAGAAACCGATGAAAGACGAGTAGGCACGTTGCTTCGATTCTTCATCAATGGTGTACATGGCCTGCAAGACAGCCTTGGAGCATGAAGGAGCACCGGCATTGATCGCTTCAGTATCGGGGTGGGGCTTAATGGGCAAGTGGCGGTTGTTCTTCATGAAGAACGACTCACCCTCCGTGAGAAGGATGATAGCGCGGCCGTCAGCGCCAGCACGGGCGGTACGACCGACACGGTGAACGTACTGCTCGCCGTTTGATGGCAAACCGACCTGGATGACCAAGTCGACGTTGGGGAAATCCATACCACGACCAATAACATCTGAAGCGAACAGAATGCCGGCTTCAGCCTCCTTAAATTGATCGGTGGTTCTTGTGCGAGCACCCTGGTTGAGTCTGGAGTGGATCTCAAACACCTTCAAATGAACCATGCCCTTGCAGAAGACTCCTGCTAGTAGAGCAACCATGTGTGCAGTCACGCCAAAGACAATGATTTTCGAGCTCTTCTTGATTTCATGCTTGAGCAGGGAGGCAAGTGTGGTGAAGGTATCTGCCACAGATGGCATCAGCACGTGGTACTGGGGAACCCTTTCATGCGTTGGTGCTTCATTCTTTTCGATGGTAGAAATGCTGGTGTAGTCTCTCTTCAACACAATATTGACCACATCCTTGACTTTAGGTGGGACGGTGGCTGAGAAGCACATGCCTTGCCACCCTGTGCTCTTTTGTGGGATGAGCTGGAGGATTCGCTTCACATCAGCAATAAATCCACTCTCAAGCATCGTGTCGGCTTCATCCAAGACCAAAGTTTGGATGTTAGACAGCTTCTTGGCGGTGGGAGTTTGAGATAAGTAGTCGCATAGGCGTCCCGGGGTGGCGACAAGAATGGATGGTGCGCCCTTCATGAAGCGCGAATGAGCCGATGCTCGGGCAGTTCCACCAACGGCAACGTGGCACTCAAGCGGAGTGGGAAGTTGCGACGTTAATTCATCACATGCCTTTGCAATTTGTTGGGCAAGTTCTCGGGTTGGGGTAATGATCAAGATGCCAACCTTGCCTTTGGGTGGCGCGGAATCACCTTGGAGCAGGCAGTGCAATGCCGGCAACAAAAAAGCAAGGGTTTTTCCAGTTCCAGTTTTGGCCTGGACCAGGCAGTCGCTGCGCCAATTTGGAAGTTCAGTCAAAACACGCTGCTGGACAGGGGTCATATGGGTAAACCCCATCACGTCAAGGGCTTTGAGGAGCTTGGAGTCCAACTTCCCAGCCATTGTTGAGTATAACTGAGTGTCATTGCTGAGTTGAAGACCGTCCATGATGGTCAAATGTTGATATTCCTTGAAGAAAACTGCAGTTGATTGTTTCAACGAAAGCTCAAACTCAAACTCGTGAGTGAAGAACGTTTGAAGTTTGTTGACAAAACAAGACCAAGCGACAGTGTGATTGAATGTAGTCTTTCTTCTCTTGTTCCTTCTAAATTAGCAAAAGTCAGACTGATGCTTATTGATGTGAATCAATACAAGCTTACATTTGACAAAGAAGAGATTTGTTGCCAAGCATTTAAGATTGCCCCAAAGTCTGGCAAGCGTCATCTGATTGGTTCCAAGGACCCCACTATCTTCGCTTGATATCACGTGTATTGTGGGCTAGTTCCTGGAAAAATGAGACTAACCGCCTATGGTAATTTGCCTACCTTGGGCGGTTATTTTCCAGGGAATATGCAACCGTGCCAAGCGCCCAACACTTTTTCTAGTGTTGGGCGCGCTTGGCACGGTTAATCTATCGAAAGTCGATGGATGTTTTAGCATTATTTTGGAACTTCACCGTGATGAACCTTTCCTCTCATGGCCAATCTTGCCCGATGCTAGTCTAAAGGCGAGCAACGGATTCAACTTGAAATCCAGTATGAAATCTACAATGGTCGACCAGGGGTCACGGACCGGGTTTAAAACCAGTGGGAACGTCCGCATGCACGGTGCCGGTTAAACTGTATGTTGTAGGGCCACCATTTTCAAAATAACCGTGCCCGATTCCCCACTTGCATACCTCCACATGGATGGCAATTGCATTGTACAACGTATAGGCTAATTGACGTGGCGCCTGTAGATGTTTCAGAGAATAATCCATCGAATGTCGGTAAACAGCGTGCTTTCATGGCGGGGTTCGTAATTTGAAGGTATCATACCCATAAATGATTGGTTCTCCGAGGATCTAAGTCTCCGGGATAGGTGAAATTTCCTGAATGGTTAACATGACAATGGACGAAATCGAGGTGTAGAGATCACCCAACTTCCCAATATTCTGTCAGAGCGGACACAATGCTGCTAGAATAGTCGGAAATTGCAGGAGTTCCCCGCTTAGGTCTCATGGTGAACATAAAATCACAAAAAGGGTCAAAGCCTCGCTGCTACAAATTGTCAATCAATTCGATTCAAACAATGGCCACGTTAGATCGTCTTCTTTAGAAGATATAAGCTTGTTCACAAAAAAAAACATTTATACTATCCAAATAATAAGCCAGGACCTGCGGATACCTGGAGCCGAATCCTCGGGGACCATCGGCGTTCAGGGCCAAAGGATTCTTGTCCGCCTTTTGCTCCGTATCTCCACACGGACGTGGATCATCACCAATGGTTTCTGAATTCCTTGTGGCGCAAGTTGTATTTTAGGACAATTTCTGATGTCCCCCTTGATCGATCAACAGTCGTCAACTTGTAGCGCTCAGCAACATCCAAAATGGAAAAAGAGTGTATCTGGTAAATGCTCATCAAGGTGCGTGGCGGACATCCCACATGAAATCTTGAGTAAATGGCCGCTCATTCATCATGGCAGCAGTCGAAGACATTGGACGTGGAGAATTAGGGTGGCTAACCGTAGTGGCTGAAAAGAGAACGCTATAGCGATTGCCCGTGCTCCGTAGCTATCCACACAGTTCGTCTATTTCTCCACGCTAATTGGGCGTTTCGAGGTCTCACTTTCGCCGCATCATCGGGAGATTTGCCTGGCTTGTTAGTCAATCTGAAGAAATTGAGTTGCGTACTGGGGATTGACAATTTGGTGGTCTTATCGAGGTTATTCCGCCACTGAGAACGTCCCCTGAAACGATCTATGGCTGTACCACACAACGTTCTCTTTTCCTCTCCCCGTACAGTCGTCCAAGCGAATCTAGCCCTGAATTCGCACGATCTGTCACGTTCTACCTTGATCCCTGCTCGGCCCGGAAATAGTCTCGAGCCACCCACACGCGATCTTTCAAAATCAGTGATCCACCACTCCCCCTCATGTTAGGCTCCAGTGCTGGGTCCATGGTCACCAGCGGGGGGTTCTCTTCGAAAGGTTCTAGGCAACGGAGGGGGGATTTGTATCAAGTCTCGGGTGTAGGAGGGTACCAATAACCATGAGCTCTCAAGATGAACCGCCTGTGAAGAGGCGGGAGTCTCGATCGGGGACAAGGAAAGTCTCAACTCTGTCAGCGGAACAACTAGAGCGAAAGCGTGCAAACGATCGAGAGGCTCAGCGGTCCATTCGCCAACGCACCAAGGAGCATATCGAACAACTTGAATCTCAGGTCTCTACGCTCCAATCACAGATTGCGGAGATGCGGCTCCAAAAAAAACGGTTTGATGAAGTTGTACAGCACAACGCCTTCCTAGAGAACGAAGTAATGCGATTGAAGCACCAAGTTGCTTCTTTAACAGGCCGACCGGAATTTGCATCAAACAACGAGCCGATAGCTTCATTTCGAAGTGAGTGGTCTTTGGAAGAAGCCTCGAGTAGTGCATTACCGGGCATCCCAACAACGGGGGCATTGTTACCGCCACAATTCTCTGCAACGTCCCACACTCAAAGGCCATCTGGCCTTTCAGCATCGCATCGAGGGTCTCATCAGCATGACTGGCAACAACCCTATCCGTCCACAAGATCGCCGTCGCTTGGTGCAGCCTCCGATCCCGAATTCCCCAATTGTCTGGAGCCATATCCCGAACATGGTCAAACGCATCAAGCACAACCAATACGCACACCTCAGCAACAATCCGAATCTTCTTTCTCCGAATTCGCTTACAACAACCGGACACTTTCCCTGTCGAATGCCAGTCCCGTTCCTCAGCCAACTCCTGACCGAGTCTACCAATCCTCCGCACCAACGTACCAGCAACAGATACCTCAATCGCAGCAGACAGATCCGGCATACGAGTATCCATGGGTGCCACCATCATAAAAAAATTGCATTTGCCGGGCAACCGGTGGAGTTGAGGCGTATTCTATCCTGGGTAAAAACACAATGTCTTGTGAGTTCAGGCCAGGATGCGAATCCTCCATCCGGCCTCACAGAGTAAGTTTTGTTCAAGAATCTTAATACGGACAGACATACGGAGTACTGATCCATAGTATAGATCTCAAAGCAGTAGTTGTTCTCGGGCTCTAACTTCGTCGCGTAAACCGTGATTGAAATGTCTTTTCACACAAGATAACTACGGAAATAACAGCCGTGCTGAAAAAAAACGTTAGCTGACGGAGAAGCGCCGGTCCCACCTCCGGTCCATCTACAACATATGACTCGGGGGGGGGGGGCGCTCGGTAAGCCGACGCCTTGACTGCCACACCGGAAAATTATTGTTGAGATTGGAGATACAAAGAAGGCTAGTCACATTGGCATGATTGGGGGGGAGCATCATCTGCGCTGCTTCTTTCCTCTTGTATACAATTTGGCATTTACACATCTCAGTGAAGCAAATTCGAAATGGTCATAGGGGTAACCCATGATGAGTACATACCTAAAAAGATATCAACAACACGCCATATTTTGCATTCATGCATCCAGGGATGAAATCAAACTATTTCCAAACAAAATCACTTGGGTGGGTATTCGTATCTCGTCTAGTTCGTGTACTGCTTCTGAAGAAGCTTGGCAATAGTCTGCAGCTGGATGTTGCTGGTCCCCTCATAGATAGCACCGATCTTACTATCGCGAAACATCTTCTCAGCAATGCCCTCGCGGACAAATCCCATGCCACCCATCCATTCAACAGCCGAGCTGGATACCCGGCCGGCGACCTGGGAGGCGTACAGCTTAGCCATGGCGGCATCCTTGACAAAGTCCTGGCCAGCCTCCTTCTTACGGGCGGCGTTGTAGACGAGAGCGCGGGCAGCGGCAATCTCGGTATAGGCCTGCGCAATCTGGTGCTGCATGCCTTGGAAGTTTCCGATGAGCTCACCGAATTGGCGGCGGTCGTTCCAAACGTACCTTTGGTGATGGTCAGCTGATTGGATTCATGTGCGGATGGATCTTGTACTCTGAATCTTACCGTGCGGCGTTTTCCCATGCGCCGAGGGCCAGACCGGTCATCTGGGCGGCGATGCCAATACGACCCTCGTTCAAGACGCTGATGGCGTACTTGTATCCCTGTCCCTCCTCGCCGAGCAAATTGCTCTTGGGGATGATACAGTCGTCAAAATTGAGTACACAAGTGCTGCTAGCACGGATTCCAAGCTTCTTCTCCTTCTTGGCAATCGAGAAGCCGGGGGTATTTTTCTCGACAATGAAAGCAGTAATACCTTTGTAACCCTTGCTGGGGTCTATGTTGGCAAAGACGATGAAGATACCAGCCTCCATAGAGTTAGTGATCCACATCTTAGAGCCATTGATCTTATAGCCATCGGCGGTCTTCTCGGCCTTAGTCTGGAGCGCGAAGGCATCGGAACCAGATGCAGGCTCGGAGAGACAGAATGAGCCGACAGTGCCGGTGGTCAACTTGGGCAGCCAGGTCCGCTGGGCCAGGGCATCGCCATACTTCATGATCGCAGTGTTGACCAGTGTGTTGTGGACGTCGACCATCACACTGACACTAGGGTCGACGCGTGCCAACTCCTCGATCGCGACGATCGCCGCGGTGAAGTTCATCCCGGCGCCGCCAAACTCCTCTGGCACCTCAATGCCCATCAAGCCCTGCTCGAAGAGCTGCTCCACAACTTTCAGGTCCATAGTCTCGGCCTCGTCCATTTCTCGCACCTTTGGGCCGATTTGCTCCGCCGCGAACCTCGATACTGAGTCGGCCATCAAGGATTCTGTCTCGGACAAAAGCGTAATCGGCGTCGGGGTCAGCCCGGAGAGGTCGACCTCCCGCCGGCGGGGGGTGGTTGAGAATGCATATGCGCTATAAGGATAAAAGCACTTGTTAGCAAATGTGATTTCATGGGGATGTGCTCCTGGGCTAGACAGTACTTCTGTACAAGCCGACCAGCAGCAAGTCGTTTGCCCGCCAAGCGGACTGAGGGGGTACGCGACAAAGGTCGCAGCGCACGAATAATAGAAGCCATTGTGAACTAAGGGGAGATTAGCTTAATGCACTATGAGGAGGAAAAGAAAGAAAAAAAGACGACCTTGAGAGGGAGGTAGAGGACATGACCGGGGTCAGAGCCGAGGTCGGTTACCGGCGGCGTTGGGGATGCGCGGGGAGAAATGTGGGGCTCCTCTTTTTTTTTACCTAGGTTGACCATGAAGGGGATGGATGTGATATACGGATTACGGATTTTGATCTCTATTCTAGATACTGTTTATATCCATGTCTTACACAACTAACGGCTGCCATGCTAAATAGGTCTACTGATAGCATCAACCGAAAAGATCTAGACCTTGAATGATTACCATCAAACAACTTTTCAAATATCCCGACTCTACTCACGGATCAGATCCTCGCCAGAGATGCTGATATTCCCTGATGAGGGGGACCCCAGGATCTTCTAACGTCCTCGAAATGACTCACGATATCAGTCCTAATCATTACATCCTTCGGTCCTCCAGATGTGGTAAGCTCGATCCAGCCCGACGCCATCGAATGGCTTCCTCCCTCTATATACGGTGGGCTGAAAATTGGAGTGGCTTACTGGGTTGGAATTGTTCGTGCCATCTGCTGCGTGTGCTAGAAATGCAACACAACCCAGTTTTGGTACATTCTTTCAGCGTCCTACACAGTATCCCTGTATCCTTGAGGACCTATTGTAACTGTAGCCTAAAAGCATTGCTCTATGCATGTATGCATGTCGCTGTCGTAATAATGGGCTGAATGCGTGTGAGAATTAGTTAGCTTTCCTTCATCCCACCCTCGCCCTCCAAATGCGCTACGATCGTTCGGTGGGCTCTCTCTGACTTCTTATCAACACCTGTATAGTTCTGATGGAAATACAATCTTTCAACCCACGGAGAACCAACGCCTAAGCACCCGATCCCAAGCCCCTGCTACATCCATTTCATCTCTTTGATTAGCGAAGAAGTATTACAAATTCTGGCAGACTTCCGGGCTACCCCTCCATTCAGCTTTATACACGTACCCAACACAGGTTGTGCACTTGAAAAGTTCAAACTGAAGCAGCTAATTTCCTCTCATACGTTTTCTCAAATACATTCTGAAAGACGTTAAAAATTCAACGAGATAAAGATAATGGCTCCGTCCCAAGACTTTGCATCCCACAAGGCCGGTAGTTCTGGCATTTTACCAAGTTCTGTGCCAGTGCTCATTATGGGGGGAGGCCCGACTGGCCTGTTACAAGCTCTGCTTCTGTCTCGACTAGGGGGTATGACTGTGTTCGGAGAAGTCGATAGAGGATTTTTGTTGACATGATCCATGCAGTCCAATCATTGATTATCGAACGTTATCCCGAGCGTCTAGCTGCTCCAAAAGCCCACGCGATCAACCCCCGCTCTTTGGAAATCTTGCGTCAATTTGGCCTAGGCGAGAAGCATGTCCGCCAGCTAGGCACTTCACGAGATGATAGCTTCTCGGTTAATTTTCTCACCAATCTTTGCGGGGATGCGATCGGCAGGCTCCCGTATGAGCGTATGGATCCTGCTGTATTGAATGACACGCCAGAGGTACTTTGTCTCTAAAAGTGAGAGAAACCCAGAAACGGCACTGACCAATTGAAACAAATAGATGATCCATAATATACCCCAACCAGCGCTCGAGCAAGAATTGTCCAATTTCATCGCAAAGGATCCCAACGTCACCTTAATCAAGGGATTCAGTATATATGCTGTGGAACAGGTAAGTACACGGGCGATCTTGGTTTGTAATGAAGCAACGCGATTAACCGAAGACCAGACTGAAAATGAAGTCATGGCGACAATTGAGCAACGCTCCACTGGACAGCTCCATCAAACAAAGTCCCGTCACCTCATAGCCTGTGATGGTCGTAGAAGCAAGGTCCGCGAGCTGCTCGGGATCGAGTCTGAAAGCGAAGACTCAGACCAGACAATGATGACCATTCATTTCAACGCCAATCTGCGACCCGTCGTTGGTGACCGGGTCGGCATGTTGTACTGGATAATGGACCCTTTAGCTGCGGGTTTCATCATCGGCTATGACCTTGATGGAAACCAGGTACACATCAGCCAGGTCGACATTAAACAGCATCCAGTCGAGTCGTGGACAGAAGAGATATGCAGAGCCAAGATCCGTGGTGCTATCGGTACAGCAGATGTTCCGTTTGAGGTCCTGAGCTGTCGCCCGTGGGTCTTCCGTCGACAGGTGGCTGTCACGTTCCAGGCAGGAAACGTCTTCTTGTGAGTTTTTGAAAGTGGAGATTGTCCTTGTGGAATCCTTGTTGATGGTTTGAAATCTTCCAGGGCTGGAGATGCTGCTCACTCATTCCCCCCAACTGGTGGACTTGGATTGAATTGTGGTCTTGCAGATGTTCATAACTTGGCTTATAAGATTGCCTTGGTTCATCGGAAAGTGGCAACACCATCTATACTTTCTACATACACTGCTGAGCGACGTGGTGTTGCGGATTCCTATTCCAAGCAGAGCGTTAAGAACGGCAAGGAGGTTTTTGCACTGCTGCAAAGTCTCAAGACTGCTGGTGTTGAAGATGTTGCTCAAGCACGAAAGAATATGGTGGCAGCGTTGGCGGATCCGGCCCAAAGGAAACAGGTTGAGGCAGGTATTGAAGGGCAGAGAGAACATTTTGATAATGTAAGTGGCTTCATTTTGGTTTACCCCTTCTCCTAAAATTTCCGGGTTTTCTCACACTTTTGATCATAGCTGGAGCTTCAAATTGGATACGTGTATGGAGCTACTAAGCCACCTTCTCATGCTTCCCATTATTCTCCGAAATTTGTGCCCGGGGCGCGCCTGCCTCATGCTTGGATCACTTTTCCAGAGCAGGTTTCCTCGGAGACAGAGGCGGCTAAGCGTTCCTCGCTACCTCGGGACCCAGTCGACGTATCCTACGTTAAGGAGCTTGGTGCAGATCAGGTTCGCGCATGTCAGTGGAGTACCCTGGATCTTTGTGGTCCTGACTCTTGGACTTTGATCTTGGGAAAGGAGCAGCAAAATCCTCAGATTTCATTTTTGCAGAAGCACTTTAGCGTGGTTGGTTTACCTCTTAACACCTGGCGCCTCGGGATGGATTTTGAAATCGTCAAGCAAAGCTGGTTCGCTAATGAATTGATTCATGGTGGAGGGATTCTGATTCGCCCTGATCAGCATATTTTAGCAAGGGTCTCTATTGAGGCCAAGGGAAAGGACTTGGTTACAGAAGTGAGCAAACATCTTGGGATTTCATAGGTCATAAATACCCTCGAGCAAAGCCTGGGATATGCATCGACTCCTTGTTCATTCCGACCAACATACGTTCGCAGACATCTCATACTGAGTATTCTAGGCTGTCTCAATAGGCTGTTTCTAAGCTACTGCCCAATTGAAAAAAAAACAACACCTTCTGCTTTTTGAGATCTAAGAATGTAGTATGGTGCTTTCTGCTTCAATCACGTTGACTCGGAATCGTTTGAGCCGCACTCCACTCCACGAAGGCCCTTGCTTTTCCCCACATGGTACTTCGTCTGTCTCTGTTGCCCTACGCCTCTGAAACTTATAGAACTTGATGTTGCATGATTTTCTTCATACAACTGACACAGGCATAGTATCTCTCAAAACCCATGCAGCTTGTCGTCGGCTGGATCCGTCTCAAAGTCAAACTGAACCAAATCCTCCTTGTAAGGAATGAAATATGTGCTTGTGCCCCTTAATTAACGTGAAATAACATTATATACCGGGCACACGACATGCCAAGGGGCAATTCTTACCTTTCATGCTAACTGCTAGCTTGATACTCAGCCAACATTGCTTGGTCCTCGTGGTAGCTCACCAGAGCACATTGATATCCTTTGCGTTTTTCCATAGCTCAGATCCACTCCCAAGTTGCAAAGAAGATGGCATGCAACTTACTTCAAAGTACTTTGCGTCGGTGCATCTCGCATACCCGTTTCTACACCAACCGTCCCACATCAGAGAACTCGGGAGATTTTATTGTAATGAAGTACTGCCTAACTCAGCGGATACCTTTCATCTCTACATGGTACTTGAAATGGTAACCTCGGATCTCTCTAGACGGGTACAAAGATGCGAAGTTTAGATGCCCCTTCAAGCTCGACAAGGCAAGGCATGAATCAATTAATGTCCGGCATAGGAAGATCGCAGCGGCCACATATGACACATGAGGGAAGGGAGCTGCCGTCTACACCTAGGACAGAGTCTGGCGTTGAAAACTTGCCGCTAAACTTATAGATGGATGAATACGACCCGCACGTTGATTACATGAGTTGGCTGCACGATTCCATGCCTGGGGGCTTTATGGAATTTAGCGAGACTCCGGACTTTGACACCTCCATGTGGGAGGTCTTTGATGCCAACTTAGGATAGAAGAGGTTTGGAATATAAAATATGATATAACACACAATCAAGATTTCTTGAAGCATCAATTTTAATTCTATGTCCCCGATGACTGTGGCTCACTAGCTGAGCCGCAATTAAATAGAATTCAAATAGCCTGTAGATCTTTGAAAATGACATTAACCAGGCCAACCAGGCCTTCGACATCAATTTCTGGAGGCGTGAGGTCCAGCGGCGCAGGGTCCTCCCCAGGCTGCCTCCCAAAATTACCAGCTATCATATCTCTGTAACTCTATAAGGACTCGTTCCTTGGTCGGCAATTTACACCGCCGAAACAGCACGTCCAAGCATTTTCGAATCGTCATTAGCTTGTTGGATAGCATCGCAGAATGCCAAGCCTAGCTGCGACAAGGTGGGCTTTCGGCTCGCTGGTATTTTGGCAGGACTATCCTGGATGTCGCCTTGGGTAAGAGATGCTTCCAGTATTTGCTTGGTGGTTTGCATCCTAATATTTCTTTCTACCCCTGCATTTCTTTGCCGTGGAAAATTTGGCGTGAGATATTACTGCACTAGTGTTAGCATTCCACTGTGATATTGTGCCTTCTCAAATTCTCCAGCTCCTTTTTTGGGATTTTACTGCGCACTTGGCTGAATTTTCGGCTACATCTGTGATTGGTCAACTTGCGCCAATTTCCTATTACAGCATCATGACTCTGTGCTATGCCCCTCTTTCCTCTCACTCATTTCGTCTTTCTATGGGATTTCTGAAAATATGGGCACAGTCATTATCACAGGTGCAACTGGCTCCCTCGCGCTTGAAGCAGTGCAACAACTTCTATGGTTGCATCCCTCGTTGACCATTGTTGGCACTGTCCGAAATGCGAAGAAATCCCCCAAAAGTGCTCAGTTACTTCGACTGGAAGAGATTGCACAGCGATATTGTTCCGGGAGGTTCCTGATCAAAAGTGTCGATTTGAATTCTATTTGGGAGGTACGAGCTTTCTCAAACGAAATTGCTAGCCTCGTGGAATCTAGCGAGCTTCCACCCATTTCCGCCATCATTTGCAATGCGTTCACATGGTCACTAGATGGTCAGCAATTTTCCAAGGATCAGTTAGAATCTACATTCCAAGTCAATCAGCTGTCGCACTTTTTACTGGTGCTCAAACTTCTGCGGAGCATGGATCCCGAGGGGGGTCGAGTGGTCATGCTTAGCTCGGAAGTTCACGATCCTGAACACTCTAACGCTCTTTCCAAACTTGGTGCAACCCTTCCCTCTAAAGATGGCCTTGGTGCATTGGTCTATCCTGGCGCAGATGAGGTTGGAACAGAACATGACATGGGCTGGCAACGATACGCAAACAGCAAGCTAGCCAATGTGATGTTTATGCAGAGTTTGAACCAAAGACTGGAACAGGTATGAGCAAATTTTTCAAAGTGCAGGGCATTTCACTGAGCCTGTTTTAAGAATCCAGAACTGAGCAAGATCACCGTGACTGCTATGGACCCAGGCGGTCTTGTGAACTCCCGGGCCCATCTCGCCCAGCGTTCAACTACTCGCGTTTTGTTTAGGCTCCTTGCGCTTTTGCTTCCAGTGCTTAAGCTTTTTACCTACCGACTTCGATCAAATTTAGACTCGGCCCGAGATGTCCTAGCACTGGCTTTGGCCCCTGAGTACGCATCATTGAGGGGCTATTTCAACGGAAGAAACCCTCAACCCCCTGCCCGTGTGACTGAAGACGAGGCAAAACGCGAGGCTATGTGGGAGGCTTGTTGGAATTGGGTTGATGTGAAAGAAGGCGAGACATGTGTTCCTAAGAGACTTTCCTGAATATAGTCAATGATACGAGCACAGAACGTTGTAATGACCCACATAGCTAGAAAACTATATAGTCTGTCAGATAACATTGAGTCTGCCTGAGATGATAGAATTCAAGAACAAAGATAGCCCTTTCTTTGAGACTGCATACTAGCACACTGTTGTCGCCCCGAAATAACAGAAACTTGTACGCGAAATGAGAACGCGATCACTCTTTCTCACGGGGTCGACATGCCACTCCCTCAGCAAGCCAAGTGGCTCAGCTGTTTACCAAAGATTTTGCGTCGATAATTGAAGCCTCACAGTGGACGTCTTGGTAGTCGACCCATTGGTATACTACGCTTAACTGTATGAAAAATCCGCCTGGTCTGATTTTCCATGGCATTTGGCATTGAGTGTAAATGTGATGAGCATCAAGCCCTTATAGTTTGAACGACACAAATAGATGAGGTGGCCCCTGGCGGATAAACTGACGGAACCCCACAAAGCTTGGTGGGGCCCCACCCCGTCTTTCACAACGCATCCGTCCCGCGTCTACAAAAGAACCTCTACAACTGTTGTGCAAACCTTGATACCGTCAGAATCACAACCGACAACTCCACATCTGCCTTTAAAAACAAGAAGAAATCTTCGCGAAATCTTTACTGAATTCCAAAATGCCAAACAAACCCAACCAACTCCAACAAATGCACAACATCAATCCCACAGACCTCCAAAACTTCGTCAAGCAAATCCTCATTGCAAACAACACATCACCAACCCACGCTGAAACTGTCTCCAAATGCCTCATATCAGCTGATCTCCGTGGTGTAGATACACACGGTAGCAACCGAATCCCCTCATATATGGAACGGATCCGACAAAAAGTTCTTGACCCAAGCGCCATCCCAACAATTCGGCAAGTGACACCAGCGGTGGCGCAAGTCAACGCACACAACGGGTTCGGTTTTGTAGCTGCACACGAGGGAATGAAGCTCGCCATCTCGATGGCCCAGACCTTTGGCATCGGGATGGTCTCCGTTAAGCACTCGAATCATTTCGGCATGTCCGCGTGGCTGGTGCAGCAGGCACTGGAGGCGGATATGATGTCTCTTGTGTTTACGAATAGTTCACCCGCACTGCCCGTCTGGGGTGGGAAGGAGAAGCTCATGGGTGTGTCGCCGATTGCATGTGGAGCGCCGGCTGGGAATGGAAGGCCGTTTATTTTGGACATGGCTCCTTCCATTGCTGCCCGCGGGAAGATTTACAAGGCGCTTCGTCGCGGAGAGAAGATCCCTACGGATTGGGCGTTGGATAAGGATGGGGCAAGTACAAATGATCCTGCCGAGGCTTTGCGGGGGGTTATGCTGCCTATGGGTGGGCCGAAGGGCTCTGCGTTGTCTGTTATGATGGATGTTTTCTCCGGTGTGCTTTCTGGGTCTGCGTTTGCTGGACACGTTACCAACCCGTATGATCCGTCGAAGCCAGCTGATGTGGGGCATTTTTTGGTGGCCATTAAGCCGGACTTGTTTATGACTATCGAAGAGTTCAAGGGGAGGATGGATTATCTTTACCAGAGAATTGTTGACTCGGAGAAGATGGCTGGTGTGGATCGAATTTATTTCCCTGGTGAGATCGAGATGATGACCGAGGAGAAACGGTTGGTAGAGGGAATTCCTTTTTCCGCCGCTGAGATTGACAGCTTGAACAAGGAGGCTGACCTCGTCAAGGTCAAGCATTTAAAGGTTTAAAATACACTGCAACGAGAGCAAAGTTGGGAGATTCTATATTGCGATGTCAGACTTCAACTACGAGCTCTCCATCAAATCCATGTGCCTGAGAAAAGTAATAGCCGCGCTGGTTGCTGACCACCATCTTCTCGGTACCCGCTTCAATATAACTGAAATTAAAGTGGGTATGCCCAAATGCCCATAACTTTACAAGTGGACTCTTCCATATCTCCTGCCCGGAGAGATCGCTGGCAAAGCCCGATGACAGCGAGCTATTCACATGCCTTGGATCAAGAGCCCGCGGATCCTGAGTGACTGGGCCATGATGCGTAAAAACCACAATCTTACGATGAGGCTCAGAGGCAGCGATATGAGAAACCTGTCCGTTTAACCACCGCAAGTCTGCTTCGTGAGCAGCTGTGTGATTATCAACCGTCCAGTCTTTAATGTGGTAAAAGTCATTGAGACCATAGCTGACGTGCTCCTTATCAGCCTCGCTCACCCGTGAGAAGAGTGTGCACCCCAGGATAGTCACATTTGGCGAGAGATCATAGCGAGTCTGATCTAAGAAGATAAAAGAACCCATTGTTTTTGAATGCTCATCTTGTTCTGAAGTTGAACGCTGATGATTGACAGAGGCCGAGAATAGACGGAGAACTTGCTTTGTCTCTTCCCAAGTTGAGTGGTAGGGCTCATGATTCCCTAATAGGAAGAACACGATTTGAAATTGACGCAACTGGGTTTCAATGAATGTAGTGAAGCCTGCATCTTTGACCACTCCTATATCTCCCAGCAGAGCAAGATAAGGTGCCTTTGGAGAGACGCTGAACACATCGTATGCCGAGGGATTTTCTAGATGTAAATCTGATAATATCTGGAATGTGGACATCTGGCCGTACAGTGGACGAGGCAAGTTTTGGTGATGTTGTGGGTGTCTGGGGACGATGTTAACCAACCAGATGCAATTCAGAAAACCTGCCAAGTGTGGCTGCGTTGTTCTTGCCCGTCTTGATGTAGTGTGGCGCAACACAGCCTCCTTTTGTCCCGTCAACGAGCCCCGGGGTCATCCCCCAGTTATATAAGCGCCCAGACGCGATCTCATAAAAAAGCCCCTCCTTGGCTAAGGCCCGAAAAAAAGAATTTTCTCTTTCTCTTATTTTAATAACCCTCGTATCCTCTTGTTGTCCTTAGAGGTGTTCTGGAGCCTCTTGCTACTTGCCTAGCTTATCAGCCATTGTTGCAGAAACGACGTCATAGCCGTGTTTATCAGCACTTTAAATTGCGGGCAACCTTGAAAGACACAAGGCCCAAATCGGGACAGCAACCAACGCGATGGCGAGCGCCGCGAACGATCCCCGACTGCTTTACAGCGTCAATAACATCCGTGCTTTCCATATCCAAGATGGCGAGGAGCAAGACCTCACGCCGTCCGGCCCTCAAACCCTTTCACTGCTGATGGTCCCCACCAACACTGCCACTGCTGGTCCAGGGACGGATTGGCCCGAAGATTCACTGGAAGAGGATTTCTATCTTCACCTGTACCTCCCACCTGAGCTCGATATCGCGATACCCGCGACCACACAGATATTTCACCAACCCCCCGACAGTTATCTAATCCCCCGCTGGGACATGGGTCCTGAAGCTGGAGCTTTCATTCGCATCCAGTTCCCTAGCACTGGCGCAGGCCTCAACAATGTGACTCAGGACGATATCGATACCTTTGAATCCATCCTTGCGCAGTGCACTGCATTCCTTGAGCGCACACCGCCCCCGAAGGCTCAAGACTATACTGCCTATAACCCGGCCGACTATGCACCTGGCGAGGGTTATGTTGGGACCCAGAATGCAAAGAAAGCAGATGCGCATGGGAAAATTGTACTCGTGGACGAAGAAAATGGCAGTGTGGTTGGAGAGCTAGGAGATGGCTACAACGTAGTTGAGGATGCCGACGTGAAGCCTGGTTCTAAAAGTAAGCGTTGAGCTATGATCGCTTTCCATTGGCAAGTGACTAAGATATTACCAATAGGACCGGTAGGGATTGAACTACCTGCAGAAGGTAGAGGTAACCAAGTCAGTGTCAGCAATATCTCCGAGGAATACCTGGCTTTGTCTCGGCACCCGGCGTATAAGAACTCGACACTCGTTCAGACTTCAGCTACAGCGTCTCGTCTGCTTGTAACTGGATCGACATATCTGGCAAGTGCCATCGCGAGCGGCGCGGAGAATTTTCAAAAGAAGACGCAGCCGAATATCAAGCCTCTAAAATTCTCAGACGCTACCCACGCGCGCATCCGCAAGGTAGGTACTTTCTCCAACGGAGCAGCGGATATCTCAGCTCGCACAGTCGGACAGGTCGGAAGGGTTGCACAGAACATAGGTGCAACACTAGCGCGCAAGCAAGAATCTGGCCGGAACAAAGGCATCGACAGGCGCAACCCACCACCAGATTATAAGCCCGGTGTCCTGAATAAATCAATGATCGCATTCTCAACCCTGGCCGACGGCATCGAGCAGAGCGCCCGAAACATGCTCTTCTCCGGTGCCGGTGCCGCCAGCTCCATGATCGAACACCGCTACGGCAACGAGGCAGGCTCCATCGCAACCAACTTAACGGGCGGAATCAAGAACGTTGGATTGGTTTACATCGACGTCACGGGTGTCAGTCGCCGCGCACTTTTGAAGTCCGTCGCCAAGGGAATGGTCGTTGGAAGAATGCGCGACGGTCAACAGGTTGTCGTCGGCAGTGGTGACGGCGGCCAAGTTCCAGCTAACGCTGTGGAGTCTGCTCCAGGCCCTTCTGGCTTGGGCATCAGGGACACCGTTGTGCGGCATGCGTCACCCAACCCCACACCACCTCCTGCATATGGTGCGTCGGGGACAACTTCTCTCAACGCGTCGTCTCTGTCAGGAGGTAAGCGGTAAAAAAAAGTGGAGGCTGGCGCGCAAGGCGGTTACGGTGCTTGGGAGACCGAGATCTCATATACGAGATGATTGGGTCCTTTCTTTTGTGCCTGGCACACTGTGCATGACTTGCAGTTTTTTTTAACAATCGTTTGATTGAGGCTTGAGGGATGAGGCTTGTATAATCGTGAGTCTTGTTCGATTCACCTTTTCGGTACCTAGATAATGATCTCCCATATCCGCAGTATCGTCCCGACCGCATCTTATCCACAAACATATCACCAACTGTAGTTCATGATTCTGCAAGAACCATAGGACAGAAATTGAGTTCTGGCCAAGTGACACAGCGCCGGGAGAGTACAGTAGAATGTCGTTTCTATCGGCAATTTGATTTGAATACGGGGTCTTGTCGGCAGATTAAATTCGAGGAGGTACGGGTGATTGGGTGTGATGTAGATGATAACCATTGGCCAAAATTTCTGATCTGCGTTGCCCAGGTACCGCTGAACAAATATCCAACATTGATTGGGTAGTGATACTCCGCAAATAACGTTGTAGAGGCGAAAACTGCCAACGCATCGCTGGATAGTTGTCCGCGGCCCACCTTGGCCCCTTGCCCAATGAGGTTTATCAGGGAGGAATTGATCTCCGTATTATTGGTAATCTGGGGGCTGTCAAAAAAAAGTCGGCGTCCCAGAAGATTTAGCCGATTTTAGCATAATTTTTTGCGTATGTTGTACAGATGGGTTGAAATGGAGACAGACTGTGGGTAAGTGGATAGAGTACATGAAAGATAGAGTAAGGTCTAGTGTTGCAGGCCGAACTATTCAGGAACCGCATCATGTACTCCATACACGGACGGAATACGGAGTGCTTCCATGCACATGAAGATTTCAAGGTTGCAATTGAAGATGAGATCCCTAAAGTCGAACAAGATCTGCTTAGATCGGGATCCAACCGTGGTTGGGGCCACGGTTCCAGGGTTCGTGCGGGTGGCTACGGCCCCTCTTTAATCGATTTCAAAATGCGTACTCCGTACTATACGGAGGACTCCTTCAAAGAGAGTTAAAGCCCGAAGTGAAGAAAAAAAAAAAAAAAAACTAGCAATTTGACGCTAATTGTCAGCTAAACCAAGCTAGGGAATCGAGCTAATGTACACCATTCTTACAGCTAATCTTAGGGCCTTTGAATCTCACTGGATTGATCTCAGAATCCATCAAACTTCACATTTTACAGGTTGGTATAATTTTTATGAAACAATTTAAATTCGTCAAATTCGTCAAATTCGACCAACCAAGGAGATAAAAAAAAAAGTGAGATCTGAGTTTCTGTTCTGCGAGACGTTAATAATGACGATCGTCCTGAAGTGTCCACTCTATGAGTATTCGAAACAGCCAGTGCGACCCCCTATTTTTTTTTTGGCTTCATTCTTTTCTTGAAACTAAGACCGCTGGCTCCTTCTAGTGCCTGATTCACGCTATTATTATTTCTGTCAAATCTAAAGAGGGCATTGTATTCCATACACTTCTCTCCCTTCTTTCGCACATGCGAGGAACCCTCGGGACTCGAGCCCTTTTTAGCACAGGTTAGCTAACTGGCGCAAGGGATTTGTGATCAATATATGGGCAATTAACATCGAGTCCACTCTATACGCGCGCGGGAATTAGTAATTTTGTCTTCGTTGCCATTCTGGATGTATCATAACCCCCAAAGCCCTTGGGTAGCTAGCCTCGGGCCTGTGTATACGTCTACCGAGTAGGTTCTCTTTCAAAAGATCAAACGTACATAGACCTATTATGAATACCAGAACCAAATCGAAGTAGCTATCTCAATGTAAGATCATATATCATCAAATGAAGAAAATCATTTTTCATATGGATCCCAGTGGTCAATATCAGTCAAGCCCTCATCCAAGGCTCAAGAGCCAAAGACCCGCCTCCCCCAGACTAAGAGAGACTACCACTCGTATCTCACCTCCTCTTTTTCCCTCTTCACCTTCTCGGCCTTTCTCTCTACCCTTGAGGCTTTTCTTTTTCTTTTGGTCTTCTGTGTCTTTTTTTTTCCATTTGATTCTGTACTTGGGGGGGTATCTTCTTCCCCCTTTTTCGACTCAGATCCCCCGACCGGTGCTTCCCGTCTTTTTCCTCCCCTCGCGGCCCCTGTCCGCCCCTCAGTATCCCATCTTCGACAATGTTCAACTGTTGTCAGAATTGAATCAGAGTTCTGTTGATCAGGTCCGCAATCGCGTCTGAGACATTTGTTACCGCGTTTGCTCGATTTCTTGGGCAGCGTGCAACCCCAAACCCCAAGTCGTGGGTCTGTGACAGAGGGGGACTCTGGAGTACTGCAGCGCAGGTATCTGAGATTTCCTTTCTTTTTTCGAGAGACTTGTTGTTTTTTCGACGCGTCTTCACACCCGAAGAAGGTTGCGACCTGGTGTCCTCGTTGACATTCAACTCTCATCCAAAGGATTTTTGCGCGATTGGTCGTAAGCTAGTCCCCCCCACCCCCATTCCCCCATTCCTACGATCGATCTCCTGCTGTCAGTTGCACACCCCCCCATTCTTGGGCAACATGGGCACATTTTGCCGATTGTCAGAATCCGGGGAAAAATTGAAACTGACGGATACCTCACTGTCTATAGATTGCGCTTTGAATGGTCATCTGGCTAGTGCGACCGGTCGCCCCAAACCCCCCGACCTTTGACAGACACCCCCCAGAAGGACGTTGTGCTCCCTCGCGCCAATTGTACCAATCGTAATTGATGCCAGACTATTGTCAACGAGTGCCCGCAGAAGCTGCCTCGGACAGTCACACAGCAAGTCTCTTAAGGCTTTGCGCATTTACTAGACGAAGGTATGCTATCTGCCGCAAGGCATGTTGTTGATTTGCCTCACAGCGTGTACCCATCCTTTGCCAAACTCCCTTATTTGATAAACGGCTTGCTAATTTTTACTAGCCGTTTCTGAGGCCGGTCCCGAACAGCTTTTTTGGCTATGAGCACTTTTCGTCAGCAGGCCGTGCCACTTCCCGCTCATGCCTCGGCAGTATCGACTAGCACGTCACCTCCCGCCCAGAAGAATGCGCGCGCACCCTATCCCGACATGCTAGGCTCGCCGCCGGTCCCTCCCCCGAGGACCTCCTCAACTGCCCACAGTCGCCGCAGTCCAAATGGAACCTCTATAGATAAAACCGGCAGCTCCCACCAAGGCAAGAGCAGGTCTGATCGAAAAGACTCCCGTGATCGCACGCGTGATGACCGAAATGGCAGATCACGGAGGCACCAGCCTGAGGAAACGTCTCGCGAAACACAACAATCAAGGGCGGCACTATCAATTGCAAACCCCACCGAGTCTGAAATGGATAGTCGTCATGGCCGTGGAGACTTTGCCAAAGAACCAAGCGTGGAAGACAATTCTGTGCTGGGCAATGACCACGTTGTGTACCAAGAGCGAAAACAAGTGCGATCAGCCGGCACAGAGAATACCTCTTCATCTGGATTCGGTGCCGCTAGCGCCGACATCGCGGAGGAGGCTCGTGGGCCTCGAAGTCGCCACGATTACAGTAATGGAAACGTTGTCAAGCGCAAGGAAACCACATTTGGCTCGTACATTCTCGGACAAACCCTCGGCGAGGGTGAGTTCGGAAAAGTCAAGCTAGGATGGAAGCGCGACGGCAGCATCCAGGTGGCAATCAAGCTCATCCGGAGAGACACTCTGGGGACAAACCCTAGCCGACTACCGAAAATCTACCGTGAAATCGCTATCCTACGTGAGCTGGCACACCCCAACATTGTGCGCCTCCACGAAATGGTGGAAACCGACCGCCATATTGGCATCATCATGGAATATGCTTCTGGAGGTGAACTATTCGATTACATCTTGAATAATCGATATCTCAAGGACAATTCTGCACGCCGACTTTTTGCTCAGCTGGTTTCCGGGGTTGGTTATCTGCATAAGAAGGGTATTGTGCACCGTGATCTCAAGCTGGAGAACTTGCTACTCGATCGGAATCGCAACATCATCATTACTGACTTCGGATTCGCCAACACCTTCGATCCGGTCGATCCTCTAGACGAGGAAATCGAGTACAACTTAACCAACAAGGAATACGTGAAACGGAAGCGGCTAGACAAGATTGGTACAAATGGGCTAAGGCGAGGTGATCTGATGCAGACCAGCTGTGGCAGTCCCTGCTATGCAGCCCCCGAGCTTGTCGTGAGTGATTCTCTATACACAGGCCGGAAAGTGGATGTCTGGAGTTGTGGTGTGATTTTGGTACGTTCTTTTCCTACAGCCATGAGAAGCTGACCTGCTAACTAACTTGTTCGTGAAATCTAGTATGCTATGTTGGCGGGGTACTTGCCCTTCGATGACGACCCAGCGAACCCAGATGGCGATAACATCAATCTTCTTTACAAATATATTGTATCCACCCCTCTCACATTCCCAGAATACGTCACACCACACGCTCGCGATTTATTGAGACGGATATTGGTTCCCGACCCTCGGAAACGTGCAGACCTGTTCGAGGTTGCCCGCCACAGCTGGCTCAGCGAGTTCTCGAACATTGTGTCTCATATCACAAGCAGTACGACTGACGTTGTGGATATTGCTAACACAACGATTCCGTCTGGTAAGGACTAGCTTTCTTCAAGTGGTCAAACTGCAAGTTACTCACATAAACATACAGAAACCCAAAAAGACGCACCGCCTCTCGTCCGCAGTGCCTCAGTGCGCGAACCACCCAAGACACATCAGAACAATGCTCCTGCTGTTGGTGGTTTGAACCATCATGCTGGAGATGTTTCTCAAGATCCGCCGTCCGAAAAGTCCAGGACCCCCCGTGATGCTAAGCGGAGAACGGTACAAGTAGAATATGTTCCTCCTCTATCACAGACAACACGAGGAGAACCTCCGGTAGAACCGTCTACATCACGCAGCCGAGCCCCGGCCCCAACCCAGGCCCAAATTGCGGCTTCCGTGCAGCAATTGACAGAGCCCGCACAACAGCATGCAGATGCATCGGCACTCAACTTCAACAAGTCACTTCCAGGATACTTCCCGCGCTCGACCTCAGACAATGCAACACTTTCTGGGTCACACACAACTGCGATGTCTCAAGGGCCTCGGCCAGCCACCGGTGCATCTATGAGCTCCCTTGGAAACACTGGTCGTCTGCCTTCTCGCGGCTCTTATGGACAGCCGGTGGCTCCCACTGTTACCGCAACTAACACAGAAGGCCGCTTAGCACAGCCCAAGAGCAAACAATTTGCCCTTGCACAGGATCCTACGCAGGCATCGAGCACATCTATCGGTCGTCCAAGCACCCAGATCCAGCAATTGCCTTCAACCTTCAACGTTACACCTCGACAAGAGCCGCCAAAGGGCCACAAGAGGTCCAATACTGTCTCTAGCCTAGGCGAGAAGCTTTTCGGTCGTTCTGGTTCATTATTGGGTGGCCGTTCGCAGTCTAATGCTACTCGTACAAAGCAGGACAAGCGTTACCCCCCTGTCAGCATGAAGGAGCCTCAACTGAAAGACAACTCTAGAATGTCCATGGATTCCCGCCGCTCGGTGCATTACCCCCACAATCGCAAAACAAGCGAGAATGGCGCAGAAAACCGACCTCGTCGATTCTCACTACTCCCACAATCCTTCTCCTTCCGAGGTTTCTCTAATGCCCGGGCTCAGACTCCCGAAGAAACCTCGCAGGTCCCTCGTTCCGTAGACCCCCGTTCTCCGCAACGCCCCGCCACGGACCCTTCGGGTCCAGCGCAGGGTCGTTCTCGGGCGACAAGCTATGGCACGCAAGATGCCATGGGAATTGTTGATGAGGGACCTGGTGATGATGTTCACACCGAACCCGAACCTCTTAGCTACGAGGCTCAAATCGATCGACAGTTTGCAGACCTAGGATCTCAATTTGATCACCAGAGTGGTTCCTTTGGAGTTCCCTCGGCTGAGCAAGTCTACCAAAACCCTGCAGACCATTCTGGTCACCAAAACCAGTTGTCCAAGTCAAACTACTACGATGACTACAACGGCCCATATGAGAACGTGCCCAAGCAGTCGATGCAGGTTGGTCGATTAGGGCGTGGGCCTGGTGTTTTGCACAAAACCCACCGCAAGTTTGCCGATGCCTATGAAAATGAGCGCGATGGTTCTCACCATTCCGGCAGTTCTGGGGCAGCACGCAAAGTTATGGACTTCTTCCGAAGACGTGCCAAGTCCCGTATCGGTGATGACCGTTGATCTGCGGTTGAACCAAAAAGATAAAAAAAGTAATCTTCCATCTCAAACAGACTGACCGCTGAGATTGGATTGATCAAGCACTCTAAAAGATTGAGATTTGATCTTGGAAGCAGATTCAAACCCTATCATTCAAATGCTTCTTTTGAGTTGCTTGAAAGAGCATCGAGGTTGTTTGGATACCCCGTGATACCCTGCTTTTGTCCTCTTCTTTTGCATGGAGCGATTCCTCTTCATCCGTCGGGTGTTTGATTAATTATCTAGCATCTTTCTTATTTCCTTTGTGTAGCTACATTTTCCTTGCTTCCTAATGTCGTGCCCCTCCTTGCTGTTCTCCCCGTTTTTTACCCCCATACGTGATTTGCATTCCCTTCTACTGTTACTATTATCTCTGGCTGTAAAGTGAGATCTCATTCTTGTTCTTGTTCAGAGCATTTTATTATCCCTTTGAACTTCTTATTCCCTTCTCATTGTCCCTTCTTAACTTCATTCATTCCTCCATGGGAACCTCTTGCCAATGATAATTCAATTGTGACACTATTTCCATTCTTGTGTGCATCCCCTTTCCCCTCTTCACTTATGTCCATGTATCTTAATGTGTTGCTATCTCTTTTAAAATTATCCTGGCGGCTAGTTGTTCCGACCTCGTACCTGTTATGTTGCTAGTACTCTGTCATCTACCCCCTAGGATCACTGATATGGTTGGTACGTAGTACATTGATACTAGTTGAAGCTCTAATGCCATCTCATTGCTAGGTTAAGGGCTTTATAAGTAGCTTGAAGACATTTGGTAGTCAACATGTAGGATTATGTGATTTGCACCACATCTTCCCATTTAATTCGCTCTGTACAGAGTAGGGTACGATATTGCGCGGCCGGTTCCCATTCTGCGTCCTTTTCAATGTGTAGATTAAAGGGAAAAGAATCTTCAAGTGAGAGAACTTTCAATCTTCTATCTTGCAGTGCTATTTTTAAATACTTTTCGCTATTTTCGAAACATGTCTTAGCCAGCTTGCAATCAGATTGTATCATATCAGCGTACGCCAAAGCGAAAATGGCCTAACTTCACTTACAGCAGGGGCCAGCTAGACCTCCTTGGCTTTGGATTGCCATGCTATTTGGGCACTGGGCCCCTTTTCTTGCAGAGAAAGTAAGAAGGCGTCTCCTTCTATTTCGACATATAACCCATCAGCTTGCAAAGATAAACTTGCCCAACAAAGGCTTCTAAGGCCTTGGGGGCGACTTGATACATAGTGACATGTGACAAGCATGTCAACAGGGGGATAGGCACACAAGCCATTGCCGCCACTACCCCCTCAACCAAGACCAGTTGCACTAGGACGCGTCATAAGTCAACAGTCTTTACATTACAAAAACGAAAAGATGCCCCAGGGCACAATTTCAATCTGCAGCGAAGTTCGTTTAATCTGAAGAAGAGAAAAGATGAAGAAAAACCAGAGATGAGAGGAAAGTATAACATGACAACCCCTCCCCATCAAATCTCAAAGGAAACTTGAGGATACAGCATTGGAGGTGGATGGAATTGGACGCGGCAAGTGAGAGTAGCAAATGATCTTTCACACTTCCTGAGGAGCAGTCTCCGATAAGACGTACTAACAGGAGTTCTGCATCAGGGTCTGGCTCTGGAATTTGGATAATCACCTCTACAATCTGGACACATGAAACCCCGAGGAGTAGCCGAGGCGGCGTGGTCATTTGTGGTTGACGGTGACAGATTCGACAGCATTTCCAGGCCAGTCCCCACGTTCGTCAGGTCTACTCGTGCGGAGATGAGAAGGGAAAGGTAATTCTGGATATCAATATACCTACCTCGGAGAACACCCTAAACCCCTCTTGGATAGTTATGGGGTTGCATCCCTACATCTGGCCAACGTTGGGTTCATGAAGCATCATTTGCAGGAGATTGCGAATCTGATAAGCGAGCCTTTGAGAACAAATACAGACGTGCATATTAACGTAGATTAATTTGTGTTTGGATGGGTATATCTCACGTTGAATTTGTTGTTGCTTGCGATTGGCCCAACCCACTAAAAGTAGGCAGGGTTAGCTATTGCCTGTCCAGTTTGCCTATGCCTGTAGGTCCTAAAAGGACTTTGTTGCGCAAAACGTTAGTTTTCTGTATTTCAACACCCAATGAGAATTTAGAGTGACCAGTATTCACTAGTATGTCTAGCACACACATCGGTCAGGGGGAAGGGTTTCATTGCTATAGGTGTGATGATCAGCTGCTCTGCAATCAGTTACTCGGTATCAATCAATCAAAGTTCAATTAACCTGTTGCATTCTAACTAGTTGCGTATGACTATGCAGGCGCTTCTTCCGTCCGAAGCAAGAACTCGAGTCCAGAACGCCGAGTCGAGATCACATATTGTATATACTGAGGAGTGTACAGATGCCAATCGTAAAGAGTGTGGAATCAGCCCATTCCTGTAACCCATAACCCATAAACACATACTTAAGAAGTATGTAATAACTGTCATGGAGTTACTCGGTATATCTATGGCCCAGCGGACCATGAGTGAGCCGCATTTGGAGCCCAGACAAACCGAGATGATGTACACGAGCAGAATTGCCAAAGTCCTCATACCACTTATGGTATGCTCATAATGGGGGATGTATGATAGGAATATCTCAGGTCTCTCTTGTAGTGCGGCCTTGCACGGCTGGGCCAAATAGGCCTGGGCGCGGGCGGGCGGATATGTTGGCGGCGGGGCGACGGCGGGACCCGGGGGGGAAGGCGGTGGGTAAAGCCAATCCATTTTTATTAGCAAGGTACTTATCTATGGTCGTGATGCTGCAAGTACTCCCAACGTGCTTTTTAGTAGTGTCACATTGGCTGAAGTCCTAACGATAATGGCATTATTGCACCAATCGGCACTACAGGCCTCCACGAGCTGCCAAGTATGGCAGTCGGCCTGCAAGTGGCAGCCCGGCTGCTGGCAATATTCGCAGGTGCATGTTTCACTGATTTTCAAACAATCAATTCTCTCGTGAAGACTGCCTTACCCGGCGCTTCTGCGCAATGCTTATGTCGGTGTCGGCAGTTAAACGTGCAATCTGCATGAAGGATTTTTCTACATACAACAAGAGATGTAAGACCTCGAAATCAGTTACGGATGCACATAGTCGTATAATCTCGTGCTATAGCTAGTCATCTTGGATCCACAAGAGGGAGTTGTGTTTCGTGACGAGATGTTGAAAGACATAGAGTCTTGGTGGCCTGAGGCAACAAGCGGGGCTGCTGGATTTAAGTTTGCGCTTGCCCGTTACAGGAGAGGGTCCCGCAAGCGTACCGAGCCAATTGTATCGCGTGCAAACAGTGCAAACACATCGGCTGAATGCGAAATTTTGACGAAATGTCTCTCGCCAACAGGGATTGAGAAGTTTTATTGAAAAGCTCTCGCCGCTTCCTGAAACTCGATGGAGCCAGAAACTACAAATGTTCAAGCCCAAGAGGCCAGCAATGCTGCGCCTATCATAGAGGTTCCGAAGCGCGACACCGCAAATGGTTCTGGCGCGGCGGATATGGAAGAGCCTCCAGCCAAAAAGGCACGATTGGATGAACCATCTAAACCCGCCCAGGTAGATATGCGCGACAGGGGAATTGCGCCCATTAAAGCAGAGTATGTCCGGTTCACTTCCAACGATCGCAAGATACTAACTCTCGTCATTCAGGTATCGCATTCAAATTACACCGAAGCCTCGCCCTGCAGAGGAGACTAGCCCCGACGATGCTGCTGAGGCGGCTCCTCACGATGACCGTGATGGTGGCAAGAAGGATAAGGGAAAGATGAAGAAGAAGAAGGGCCAGAATACCAATCGCACTTACGGCACCTCGAAAGATGCGAAGGGCCTTTGCAGCACGAGAATGTTTGCCAATGAGTTTGCCGCCGGGGAGTGCCAATTTGGCGAGAAATGCCGATTTGAGCACGATTTGCGTGTTTATCTGAAAGACCACAAGCGCGAGGATCTAGCAACCCTGAATAACATTTGCCCCGTCTACGAAGCGCTAGGAAAATGCTCTTCCGGTTGGAGATGTCGTATGGTTGGTTCGCACTCAACTGAAAGAGAAACCGAAGAAGGCAAGAAGGAGTTGATACTGCTCGAGGACGCAGAACGCATGGAGAAAGCTCGGCCTCGTGTGGCAAATGCGACACCCGATGGAATTGTCAACATCATTTCCAACGAAGACAAAATGGCGCTTATGAGAAAGCGCGAGGACACCCCACGTGCTGATGCCTACACTACCTGGGCTACCCAAGTGTCTGCTGAATTGGAGAAGGCGATCCACCAGCGATCCACCATCCGCGAGAAAGGCGAGCTTGTTGAACCGAGCGAACAAGCGAATATCGACCTGCAAGAGAACCGTGCTCAATTCCTTGAGCCTCCATTCATGCCGTCAGAGAAGCGTCGCATTTATTTTGGGCCGGAGACACCCGTTCTCGCACCCCTCACGACCCAAGGCAACATGCCATTCCGAAGACTGTGTGGAGATCTGGGCGCACAGTTCACATACTCAGAGATGGCTATGAGTATGCCCTTGATCCAAGGTTCAAAGTCAGAATGGACACTGTTGAAAGCGCACGAGTCGGAAATGGCACCGCCAACCGTCATCCCAGGTGACAACATTGTCCAGGGATATGATAACTCCAAGGACTTCAAGTTCGGTGCACAAATAGCTGCTAACAAGCCATGGCAAGCTCTCAAGGCCACTGAGGTATTGTCGAAGTTTACACCTAATCTGCGCGTTATTGACTTAAACTGCGGTTGTCCCATTGAGCTTGTATTCCGTGATGGAGCTGGCTCAGCTCTTCTTGACCATCACTCTAAGCTGGAGAAGATGATTCGCGGTATGAACACTGTTTCGCAGGAGATTCCGATTACCGTCAAGATCCGCATGGGAACCAAGGACAACCAGCCTACCGCGCAGAAGCTGGTTGAGCGTATGGTTCTCGGTGGATACGAGTCTAGTGTTCTGGGCCTCGGCCCCCCCGGTGCCGCAGCCATTACCCTGCATGGCCGTAGTAGACAGCAGCGCTACACGCGACAGGCAGACTGGGGATACATCTCGGAATGTGCAGCGCTCATCAAGCGCTTGAACAAGAAGCAGGATGCACTCAGTGACACTATCCGTGAACCAGATGCCCGTTACATGCCCAATGGTGGCAAGACCTATTTCATTGGAAATGGCGACTGTTACTCACATACCGACTATGACGACCACGTCAACAATGCCGGGGTGGACTCGGTGATGGTCGCTCGTGGAGCTTTGATCAAGCCATGGATCTTCGAGGAAATCCAGACCGGCCAGTATTTGGACAAGTCCGCGACTGAGCGTCTGGCCTATATTGAGAAGTTTGCCAAGTACGGTCTCCAAGCCTGGGGCTCTGATGAGCACGGCGTTGGAACAACCCGTCGCTTCCTGCTAGAATGGTTGAGCTTTACCTATCGCTATGTCCCAATCGGACTGTTAGAGTACCTCCCTCCCAACATTCAGGACAGGCCTCCTGCTTGGCGTGGCCGGAATGAGTTGGAGACGCTTATGGGTAGTGGCAACTACAAAGACTGGATCAAGATCACGTAAGTCTTCTTTTACCTCGGACTCTCCTAAAACATCCAACTAACCATCATCGATACTACAGTGAAATGTTCCTGGGTCCTGCACCCGACACCTTCAAGTTCGAGCCCAAACACAAGTCGAATTCCTACGAGGCTGAGGGCTAAAATAAAGCGTGTCTATAAGTCTCACATATACTTAAATTGTACATAGAATCAACGAATGCATTCCCTAGATCTTTTAGCAAGGCGCACAGTTCATCCATGTGTTCGAACAAGATTTTGATGAATCATTTCTGCCACTTCCAAGACATGGTGTATCTGAAAGGAAAGCAGTCGGCGAGACATCGCATGTGGCCACCGTCCACCGGGTTTGCAGGATGCTTGACTTGCGTACACATAAACACACCCAAAAGCCTAATCGACCGTCAAGAGTTGCTCATAGAAACCACCAAACCCGCGTTCCCGATCATGAAGGTGAATTTCCAAAATCCAGTGACGCTTGAAACCATCACGGCCCGACAGGCCCATTGAGTCATTATTGCCCTTGGCGATGTAGAGGGAGATTTTATCCCGCGGAATGCGTTCGTGAGGGAACGAGCCAACGAGATGGCCGGCAATATCCGCACCAAAATCCCAGCCCTCTTGTTTCGCAACCTGGCAGGATATATTGTATAGCTCATCGCCTGACATATCTGGGTTCTCGCAATATTTTGCCTTGACTGTATTCCAGATGGGCTCAAGGGCATCCCGCAGCTTCTTCTTATTAGGATCATCTCCCAGAACGAAAGTGCGCCCAAAGTCAGCTTCCCAGGCTTCAAAGACCGGGCCCAGGTCAACAACTAGGATATCATCCGGTTGAATGACACGATCCGGAGGGTTATCGTTGAACGGGCTCAAGGTGTTTGGTCCACTGCGGATGACTCGCTTGTGCCAGTGGGTCTTGATACCATAGCGATCGAGTCCTAGCTGGTAGATTTCTGCATTGAGGGTCTTTTCGGTGATTCCTGGTCGGATCAAATCGCGTTCGATCTCCTCGAAGAGAGCGACGGCCTTGTCTTGTGCGCTTAGAAGCTGGGATGCTCTTTCCATTTCTTCTGTTTTCAGATTCTTGTGCGCCATGGCTTTGGGAGGAATACAAAATCAATTCAATCTTGAATGGGAGAGTTCAGTGATGTCTCTGTCACCGTAGATTTACAGGCCAATTCTGAACTGCTGACAGCTCCCGAAGCTAACGCACCCGAAGCTTCCCCACTTGAGGGGAATCCTTTCCCGATGACTCACCAAATATATGTACATAGTGCATAACTACTACTCTGTTCTACTTGGCCGAGAAATGTGCATATTTGGAGAATCTTTGACATGAATTATGCTGGTCTGTTTGCTCCGAAGTTAAATCAGGATCTGCGTACAATGTAGATCCCGCTGTCATGACGACATCTGCTGGGCTTCAATTGTAGATACAACAAGAACATGACTGAACAAATTGGTAGTGACCGGACCATTTCAATCAAACTAAAATTACCGTACTTGCGAGACAAAATTGTCTCAAGAACGAAGTCCTATAATTATGCACTCCCCTGAATTAGGGCTGGTGACAGCATCACGTGCAGACCCTCCGAGGCCATGACGTCTTCCTCCGATGAAAAACTTCCCACCACCTCTTCTCTCAATCTCCCTTTCAAGTGCCTCAACTGTTTTTCTTCCAAGGAATCTCTTTTGCTTTAGGATTTGTGTGTTTGTGCTTGTTCACAACAGAATTGCCGCTTCTCGCATCTGTTTACCTTCCCCTCTAAGCTATCTTTCTGAAGCTCTCTCGACACCCCGCCCCTTTTGATTAGGCCAGAACTCAATTTTCAAGTGTTGCTGGGTTGAAAAAAAGCACGGCAAAATGACTCTCTACTACTCCCTTGTAAGTTCATACGAGTCCCTTCCCGAGTTGCCTCTTGTGGTGCAGCAATTCTTGTGTGGTGCTGCTCAAGAATCGCTGCAGCCTGGTGCCTGAAACTGTCCACGCGGCCCAAGCTGCCAACGTTATGTCTCCAGATCTTGCCCCCTATCGACGGACTAACACAATGCTTTTAAATAGGTGTTTCTTATTTTAGTGTTGGAGATGGTTGTATTCTTGGCCCTCGTCATACCTCTTCCCCACACCATCAAGCGCAAGCTGTTTGCCTTCATCTCGGAGAGCCCAATCATCGCTAAGCTGCAATATGGATTGAAGGTATACTGCTAATTGTGAACCCCAATTTTACGGTACGACTGCTAAAATAGCCTCCAGATCACGTTCATCTTCATCCTTATCCTGTTCATTGACTCCGTGAACCGTGTGTACCGTGTGCAGCAGGAACTCTCCGGCTTCGCCAAGGACAGTCCCGGCATGGGGTAAGTAGCTAATCCTTAGATCTTTCAGTATACCTTCTAACCATTTCATCAACAGAGCCGCCCACCTCGGCACCGACCGCATGGAGGTCCAGGCCCGCAAGTTCTACTCGCAGCGCAACATGTACCTCTGTGGGTTCACTCTGTTCCTCTCTCTGATCCTCAACCGCACCTATACCATGATTCTTGAGACTCTTCGTCTTGAGGACCGCGTCCGTCTCTTTGAGGGCGACAAGAAGGCCGGCGGAAAGGACTCTGCCCGTATTGCGGAGGCTGGTTCAATCGGCGAGATCGGTCGTCTTAAGGAGATCATTGAATCCAAGGACCGGGATATTGAGACTCTCAAGAAGCAGTGCGAGGGTCTGACCCGCGAGTATCACAGCCTGGGCGACCAGATTGCCAACGAAAAGGGCGACAAGAAAGAGGGTGACAAGAAAGACCTGTAAAAGGGCCACATTGTTCGATTCTCCCGCTCAGACTGTCAAACCCTAGCTTTGATAGACATTCGCTCGCGCACTTTTTTTTTAACGTGTGCTTTTGGGTCAAGGGCCTCGCCCCCTGTCACAGAAGCAAGACCCCTTTCGGCAACAAAATTATTCGACACATTCTGGATTAAGCTTTGTGCATAAATACCCTTTCTCGATGTATGAACTCTACTGTTTGTAGAGGGAAATGTGGGGATTTCCAATTGGTACGGCCTCGACATTTCCCTCTCGCTGTGTTCCTTTCCGTGTACTAGCAGACATTTTAAGAATTTCGGTGGGATTCAAAGTGCTGATTCCTTGGCACTTGTTTTTATCGATTCCTACGCTTTCATATCAAATAGGCTGTTCTTTCCCGTTGCTCTATTGTAAGGCATAGTAGGTACAATCTCACCAGACCGGACCAAGAATCATCATGTCTAGATCACCAGTTGTTCTTAAATGTATGTATTACATGAATCAGCGGCTCACGGCTGGATAGCATGATTCAAAAGTTCAAACCAAGAATGTCCAGAAGCTAGGATAGACGAGCTCCTCCTCAAAGATCCTTCGAACCTGCGCGAGCACAAACCGCTCGACTTTTCCAACATTCTTCAATACCTGCTTCCCATCTTCCTTGCGACCAATCTCACTATCCACCCGGATCTCCTGCAATAACCCACCCTGCCGCTTCAGGTCCTTCTCCTTCTGATCGCCCCCAGCCCGAGGAGGCTGACCATCATCACTGGGATTTTGACTACCCTGAGACTGTTCCGATCCAAGCAGGGCGTCTGCGTCTTCCGCAGAGAGGAAACAGAAATGCACTCGCTTGCGGATATATGCAACAACGGCCACTCCGTCAAACGTAATGCCCGTGACGTTCAACTTCAATGGCAGCCCCACGAAGCTGGGCATCGGGTAGTCAAGGAGGATCTCCGCAGTCAGGGACATGCGTACATCGCCAGCATACTTAGCATGGCACAACACCTGGAAGTCTTCTGGGCGGCGCTCGCGCATGCGAGGCGGGACTGGGAATGATTGGCCCTCAGCGGCAGGGTCATCTGAAATCTCTATTGAGGGCTGTGGTGCATCGGTGGGATCGCTGGAATGGGGATTTGACCCACTGCTGCCAGTGTGCCCAAGGGAAGGATGGGAGGGGGGTGTGCTTGCGGTTGAGGGCCGGGAGGCGGAGTTGGTGGCATCCAGGTCTGGCTCCGTGAGATGATGGCGAGCTGCTTGGGACCTGGGTCCGGCACCCATACCTGAGTCTGACCATCCGCTCGTAAACGAGGTGCCACCTGCTACGGCGGCAAGGGGTGTCTGGGTGCCTGATAGACCGCCCAGGGACCGCATGTGGTATCCCAACGTTGACGTGCCGCCGGGGATTCCAGGTGTGCTGGCGCGGGGCATGAAATGCGGGTTAAGGTGGTCGCCTAGTGGGGATCGAAGTGCGGATGGTTGGAAGCCTTCACCGGGGTATGGATGGTGACTGAAATTATGAAGGCTATGCGCTGTGGGGTTGAAGGCCATGTCGTCTTCGTATGGGGATTTTTGGAGCTCGGACATGAGCTCCTCTGAGGCGACGGAGGTGTCGGCATCGTCATCGTCATCGTCTTCCTCGTAGAAATCTGCGAACGGTTCGCAGATGTCTTTTATCTCGAGATCGGGGGCAGTAGTCCCGAAATCGAAGGAGTGGACCTGAACCGAGCGAATGAAGCGCGGCAAGGTGATCTCCTGGAATTTGTCGTGCACGAACGACCGGATTCGCTCTGCCAGGGCTTCCCCGTCCGGGCCGGAGGTAGCAGCCGCCCAGTCGACTTCGATTGACATCACATATGCAACGTTCTAGCGCTTGCTGCTTGCACCAGGGAGAAATCCGAGGTTGAGGGGGCCCCGGGTTGTGACGGTATCACCACGTGATACACACATGCCCAGTGGGCGCATCCTTCGATACCGAACTGATCTGAAGCAATATTTGTTTGATGGAGTAGAACGATTCATTGTGCTATGCGCTCGCTAACAGATAATCAGAGTGTATAATGTCCTCTCATTCAGAACACCTGTAAACGCTTTCCATCATCTCTATTGGGTGCCTCTGTCCGATCCGATGTTCTTTTTCGCTGGTCGCGATCGAGTTGATACTGGTCGGGGATCCAATTTAGACCAGTGAAAGCCAATCATCGATGCTCGATCGAGTTCATGGGTCCAACGAATATTTGTATGCCGACGATCATCTTGAATCACACTCAGCTCGAGAATCTCCTTTTTCGACCGGTGAATCTCCCGGCGAAGTGGTGAGGTCAGATAAGCTCTCACCTCCCCAGCCCATAACCGGCATCTGCGAAACATCTCCCGCATCATGGAAATTGATCAGTGCCAAATTGATTGTACCGAGAAAAGCAGGTACTGCGGACCCTCGGGCTTTTCCGAAGAATCTGGTATGTTTTTGTGCTTCGCGGGAGACTTCCTTCCAGTGTCCCGTAGTCGTTCCCTTTCTAGCGACCATATAACCATAGGCAGCACCTGTAAATTTAAATGGCGCACCGTATGATCCGCATGCTACAAAAGGCGTGTAGTACAGGTCAAAAATTCTCGTCTAGTTGGGCTTTCAATCAAGGCACGAGCTTCTCCACATGGACGGGATATTTTGAGATCATTTTGACTTTATCGATGAAGTATCACGTTTGGGGCAACTCTCATCTAGATCACAGCCAGTCTGTAGCCGGAGTTTACACTTCTGGGTGCACAATGGCGCATCTTCTAATTGTAGGTGTCCACATTCAGCGTGGTAACGGTCTTGCTTTTGAGTTGTACAATCGGCCCATAGTTCGAGTCGGATCGCAAGGAAAGGGCTGGGGGCCCCGGGATGATATTGGCTCCTAGTAAAAGGGACAATTCTGGGCAATATTTGATTGGTAGTAGCTTCTATATGTTCACGGAGAATCAGTCATCTTCTTTGCTCCCTTAGCATTCAGATCATTCGCCGAATTTTGATTTTGAATTTTCAGCTGGCGTAGAACTGTAAAATGAAAACAACCCCATCAAAAGACGCTTAAAAGACGCCTAGAAGAACACCTCAAAAAGACATTTGGTACAATATCTTCAATAACCGGGTACGAATCTCATAGCTAATGTTATCAGTTTAGCAATTGAGGCGTAATCGGAGAGTGAGGCCGTAAAATAGGCTGTCCAATGTGCTGATTGTCACAAAAGTATACACCGCAGAGGTTCAGCCAGATATCTGTCAACGTCTGAACGATTTAGTTGGTTGAGACTTTACCACGGTGTTGAGGATTTTGAAGCCAAAGCACTTGTGGAGCTTGACTGAATTTCTCGGTTGTCCTGTGTTGGTCAAGGTATGAATCGGTAGACGACTTCTGTACAAAATGGCGACATTGAGGCATTAGCCAGACGGTGTGAATTGAGATCCCATCCGGTCACTCTCAAAGACAATCCCAGGGGCAAATCATGTAATCCACTTGCTCCGCTGGATTTAGCAAGGCATGGTCGCCAATAATAAATCTCCCGACGTCCGACTTTTACCGACAGTAACGTCATAATTTCCTTGCTCAATCACTTTGATAGCCTTGTAATTCTCTCTGGAAGACTAAGAGAGGATTCTACGATGTTCAAAGGGTAGACTTAACCGACTGATGGGAGTGTTTCATAAACTCCAAACATTCAGAGCACTTTCGACTGTTTGAAGACCTTAGTTCAGTTTACTTCACATGCAAATCGACAAGCATAGACATCTTTCATCCCTTGATTTTTGGCCTCCATCTTGCAACCATCTCTCAGATATCCGGGGTTTATCGTAAAACTCACCAAAGCTTTGACCACCAGAATCGGACGTTCGCCCTATTGCTGGTTGTGTTTGATTCGTCAAAATGCAGCATACCGAATATCTTATAGGTACACCATTCCGGTTAACCATTCCGGTCAAGACTCGAACGTCAATGAGTATGTTATGGCACGAAGAGAACGGATTCCATCTGCTGTGGGGTTAGCTGGTAGATATTTTGAATCCACATGAGATGCGAATCTTTAAGTATCAAGACACGGTCAACTGGTTGGAAAGCATGCAGTTTAATGCATTGTCAAAGGTCAAAAGACTGGTACCGTAGCCCATGGAGTTTTACAAAACTAGAACGATTTGCGTTGCTTCTTGGTATCGCTGTTTTAAATTGAAATCAGCACAAATCAACTATCGAGATAAGATTGAGGTGGCACTATAAAGATGTAAATATCAAAAAAACCAGGACAACAAGATATACCGCATATTTAAAAACATAACTCTGTGGTCTCTCAATCCATTCACGAGACGGTTTAGTCCAAGGAGAGAATAATCCGAGCACGGGTAGAAGATAGATCTACACAGAGAACCCCCGGCAAACAAGGACAGAAAAATCATCAAAAAAAAAATCAAACCCAAACGACATCCCGAAGTACCAGGTCTAGAGAAATGTCCCATCCAGATCCCAGAATGACGGATGCCAGGCAACAAATAAGGTTGCCCCAGAATAACAGATGTGATACAGTGCCATCTTCTAACTTGAAGCAGACACGGATAGGGCAGGGAAGCCAGACAATTGATGGCAGCATAGGGCATAGCGGTGGACTGCCTCGCACCCCGAGTCGTTGAGTGCCTGTTGTATCTTGTTAGCCAAACTCTGTGCAGCGCCATGCGGCCCAAAATAGGAAAGGATGTTACTCACACCAGAAGCCACTTTAGCCACCGTGACGAACGCACTTGACGCCGACTCGTTTCCGAGGCTGCTCCTTAACACCCTTGCAGGCCGGAGTGTTTTGATTAGCACAGGGGACCACGCCCCCTTCTTGTTGCTTGCAGCCGCAGTCGTATTCGTAGATGTAGATGGAACACATGTTGCGGTGAGTGGAGAGATAAAGTTGCAGAGGATGCAGAGGATGCAGAAGCAGATGTTACAAATTAAAGGTCACTGAGTTTGAAGGAAATATTAAACTTTAGATAGTGATTGATGTGACGAGAAGCAAGATGGGGATCGATGCCTGGCTTTATAGCCTTCGATGAACACACCAAGAGAAGTAAATTGACTGCGCACCTCAATAGAACAAGAAGTGAACACACCATCAACAGTCGCAAAAATGGTTCCGTTCTTCCATCTCCTTACAAGCGCTGTAACTCAACCATCCAGATGCGCCATATGCAGGCAGCAACTCGGTGGTCACTTGTTGCGCAGTCAAAGAGAAAGTGATGGAGGGCACACAAATGGGACACACATGCGCCATATCCAGGGCATATACTTTTACCAACAGAAAGCAGAGTTTGTGGTAGGTGGACTGTTAGAGTGTGGTGTGCCTCCGGGAAGAGGCACGATAAGTGACATGGGGCTCGCTAGCAGCAGAGGTTGGTCAGGGCCACCGAGCCCTAAGTATGACTACCGATGCAAGTTCCAAATCCCGCAGGCTGCAGGGAGCACTTGACATCACTCTAAAAGTGCTGCAGCCAGTGTTAGGGCTCAAGTCCCGAGCGCCAACAGTGACCCCTCTGTGGATGGTACCCAATAGGGCCAACGCTGCGGCCGAAGCGTGGATCAGGGACATGGTTTGCCCCATCTGACAAGCCTCTATGATCCTGATGCCTAGCCCTAAAGACATGGCTTATACACTGGGAAAGGCACCTGCCACAGCGTTTTCATGATGTGTGCGCATCACTGTGCACGGCGCAGCAGGTGTGACTAATTGACAATCATTGGTGAGATTGCCGTGACTCTTCTCGAATTCGGTGTCTGGGGATATTCAATGTGCTTCCAAGAATGACCTCGATTTTCCGCATAAACTTAGAGAGTCTTGGCTCTAGATCCTCATGATGTGGTACCGCAAGACTAGATAGGCAGACCGCAGTAAGTAGCCCTAGGAACCAACCGAATTTCGAAACAGGTGGCCCTCCAAGCAAGACTTCACCCTAAGTCGGTCTCGATATGGCAAGAGATGACTTGATTGGGTCTATTGTAATGCGCCTCAACTTGTGGATGTAGGCGAATAGGGCTCATTTCTATGGCGCGGTTGGTGATAGTCGCAAGTTCTGCGCGATTAGAATGCGAAAAACTGCATGGTGACAAGACTTTTTCGTAAGGTTGAGGTTAAGCGAGTAAAGAATAAGAATCCAAGAAAATTCAGACGTGTTGTGGTAAAGTATGGTCGGCGTTGGCCGAGTGCCGATTGCGATAATAGCCAGAAGGCATTCTTTGTTTGATCTAGCGCGATCGTGCTGCAGGGCCTAGGGGAAAAAGAAATCAATGCTAACCTATCAATTGATTCTAGAGCGCTAATTTCTGGTGACAAGCACCACGTTCCTCAGCCATGGCACAGTAACGTTCATATGGGTTCGACTGAGGCTCTCCCCTTGCTGAGGCGCCGACCCACTGGGAGATTAACTCCGAGCGAGTAGAGACGCGTCAGGCTAGGGGCGGCAAGGCACAGCAACGCAATCGACAAGTCGAGACCAGTCGCTGGGCAGTCTGTTTTGCCGCTGTTGGTTTTTGTGTTCTTGAAGTCTTCCAGAGAAGGGAGATAGTGCAGATAACGAAAACTACTTCAGTAGTGTTTGGATTTTGCTGCATGAGGATTTCGCCACGTGATAGGTGTTCCCAAGGTTCAGTTTGAAGGTTAAATAAACTCAAGAAAGGAACCATGGAAACAAAAAGATCAATTTCAGTTTAATTCCAATCGCTTCATATCTATTTCGAAATGACCCCAGTGGATCAATTTCAAATAACCTACGGAGTACTTACAAAGTATTTCTCACATGCTCAGTGATGCCCGGAGTGACAATTACCCGAGTGTAGACCACTTCGGTTAACAAGAACTCGATTTTCCATTCTCGATTCTGGCGGAAATTCGAATTTGGTGTCACTTCCTTGTCTTTTTCCCCTGGAAAGAGATCGAAATTTGCGCTATCGGGTCCCTAGGAGAAAGGCCGAGGAGATCAAATACCCCAGCATAACCGATGGTCCTAGCGCCCATGCAGCGGTTGGAATGACAGGCGAAGAGAACTGTCGACGAAACAACTCGGAATGTGTAAAGCTTTCTCGTCCGAAATCGTCATTAACACACATACTGCATAGGTGTGGATGCATACAGGAGCCTATGAAAGCCATGAGTTTTCGTCTTTCGGCCCCTCATCCTGGCTGTTGATCTTCCGAGGTCCTTGAGTTTCGGCTGGCAGCGGGTTTTCCTCGGCAAAGCATATTGCGTAATGACACAGGGTTTGATACGCCAAGTGAGCATATTGGCCATGGCTGCTGGGAATGAATGCCAGCCGCCCAGACTCTGGTGTGACTATGCCAGAGCCAAGAGAGGCGAAGTCGAAGCATTTAGAAAAAGATAGGGTGATAGTCGGCCAATAGTGAGCTCTTGGCCATGATCCCCCCTTTTTTAGCCAAGACATGTGAAGCTCCCCAGCCTATTTGGGATACTCCTTTATGGATTTAATGGGAGAAAATGGCGGGGAGTGGATTGACTGCATGACCGCATACCCACTACTCCGTATCCCCGGCCCAGATATGATGTGCTGGATGCGTTGGATCGGCGTAATTCGGGCTTATCATTGATGCAGCATGCCCCTCATTCCCCAGGGTCCCTCTTGGCTTATCTTGGTCTGGACTATATAAGTGAGGTGGAAACTCCCTGAGATTTCCCACTTTCATCCAAAACAATCCATTTACAACTTTCTCTTCAATTCTCCAAAAATCCCCGTCTTTAGCCGAGTTACTTCTTCGACACAAAGCCTTCAAAAAGTTCTTTCAGAATGTACACTTACACCCCCACCCACCGTTTCTTGGTTCTCTCTGCCACTGAGTCTGGCCCTTACCACCCTGGCAACAAGTTCCTCGTCTTGTCTCCCACTGAATCTGGCCCTGATACCCGGGCCTGGGAAGACCAACCTCAGATTGAGACCAGCTCCGTTGAAGAAAGCCCTATGTTTGCTCCTGTCAACCGTGCCCGCACCAACAGCTCTCTTTCTACCAGCTCCACCAACTCCACAGTCTCCCTCAATGACCTTACCGCCACCCTTCCTAGTGGTTTCCTCTACCTTGGTCATGGCAAGAAGCAGCACTAGATCCTCTATTACTGGCCCGCCTAGTCGCCAAGGCCTTCTTTTCTCGTCCATTTCTCACGATATATAACCATCACAGCATCTGTTTCATCATTGAGCCTACTATTTGTTTTCTTTTTTCTCTCCGTTTGCAATCTTTGTCAATTGAGCGACTCCAATCAGGAAGTTTCGGACACTCTCTCAGGGGAATAGGGCAGGAATATCAACAGGGGTGTTTTTTGGCGCTTAAAAATGCCATTTGCTTTTCATTTAAAACTTGTCTACACCATAACGTCTTCGCTTCTGGGAAGCACACGTATTACCCTATTCGATAAGCTGGCAATAGACAAGCAACACTTGAATCCTTATGCATGATTCCTTCCCATTCCTTTTTGCCACACATGTTGTGTCTGTGCATCTGACATAGCCCACCCTGACCCAGGCACAAGGTTGCAAAGGAATCCCCATCCCGCCGGACGCGAGGGAGACCTCCAAAATGCTTGCCAAGTTCTGCCAAGATGGTGATTTTCCGCCAAGCCTTGTGTAGTCTGATGCTCCCGCCTTGGCCGGGAGGGCTGGGCCATGTTCCACGACCTAGACAACAGTTCCTAGTGAACATCGTAGATGTATTTACGAAGTAAGTTGTACTTTATACACCCAAGCAGCACCTTTTTTGGAGCATTTTGTGAACCCTGCCAAGCCTCCCTGTTGCCAATCTTACTACGACGGCTTATCAGTCCATACTTGTTTTGTTTTACTTTTTTTTCTCTCCCAGCACGTTGATAGTTTCAGGGATTGGATTGGCTTGTTCAAGTCACAAATTATTCTTGGTCCACAATTGCCAGCTGGATTTTCAACTCCTTAATTTTCCCCGGTGAGAAGATCTCCTCGTCCCCCTTTTACCCCTCATCGCTTATTATTTACTTCCCCACATGTTTCTCCGGTGAAGACTCGGGCCAACGGAGCACTTTTTTAGCCTACCACATACTTGAGCATTAGTTTCGGTTTTAAGTACTTTAAACTGCCCCCATCCAACAAGATCCACTAATTCCAACCACATGACAGATGTTATGCGAGGTGGACTCTGTAAGAAAGGAGAATTAGCCGAGTCGGTTTTCGAACTCCGAGATGGCCGAAACTTCGTCTCTGTCTATATTGTAGGTACTCTGTACTTATTAGGGCATGGACTAGCACGAGTGTTCCCACCGGTTAATTGCTATTATCACTAGTCAGGTAAGCAATATGAATTAAATACGTGCTAGCATGTGATTTGCTTTTTATCAAGAAAAAATCTGTAATATGGTTTGTCCGTGAGCCTAGTGGGGACCGCACGTACTTCATTTTCAATTTGCTCAGGAGTTGTCCCACTTTAGCTCGTCGAGATATTACCCGTTCATATTATCTATATTTTTCAGACCTCTGATTATGTTTCCCCGTCTTGGGGTGTCTTCTCAGGATATAGCCCGAGATATAGTTTGCCTTTTTATCTGCTTACCATCCTTATATATATACGAACAAGAGCAACTTCACAATTACCTTCCCTTGCCGTCATCTAGAGTCGTGAATTCCATGTGCGTCAATTCGATTCGAACAGACTACTGGCACCAAAAGTCCCACAATTCTACGCTCTGTGATAACGAAATTCTTCTTGCACACCTCTAAATAAGTAGGATTGGTTTTAACTCGATTCTTCATCTCAACTTTACTGCAATTCCGTTCCTACGGGTCTGTTTTCCATCAAAACAGTCAACCCTCGAATGAGGCGCATATCAACGTGGATAGATATCCGCCTCCAGACAAGTCTTCTACTTGTCATCTCACTGCATACTCCTCTGGGAAACTTTTACACAAATCAAGATCACGCCCCCACCAACAAAACAGGGTCAGAATCCAGGCCATACCACACACGATGGTTGGACCCCTCACAAGTTTTGTATGTCTCTTATGTATCATACTGCGCCATAGTGGTAGGTTCCTCAATCTTTCTCTACTTTCATCTTAATGCTACAATATCATCATGTTGTACTTTATGGGCTCGTCTACTGGTTTGTAGACTTCAACAACAATATACTTTGATCTAATCTTGACAAGAAACCAAGTCCTCCACGATATAGTTTAATTGGTGCTAGTCCCAACATTGGGTGCAAAACAAAAAGCTTGTCTAACATCATACCTGTCCGTTGTATTGCAAACCGCGAGAATTCTGTCTTCGGAGTACCCCGGAAACGGTGCCCCCGCAATAGTCAAACTACCCTGCACCGCCTAGCCCGGGGCTCACAAACCAAAAGACCTCATGTTGACCGAGATTGCATACACGCTATAACCAGACAGTATTAGGAAGGAGGACGCACACACTGGACTTGAATCCTATCGCATGCCGACGTATGGAAGCTCTAACCAGTTTTTTTTTTGGCTAGTTGGCCTGTTCAACCAAGGGCATTTCTAGATGCCATTTCATTTTCTGAATCAAGCGCCTGTGAAGAACTGTGGGGGTTGAATGGTCATGTTTGACTGCATGCTGGCTTGCGGTGTTGCCTTGGATGATGTGGCGGCCAGTATGTGAAATTTGGTTGAGATTGAGGCGGTCACGATTGACAGAGATTGTGGAATTATTAGACGATAGGGGTTGATATTGCTGTCGTATGGACCTTTGCGCGGTTCCCATAAGTGAGCCTAAGAATGAGGGCTTCTCCGCGATGGCGTCGTAGAATCATTTTTTAGGCACCTAGAGTCGCACCTTGAAGACTGTGCATATTAAAGTTAACATCACTCTCGCAACATTGAGCAATATTGAGTAGGCATGGGAAGATGACTTGAGTTGCTATCTGCATCGATCAGCCTAGGCTGTGAAGTGATCCCAGAGCTTTTTGTTGTACGTTGCACGCCATTGATCCAAATGTCTACTTTCAGTTATCACCTTCTTTGCGCATCTCGTCAACTGTCTCAGGTAGAAGGAGGTCGAGAGAAGGGGACTGCTGTTTTATATATTTGGCGGCACACATCACATCAACCTGAATCTGAATCTGACGACCGATCTAGAATCTACAGAGTAGAACGCGATAATCATGACTTAGTATTAGTGGTGCGGGGATATTACAATACAGGACACGGGCCAGATTTTGGCCTATGATATTCCCAGGGTGATCGAACGAGGGCTGAATGCAGGGAATGAGCCTTGATGCTGGTCAGAAAACCGGGACATCCGAGACGAGGTTGTTGCACCTGCATCATCCCATTGTGAGACGCATCATACAATGGTAAACACATTAAAAAGAAAGCCGAGAAAATGTAACATCTGCTTCAAATTGGTTAAGAAAGAGACCTACGGAGTGCACAGCAAATAGATACATTGTATGTTGTAGGCCGAACGATACTTTACGAAGAATCTCCATGTGTGTTTTGTATATGTTGTGACCGGGCTGTGCTAGAACACATGTTTACTTGTTGACACTTTGAAATAGTACCATAATTACTCCAATACAACGTAAACAAGAAAAAGATGGGGCTCTTTCGAAGTTATCGGGAAACGATGATACATGGTGGTATGATCAAACGATTATTACGCGGGGTGGCGATGCTTTTTTTTTAGAATCTCAGGGACCCGAAGTAACCCCGAACGGATAGAACGGAAACTGGAAATCAAAATGGTGTTATACCTTTGTAGCATCCCTAGTCTGGGCTCAGACTAGCTTCTTTTTGTTATACATGTTCTTTATACCCAACCGGCATAGCGGGCGGACTCCGAACTTCGGAAGTTTCATCTTGTCCGGAGTGCACGGGGCTTCCGCGAAAAGAGGTCGATCCTTATCATTTATTGTGTATTTTTCTGATACCCAGGTGCCTTATCCAGTGTCTGTAACAATCCTAATAAACGGGCATTGTTCGAATTTTGTTTTGGGGTTTTTTTTTCGAAAAGCTCACACTTGAGGGAAACGAAAGGCGGTGTGCTTCAAGAGGGCATAGAAGGCTGCCCAACTGCTTCTGCTGCCTTTCTAGCGCCAAAGCCAAGACCCCGTTGTGTTCTGACTGAAACTTGAGAATTGTCCCTCATGTTCAAGATTGGAACTTGTGCTCTGTAGTTCCCGAGTCAATTCCCTGGTCAAGAGCTCATGTGATGATTCTGAGATCTCCCGTACAGTACTCTGTAGAGGGTCTTAGAATGGACACCAGACTCGGATTACATATGCATCGTACTCCGTACTATATTGTCATACTAGCAGCAGTACTAGTCCCCCCCGCTGTTGGCACTTATTCTTTTAAAGGCTGCGCAATGACAACGCGAACGCAAACTCGCCACCCAGATCTCTTATCTGTGATTACCCCTTGCAGATGACCCCGGATTTTACAGGGTATCTGAGTAGCTCCTGGATCTATCTGTCACTGTACATCTATAGATCTACTGATGGCCACAATACCCAGCAAAAGATACCCAGAAAATGGAGAATTTTTCTTCACAACGAACCAGGAAAAAGCTGAAGTGTTGCTAGCTGCTCCACTTTAAGGCGATGGTTGGGAGGCACAATAATAATGAATATCATTCCACTTCGGATGGGGTAATGTTATCCAGTCAGTGTAGCTCATTGCGTAACTCTGCATAATTCAGCCATACTATTTGTTCAAGAACAGCAGGAGATCTTATCCCCGTTGGTCCGCAACCTAAAATTAATATCACCATCATCGACTCGGGGCAAGTTGTGTAGGTAGTCGACCAATTAAACCAAACTAGTCATAACATACAGTACAGTAGCCGTTTCAAGTAATTTGTTACATTACCGATCATGACGTTCGCATCCTGCAAGCGGTGTATAGGGAACATTATTAACTACGGAGTACTTACTGTTATATGCGCTTTCAGGTAGCCTGGTTGTCATTCCTCAGTGACTTGACCGTGATAGTCGAAGATCTACGAGTAAACCCATCTGTACTATTGATACATAATTTCTCGGGGTCAACTCGGGGCCAAGATCCGCTCGGAGAATGATCACGTGGGTAAATACCGTAACAGCGCTTGTCCCAAACCGGAAGCGTTGCCATCTCATACCCCCATCTTCATGAGCCCTTGCCCCTGCTGTTTCTGACTGATCACTCTTCGATCGCAATATAATTCTCCTTGATCTGAACCCATTCCTCCAGGTCTTCAGATTGACTCGATTTAAGAAAGGGAGCTGCACTTGTTCAAGTGACTCGACAAGTTTCTGCCAAAGTGGGACATCATCCGAGGGTGGACTCCTGCGTGTGAACCCGCCCAAAAACCGCCATCCACTCAAAAGCCCACTCAACGAGGGGCACTGACTGTCTCAAAGTCGCAATCTTATTTTCTTCAGATTTTATCTGTGTGAGCCTCGCGCTACTACGCGGGACTCAAAGACACCCTGCCATCCATAAGCCCCTCGGGTTTGGCGTGACATCGCGCAAGACCGGACAGGGAACTAGGAAATTGATTCGTCAAACCTCGACTTGGAATTCTCATTATTTTGACCAAACATTGACACCGGCAGTTCGTCACGATGACTGGTGCCATGCCTATTGATATTTCGACTCGGCAGACAACCTCGGTGTCGCCGCCGGGTCAACAGGCATCTAATCTGACCTCGGCGCTGCAAAGAGCGGGTAACGGCGAGCGTACAGGCAGCTTTTCACATCTTCCCGGGGGAGGACTCGGCGTATTCAAGGCTCCGCCACCTCGTAAGGACTCGTTTGGCACAACCACGGCACAATGGGGGAACGGGACGAAACCAATCTCGATGTCGGGATCTGCCCGCGACAAAGGTCGCCGCGAGTCGCTCGCTGGAAGCTTGGTGGGTGGTATGAGCTGGGGTGGTGTATCCGTTGGTAGTTGGATACGTGATGAGTGAGTGGCCTGTCCGGACCTAGAAGCCGCGGGGGAACCGCCCACCGTGTGTTGCTATTGTCGCACCGCATCAAGAGCTGACCAAGGAAAATTTCCGCAGTATCATAATGACTGGCACGTCACCATTTACCTTCCAGTCACCATCTTTCCACTCCTCATCGTATCTCCCGAAGCTGGAAGCGAATTTTATGCGAGACTTTTCGTGCTGCGGTGTGACGTTACCGACGCTCCATGACCTTTTACAACACTACGAAGAAGCCCATGCGACCAAGTCGCCCAATCAAGGCCACCGACAAAGCCAGGGTGAAAATCGAGCTGCCTTGGCGGCTGCCGCAATTGCCCAGCAACAGAACCAACAGCATGGCGGCCAAGGACGCGGTCTGCAGCCCGACCGGACCCTAGACATGCAGCGCAAATTGGGCCAGAATCCATCACCATTGCAGCACGCAGACCTAGACACAATCGATGACATGGAGATGGACGACGCCTTAGGAGATGGAGACGGCTCAGCCTCGCAGATGTTCTCTTCTCAGCTGCATGAGGGTGGACAGGGCGGATATGGTAACTCCAACCAGCAGCAGTTAAATCTGAGTATGCTTCCAAATCACCAAGGATATAGCACACCCTCGCAACCTGGTACACCGATCGGATCTGGGCGACCGCTTTCATTGCAAAACAATCCGACTGTCTCTTCCGTCAACACCCCAACTTTGATGGCCAACCCGCTCCAAAATTCGCAGTTCCGAAATACGCCCGATTCATCCGGACCAGGGACCCCGGCCGAAATTGACGAAAGCATGATGGGTGGATTCGGTGATCTCAGTATGCAAAATAACACCATGGGCCAAAACCAGAATCAGTTTGGTCGCTTCAGTGGGAACAATAATGACATGGTCGATCTTTGCATCGATGAACCGGCCAAGCGGCTGTTCAGCCCCAGTGGTGGCATGGGTTCTCCCAATGCTCACTTTAAGCTCAGTGGAGCTCAGTATGGCCCGAATAGCGATATCGCACGACGGATACGCGAACAACAGCTGCTCGCTGGGGTCCCCGACACCACCGTTATTCTTCCTAACGAAGAACCCAAGCCGTTCCGATGCCCCGTTATCGGCTGCGAGAAGGCATACAAGAACCAAAACGGGCTTAAATACCACAAAGCTGTAAGCTTGATTTGATGCTCTCCTCATTCGTCTTATTCTTTCTAACCGCTCCTTTCATTGCAGCATGGCCATAATAACCAGCAACTTCATGACAACGCCGATGGCACTTTCTCAATAGTCAATCCAGAGACATCAGCGCCGTACCCTGGCACACTTGGCATGGAGAAGGAAAAGCCCTACCGCTGCGAGGTATGCGGCAAGCGCTACAAGAATCTGAACGGACTTAAGTACCATAAATCGCACTCACCACCCTGCAACCCGGATTTCCAGCTTGGAGGTCGTAACCTCGCCCTTGGCGGTGGAGTCATGCACGGGCAGAACATCAACGTTGCTGGAGCTGGCCTCCCCGGAATTGGCGAAGAAGGCCTTATGTGAACCCGTGAACAAATCTGTCATTATTTCCATACATAATTCCCAGCTAATTGATGCGAACGATCTCGACGGCTTTCGGGGGTAAGAGCACTCCTGCACACACACACGATGTCATGATTTTGAACTGGGTCCGGTGACGTTGGAGTTATTGCTTTTCTTTTTCTCTCTTCGAAAATTGTTCCCTCTGGCTTACCTAGTGACGGGGCTTTGTGATGCCCATTTGATTTTCGTTCTGCAGTCTGGTATATTCTACTGGCATGGTCGTTTTACCCCCACGCTTGATATCCCTCGCCGTTTCCAGATCCTATCTACTTGGCCTGGTAATAGAGCTCTTCTTGAGCGATCAAGACCCTCTCTCAGCAAAGAGCTGTATAGAAGAAATTGCTTGCACTTTCCTACTTTTGCTCTCTGTTCCTCTTGTTTGGCTTCTTCATACGGCATTCGCGTCTTCCATGGGAGACAAGTAAGGGGAATTGGACATCTTTTGAAATCCCCCCTCCCCATCCTGCTCTTTTTTTTTTTGCTGCGTTCTTACAAGGACTGGATTCGTATCTTGCTTCAATGTTCGCGTCCCTGTTCATTGCGTTTATGTTTCCGCTCATGTCCCTCTTCCAACGACGACAGTCGCTCACGCGCTCGCCCGAAACCTTGAACACCAGGAACTGAGCACCACCGAAAAGTTGGCGGAATGGAATTTGGCGGGGTTTAATTGGAATCATGTGTGAGGCACGAAATTCTGGGTTGGTCATCATTCTCTCCCCCTCTTTCACACCCAGTCGGTGATCGCCTTTTCTTCCCTGCGTATCTTTTACCCAGGGACGGGAGATGGACTGGACCTGGGAATCTTAAAAGTACGGTTTCTCGGCGTCGGATCATTGTAGATATGATTATTTTTTGACGTGATTTGGCTCTTTTTGCCCAATGTCACTTATCTTCTTTTTCCCCTTGTCTTGCTATTCATTTTACTTTTCCTTGACTTTTATTTTAGTTACGTTTGTCATAGTAGATCCGGGTTCTGAACTTAGACCTAGTAAGCTAATTGGATTTTTAGCACTCACCATCTAATCAATGGTGTTTTGCTGTTAACATTTAGCGGATGGTTGGAAAAGATACCAAAGCTGGTGGAAGTTGTTCAGAATTATGGTTTATTGGTGCTTATTTTCGAAGCCAGTAAGATCGGTCTTACAAAAAACTAACCTTGAAGGCATGGCAAGGGACAAAGAGAAGCAAGCATGTAAAAAAAAAGCAGAAGCAGAATCCATCCTCACTTGTAAGCGCCGTGAGCTATTAGAAGCTCAAAATCAAAGAAAAAGCGGAGCAAAGACCCGGTTGCTGACCATGTCGATATTTGGGTAGTGAGAATCATGAGAAATATTTCGCTTGCACAGACCGTTTCGAGGGCGTGATTGAAAAGACGTAGGGATTGGTTTTCGTTTGTGCCATGGAAGAGAGCACTTGATGAGTAGGAAATTGTTACAGAACGAGGAAAGAGATGTCGTCAATGGAAATCAAAGATTGGTTGAAAGAAAAATGGAGTGATGGTGTGTCGTTTCCACTACCATTCGAATTCACCTTGACCCTTGTGGAAGACGTATCTAGTAGAGTTAGTATTTGTGTAGCATGGCAGAGTGAGATGACTTACTCTTTGCCTCCAGTGGTCAGGATGCCATCCTTCAAGGTGCACTTCCACTTGTTCTTCACCCGCTGGACCTTGTCGTATGTGCAAAGCATGACCTGGCCCTCCGATTCATCTGCGTCATGGTCGTCAGCAACAAGGTCATCTGGATCATCCAGGTCCGAGTTGATGGCGTCTTCATCTTCCTCCTTAACATCTTCTTCTGCGCCGTCAAATTGGCCAGTGACGCGAGGAGCAGATGAAGTTGACTCGGTGGTAGTATTTTGGCTGAGGGGTGCGGTGAGAGCCACACGACGAGCGACCTTGGAAGAGGACTCATGGTCTTTCAAGGGACGAAGGAGACCTCCGCCCTCATACTGAGACATGCGCTGCTTGAGATGCTCGCGCAGAATCCGGTCACTTTCTCCACTTTCGGCAGCTGCTCTGCGGCGTGCTACCTCTGCCTTCCAGTTGGTCATTGGGTCACCTCCACCATCGGTCTGTCCAGGACCCATGTGCGGGTAGTTCTGCTCTTGTTTGATCGGTGGCATTTGCCCGTGGGGGTTGGGGTGCATCTGCGGATATCCTTGTCCAGCTTGAGCCTGGGCCTGCATTTGGTGGACGGAGTTCGCGGCTGCGGCACCGTATTTCTGTTGAAGCGCATTTGCAGCACGATCGCGAGCCGACTGAGGGTTGAGACCATGCGGGGGCATGGGTGTGGTCAGATGCGGCATTCCGGGTTGGCCATTGATTCCTGGCTCGGTCTTGATGCGAGGTACACCCATGGGGGGCATGGTGTGAGAGGGCGCGGCTTGGGGGATTGAGATAGGCGGTGGAACATATTGCTGCTGGGGAGGTTGTCGGGGAGCGTTGGAGGGGACAGTAGCCGTAGGGAGGGGAACAGAGTGCTGCTGAGGAGGCAGAGGAGCAGGATCCCAGGGGAAATGAGCGACGTTCACAGAAGAAAGCTTATGTTGCCAGGTCTATATAATAATTAGTAAAGGTGTCCAGGTTTGTTGCATGATATGATAAACAGAATCTTGGCGGTCTAAAAAGCGCCTAAGCCGGGTAAGAGCGGCACATATAAAAGGAAGACTCATAAGCCGGGTTTCCCCCATAAGCACCGCCTCCCGCACCACCTCGACCATCTCCGCTTTTAGGGGAATCATCCACACCAGATTTTGAGAACACAAGACAGACAATGTAGAAAGGAAAATATGCTACTGACCTCTCGCAGATCATGAAGAGTCTGCTGATCGACACCGCTTTCCTCAAAGTCGACCTGGGAAGCATCACAGACCTCCTGGATGACCTTCTCAAAAACCGCACCCTATGAAGCCACATGTGTCAGCTCTCACCTCGGATGAAATAAACTTCTGGGAGAGAACGTTTATAAGTGAAGAGAAAACACTCTTTGCGAGCGACAGCTGAGGATGGACAATGTGGTTGTTGAAGAAGAAGCTGGGACTTACCACTTGCTGGTTGGACATGATTGCTGAGCAAGAACACCTCAGTGAGCTGGTGTATGATTATGTGAGGGAGCGGAGAGCAGAGAAATTGGGTGCCCGGTGAATTGTACTAGGTAAGGATAACTTGACTAGGAAGTAAAGTGCTCCGTCGCAACTATCAAGTTGCCGAAGTGCTGATCGATCACGCCCACGAATGAATGACGCAATATCAAGCAAATTATGAATCCGTAGTCTTCACCCAGGTAGAAAGGAGAAGAAAGGCCTCAAAGGGAAAGTGATGCAAGTGCAAATGTCAAAGGAAAACAAGACAGTGAATTTCCCGATGGGATGGCGAAGGTGAAAGTCACGGCTCTGCGGTCGAAATCGCACCGCACCCCGGAGGCTTAGTCATCGGCGACCAACCCACCTGAGCACTCTTGAGTAGAAATTTACGAAGCAGATAGAGAGAGGCCAGAGACAAGATGCAAACGAAAGAGAGGAGAGTCGAGCAAAACGAATTAGAGCAACCGTAAGAGTGGCATTTAGACAATTTGTACAGCCAGCGTACGGGAAAGTAGATACAAAGAACACCATCAGAACGCCGAATTCATCACCAAAAAAGACCTCTACACCGAAATTAATGACCTAGCCCATCAATGCTCAATATCACCATGAACCAGGGTATCCGACGAAAAAAAAAACCAAAAAGAGTGAAATGTTGCAGGCGTCTAGCGGATGGTCATAGACTTGGTCATCTTAGCCTTGCTGCCGACACCACCCTCACGAGCGGATGAGGCACTGCTACCAGCCTTGCGCTCAAAGATCTTCCAGAACTTCAAGCTTTCATCAGCAGCAGTGGTGGCCAGCATCTGTCCATCAGGGCTGATGGCACTGTGAAGTACACGAGTCTCGTGGGCGGGGATCTCAACGTTGCGGACCAAAGTTGGGTAGCTCCAAATACTGAGCGAGTTGTCTGGGAAGCCACTAGAGCTGACGATCTCGCGGTAGTGATTGCTCCAACGCAGGGAAGTGACTTGGGATCCAGTGTCAATGCTGTTGGTGCGGGCGCCGGTGGTGGTGTTCCAGAAGTGTATGTGACGGTCGTAGGAACCACCACCAGTGGCAAGGAGGTTGGATTGCCAAGGGCACCAGCTCAGAGCCTTGACGGCGGCGCGGTGGTTGGTCTTAGTAAACTTGGGAGCACTTAGAGAGCGAGCATCCCAGATGTTGACGAGGTTGTCGTTTCCACCAGTGGCGAGCTGAGCGCCGTCAGCGCGCCATTCGAGACCACAGACCTCAGAAGTATGAGAGACCAGTTCAGCGATCTTGTGCTCTGCGATGCGAACATCGTGGTTGAAGACGAGCCCACTACGAGCACCAGTGGAGAGAGTGTGCTTATTCCATCCCATTACACCGACACGAGAGTCATGGCCGTACATGCTGCGAAGCTTGGAACCTTCCTCGACATCCCAGATCTGGACCTCACCGGTTCCTAAGCCAACACCGACGTAGGCACCATCTCCACTCCACTTGACGCTACTCACGTATGTGTCAGGGGAGGTTTCCAAAAGGCAGTTGACAGATCCAGACTCAGCAGACCAGACATATACATTTCGCTCGAGACCGATGGCGACCTGGTTGCCAGAGCTCCAGTCAAGCAAATTGAGATAATAGTCATCCAAAAGACCCGGGGCATCCAAGACCCGTTCGGGTGCAGTTTGCACACGGCGGCGGAACTGGGCAGCTGTAGATTTGGCAGGTCGGAGAGGGCGGTTATATTGAGCACGAAGGTCAATGGGCTTCGATGACTCTGGAGGGGGAGGTTTAAAAGCGAGGATGCGAGTGTTCATATTCACTCCGCAAGCTTCAGCCAAAGATGATTTGTAGGCCACGGCATCAGGAGCTGGGCGAGCATAGGTGGAAGGCTCATTGTCATCCAGACCCAAGCTCTCCAAAGCAGCAGCAAGGTCATCATCGGATCCACGTGCACCAATGTCAAAAGCGCTAGCCGCCGAGGCGAGGACCGACGATCCGTCTGCCCCGCCATTCTTAGGGCGCTGTTTCTCTTCTGGCTTTGCGGCCCCGCTAGTGGCTAGACCCTCACTTGCGGTCCGGTTGGGAATAAAACGGTCACCAGCGTTATGAGGCACGCGCAAAGTTGTCTTGCTAGTACGGGAGCGGGTAGGAATCTCTCGGCGAATGTGCTCCTTCGACGGAGTGTTCGCTGTAGTGGCACTTGTGCCGGTCAAAGTCCAGTCAGAAACACCAAGCTCCAAGTGTTTGGGTGACTTGCGGGTGCGGGTGCTGGCAATATTCGACTTGTTCGTCTTGGGAGAGTCACGGTGAGTGGTGCGGGCTGATTTGGAGATGGACTTGGCGAAGTGGGCAGTGAGGTTTCCACCATACACTGACTTGGTTTGACTGCGGCCAGCATCACACTGGCGAGGAGGGGTGAAGGGTGACGGGCCGCTTGCACGGGGGTTGGGAGAAGGGCTTAGAGGCATACGGCCTCCAGCAGTCTTGGAGGAGAAGAGCCCATGGTGGCTCTTTACCGGGGTTGATGCAGTAACAGAAGCCATAGTAATATATGATCAAAGTAGATGTAATGGGACCAACCCAAGTAGAAGATGCTATACGAATCGATGCAGAAGTTGATGTGAAACCAACCAACGGAAAAGTATGCAGATAAATGCGGATAGTAAAAAATTGATGAAAAAAGGGAAAGTGAGCTCAGGAGAAAAGCGAATAAATAGAAGGTAGCTACTATACTCGTTGCTGAAAAGTATGAGGCTCTCCCCATAGCAACGGTTACCTGAGCTACATGGCGCACTAACCCTTATTGGGACTAGTGTTGACATACCGCGCTTGCCTCCTTTAGTAACATTTGTCTTGGCAATTAATCTCATGACAATTGCTTGATCCAGTGAAGCAAGAACAAAGGTAAGAACCTACACAGAATATATCTTCCATAGACCTTCAAGGAGAAGTTGTCATGACTAATTGTGCCGGTTGCAGATACAATTCAAGGCTCCCTTTTTTTGCCATTGGGATGGCGCATCCATCTCCTCTTTGCAACCCCCCACCACGTTCCTCTCACCCAGTTCCACGGAGACCCACCACGACTTCTCCCTGCCTGGCCGGGATCTTCGAGGGGCTTAAAGCCAATATCCTGCTGTACTCCCTCTGTAGCAATGCAGGACGCCTTCCTAATGCCTGCCAGTCAGACTGGTGATCGCCGGAGCAGCACGGATTATCGACCCAGCATAAAAAAAGCCCAGGGCCATGTCCCCGCGTGTCTGGTCAATGCCTCGGTGACGTACTGCAGCAATGATTGTATTTATGCGTTTGGAGGGTTTGACCAGTTTACTGATGAAGGTTGACTTCCTTAACTTATCATCTTTAAAATGACACTAAAAACTTTTAGTTTACAACCACGTGCTCAGGCTGGACTTGGAGACTTTGCGCTGGGAGCTTGTGGACAACTACGGCGACATCCCCGGAGTTCGCATGGGTAACGATTCTCTCTTCTTATTCGTCCACTTTTTAGTGATACATACTCTGACTTTAAATGTTTAATTTTGATAGGGCACACGGCAACATTATACCAAGGGGATAAATTGATTGTGTTTGGAGGCGAAAATGAACATCGCGAATACCTCTCTGACGTCGTCATCCTTGATCTCAATACGTTCACCTGGGCACTTCCTGAAATTCGCGGCTCGACCCCGCGCGGCCGAGCTCGTCATGCTGCTGTCATTCACGAAGACAAGCTTTTTATTGTGGGTGGAGTGGCAGGCGTAGGAGGCGTGACAGGGGAGAAGAATGTGATCTTGGACGATTTGACCTATCTGGATCTACAAACATGGACCTGGTCTCGGACATGGAGCTTCACTGCTCGCTTCGATCATACAGCCTGGGTTTGGGGTACACGGCTGTGGATATTTGGTGGATTGGGTCCGAACATGGAACGAACGACTGACATCTGGTGGCTCGATCTCAAGGGATCTCCATCGTTGGCCGGAAACACTACTCCCAAAGGTAACGTCAACTCCCTGTATGTCAATCTGTTTGCGGCTCAGCTCATCTTCCAGACTCTATCTCTAGCAGTACCCACCAAATATCTCCCCGCTCCGGAATCTATGCCGCCAACTCAGGCAGTGTGCAGGTACGCAATTTGGGTCGACGCAAGCCAGTTGCGCCCGGTGCCATATCTTGTCTTAGGTTTGATTCTGGTCCTCATGTCCCCTCACTCTTTTCAGGTACTCATTTTCACTCATTTTCCTCTGGTGTTCTGCTCGATCTAATCACACCGTCGGAGACCGTACGTTCGCATGATTGTAACCTGTCTGCTCTAGACCTCAACTCGCTGCGCTGGCAACGGCTAGCTGATGGTCAAGAGATCTTCCGGCCAGGATATCGATGGCACTATTGCACTGTCAATGACGCAGGCACCAAAGCATGGCTCTTGGGATGTAGTCTTGATATCGCGAATGCTCCAGGAGGTAGCGACGAGAATCATATGAGCGAAGTCCTGACTATCGATCTGGAAAATTATGGCTTACTAGGTAACGGCCTGTCGGCAGAATCTCACGAACGAGGTGCACATTGGTCGTCTGATCAAATAGGCTTCTCTCAGGTTTCCGGGTTGGGAACCGATTTAGCTGCTGTTTTTGACAATCCCGCCGAGTCTGGAAGTGGCACGGACTTTGTCATTACTGCTATTCGTGACGAGTATGACGGGTACGCATCAGAAGATATGGGTGACACGCTATCCGTTTCCCCAACTCAGGCCCAGCCGACCTTTGTGGAGCAGAACCCCTGGACCTCGAAGCCCATCCATGTCCACCGTATCATTCTTCAGCTGAGGTGGCCACATTTCAAGCGCCTGTACTCCGCCCATATGGCTGAGTACCATACTAAGCGGATGCACATTCCCGAGTCTTATTCTGTCGTGCGCGCTTTTCTCTATTACCTGTACACAGACAGTATCGCCGGCCACCCAGATTATTGCTCGACCGTTATTGATGTGGCGGGTATGCTTGTTATGGCCAATCTTTATGACATGCCGAAGCTTCGCCTGCTGTGCGTCAATAGGCTAGGACAAGAGCTTGATGTAGACAATGCAGCCATCGTTTGGGAACGTGCGGGGCGGACCAATGAGCACTGGCTGATGCGCCGAGCAGCACAATTTTGCATGACATACTGGGGCCGCGTTGTACGGACAGACGGTTTCAAATCTCTCAGTCACAAGAGTTTGATCCAACTCTGCGAGATGGTGGACACAGAAGGCCGCATCCTCGCAGGGCCTGAATTGGAGATGGTTACTTTTGGGGCAGATGGCCTAGTTGACCGAGACAAAAGCTCTCGAATGCGGCTGGGATCTACTGCAGACGAGATGTCCGAGGTCGACGCGGACGATGAAGGGATGGAGATCTCATGAATTGCATGAAAGGGGCACGCATAATTTTCTGGAGTACTTGGTGGGGTCGTTTCTATATCAAGTTGTATTTTATTTGCATCTGCGCATCTTTATCGTACATTTTTGGAATATGCACCTTTTCTATCAATGTGACCGGGCCGTTAAACCGCTCCAAGGGCTGGCGCTGAGCCCATTTGTCATCACGAGATGTGGAGCCTCTCGACGTTCTTGACACGGAGTTCACTCCTGATCGCGGAGGTCATTCCTGTCACGATAAGGAAGCTCTGCATAGTTTCTCGCGCTTGTGTTTCAGCCAAAAGAAAATTGAAATGTTGAAATTATATAACTCTTGATGTGCGCTCGAATTCGAAACAATCTGGTTGGCACACGGCTTCTGCAGCTATCCCTTTGATACTCACTTCATCATGGGATCCACCGAGCAATCCACTCTTCCTTCGGATTTCCTCTGGGGCTTTGCAACAGCCGCATACCAGATTGAGGGCGGCGTCAACGAAGATGGTCGCGCCCCGTCGATCTGGGATACATTCTGCAAGATTCCCGGCAAGATTGCCGGTTCCGGAACTGGAGATGTAGCTTGCGACTCGTATCACCGCACACACGAAGACATCGCCTTATTGAAAGAATGTGGTGCTCAGGCATACCGATTTTCCCTGTCATGGTTCGTCTCTTTGTGACTCCCACTTCGAGCTTCGATCCTTAGATAATTCGCTAACCTCGGCTTGTTTAAATCTGTAGGTCCCGCATTATCCCTCTCGGCGGTCGGAACGATCCAATCAACCAGAAAGGCATACAGTTCTATCAGAAATTTGTAGATGACCTGATTGACGCGGGCATTACGCCCATGATTACCCTCTTCCACTGGGATCTTCCAGATGAGCTCGACAAGCGCTATGGCGGACCTATCAACAAGGAGGAATTCGTTGCCGACTTTGCACATTATGCTCGCTTGGTGTTCGAAGCGTTTAGATCCAAGGTCAAGTACTGGATTACCTTCAACGAGCCTTGGTGCATTAGTGTCCTTGGATACAACAATGGTTCCTTCGCCCCGGGTCACACGAGTGATCGCACCCAGAGCGCGGTGGGAGATAGCTCGATTGAGCCTTGGATTGTCAGCCACAATTTGCTCGTTGCCCACGGAACTGCGGTGAAGATTTACCGCGATGAATTTAAACAACGTGACGGTGGGGAGATTGGCATTACGCTCAACGGTATGCACCCATGCTCCCCGCTCCCGTGGATGTATGAAGAGCGTTAACTAAACAGATCATTGAACAGGTGACTGGGCTGAGCCCTGGGATTCTGGGAACCCAGCCGACGTGGAAGCCTGTGACCGCAAGATTGAGTTCGCCATATCATGGTTCGCCGACCCGATCTACTACGGCAAGTATCCAGACAGTATGATCAAGCAACTTGGCGACCGTCTGCCAAGCTGGTCACCAGAGGACATTGCCCTTGTCCAAGGCAGCAATGACTTCTACGGCATGAACCACTACTGCGCGAACTTCATCCGCGCTAAGACGGGAGAGCCAGACATCAACGATGTTGCGGGCAACCTGGAGCTCCTGCTAGAAGACAAGAACGGCGTGAGTGTCGGGCCTATCACACAGTCCCCCTGGCTGCGACCATCTGCTATCGGGTTCCGGAAACTGCTCAAGTGGCTCAGTGAGCGATACGGGTACCCCAAGATCTATGTCACTGAGAACGGAACAAGTGTCCTGGGTGAGAACGATATGCCACTTGAGGAATTGCTTAACGATGATTTTCGCGTGCAGTATTTCCAGGATTACATCGGTGCTGCGGCTGATGCGTATACCCATGACGGTGTCAATATACGGGCTTACATGGCTTGGAGTCTTATGGAGTACGTTTAACGCTGTCCCCTTGATTCTTATGGCAAAAATTTCCGACTGATTGGTTTAATTACAGCAACTTCGAATGGGCCGAGGGCTACGAGACCCGCTTCGGTGTGACGTTTGTCGACTATGAGAACGACCAGAAGAGAATTCCAAAGAAGAGTGCCAAGGTGATTAGCCAGATCTTTGATCAGTTGATTGAGAAGTCCTGAGCTAGACGCGCTGAATTGATCTTTACACTGGTGGACTCCGGCAACTGCCATGATACCTGGATTCCATAGGAAGGGTTTGAGTGCACCTGATATTTGGCTTTCCAGTCATTCTGTACTTTGGTGCATAACGTAGCAAAACCTGCATGGTTGTGGCAGATAGAAACAGTAGAGACGAAGGGATATCACATGCTGAGTTGCGAAATCTTATGAGAAGAGCCTGGAGTGAAAGAAGATAGGGGTCGACTATACATGCAGACGTATAGGAATCCTCATGCTTTACGTGGGCTTGACATAATCCATCTCATCAGAGTACGCCCTGAACCCTGGCCGCTTTTATAGGATACCAAATTTGACCATTTTGTTTAGAGCTAGGTGATCTTGTGACATGTATTAAAATGTACACTGCACAGCGAGACCCGGATTGTTCACAGATTTGACCTGAGCTATGTCACTTTCAGATATCTGTTTGAAGCATCAATCACACAATATAAACCAAAGCTAGTCGATTGTACAATTGTAGAGTTACAACCGATTCCCCGAAAAGGCAATCTCAGTGCCTGAGAACCCAGCCCCGCCCAAGATTTCACCAACTCCCCTAAGATAACTCCTCAAAAAACTTTAGATAGAGGCTCTATCCTTTGACTCAGGTATCATCAAGTTTTACCTAGACCTCCTGTGGATTGGAAGCTTATACACCTGATGCAAATTCCGATCGGGAGCTTAGTAAATCCGCCTCCGATGGAGATATTCTCTCCATTCACACAGCTCGAAGTTACGTGTAACAAATACAGTCCTGAGGAACAATATGGACATATCTCAAATCTCCAAGCAGCTTTTGCCAGCACCCAAGAGATTCCCAGATTGTTGCTTGGCCATCTCCAGCACCTTGATCACCTACCTTGCTTCGCTCCTGCCAAAAACCCCCAAATTCACCATCTCAATTGGTAGCGGATCTGGTCTCCTTGAAGGTCTCCTTGTGCATTGCGACAAAAATGTATTAGTGGAGGGTGTTGAGGTGGATTCAACCATCAATCGGTACATAGCCGAAGAAGATATGAATATCGTTGGCGGAGGCTGGAGCCTTTGGTCTGCCGCTGAACAGGCTACAGCGTGGATGTTTGTCTACCCACGCGATCCGAAACTCATCACCAAATACGTTGATACACATGGTCGTGAAAATGTTGATTTTATCGTCTGGCTCGGGCCTCGGGTCGATTGGCCGGACTATGAGCCGCGTTTCGGTCAATCTCCATTCTCCGAGTTGAGCTTTCCAGATCATATCGGACTAACACCATACGAGACTGTGGTCATTGCTAGAAGGCCAACTTGATCGAAAGCCATTCCGTGTCGTGACTTCGGAAGATTATATATTGTATTGTACACCTCGTGCATTGAAGGTGGGTTTTCTTGTGTTTTGTTATTCACTAAGAGCTTAGTTTCTCTTTTTCTTCCCTTCGGTCTTCATATATTACTAGAATAGTCGACTTATGCAGCCTTGTGACGTCTATTTGGTAGTTGTGAAATTCGCTCTCAAAATCTTTTGCGAAGTCTTTCGACAGGTTTATATTGTTATATAACAACCCCCCCCCCCCTTGTTGATGTGTTAGCTAGAATATAAAGGGTGCAAAACGGCAAAAAATGTGCAAAACAACTCTTACGTTTGACCTTTGACAAGAAGTCTCGGCCAAGTTTGCGACCTTGTCAGGTATTTCTATAGTCTTTCAATATGCCGTCACCTGCCAAATACCCAATGGCTAGTGGCATCGTATTGTATTCAGGTGCGAGAACCTGGTATGTCGTTTCGTATGTCTCTTTTTAGATTAATTTCCCATTGTTTGTCTTACAGCCCGAGTACAAGCAGTAACAATAGCCTAAAATGTACGAAACGACTTTGCCATGTTATGCAAAGATGTCTGCCTGAACAGATTCCACCAAAGGCTTGGGAATTTCTTGAGATTCCTAGCGAATAAAGCAGAGAATTCTACCTTGGAAGAGTCAGGCCAAGCGTGGCATTGTGTTGAGTTCACATAGCCAATTAGGAAAAATTCCCGAAGAGATTCTAGACATCTTCGAAGAGATCATGCCGCCTCAACGAGGATGATACTCGGGTGCCTCAACCGTCTGGGCACATTATAGCCCTACCAAAGTTAGAACACTTGCAATCTCTTTCAGGGGTCTATTTGATCATGTTCACAGAAAGAATGAATCAGCAGCCCCTCAGCTGTATTGACTAGTGCCTAGCTGTCTCTGAAAGTAATTCAGTTATTTGAATCTAAAGCGCATACCTAAAATGCTTGGACTCTCTATCCGTCAAATCGTTAAAGCCATCGAAAATAGCATGAGAGGCTATCTCCTCCGGTGTCTCCAGACGGCCCGCCGCAACCTCTGCAGCATCCCTCCTTGCATTCTCCCATTTCATCGATATATATGATGCACATGCTAGAACAACAATTCCCGCATAACAAATGAGCAGGCCCAGCAAGCCCGAGTAATAGCGCGGGGCCTCGCGAGTGAAGAAGATATTTGCTCCGGCGACATTACCAGCCGCATATAGCGAGAACCAGAGACCATTCGCGACAGCACGCTTGGTGTGGCCGGCGACATTGGTGGCAAGTAAATTCCACGAGATAATGACGGGAGCACCGATGAGATACTGCAGCCAGGTGCATCCAACTAAAGTCCAGGGATGGTCGAGACTGGTAAAGCGGATGCCCAGCAGACCAGCGAAGGGAATCAAACAGACAACTGCGAGAACAATGCAGCGTGAGTCTTTAACGTATGTTGCGATGATGCCGCAGATTGGAACAACCACCGCTTCGACCGCACCTGTAGGTAGCTGGAGGAGTGTAGCGTTGATCCCACTGAAGCCAAAGCCTTTGATCAAAGCGGATGCGAAATTCGATGAGCCGCCGTTAATCACACCGCAGGCGATACCGACGCCCGCGCAGCAGAGAACTCTAGGGTCGTAGAGAATCTCCAGTGCCTGGCGTGGTTTGATATCTCGGGTCTTCACCCCGATCATGTTCTCGGCGACACGCTGCACGGCGATCACGCGCTGTCGGTGGGTTAGGAAGCGGGCAGAGCCGGGTGAGTCGGGCATGACCCAGACGAAGACACAGGCGCAGAGGAAGTTGAGCAGTCCGATGGTTAAGAAGATTAATTGCCAGCTGCGGAGCGCGGTGTTGTGTGAATGGCCGAGGCCGAATCCTAGAAGTGCTCCTACCATCGTGGCCATGCCGTTTGCGCTGAGCCAGACGGCCATGCGCAAGGGTTGTTCAGAGCGCTTATAGAACATTGATGTAAGATTCATCACTAGATCGAACAAATCATGTCAGTGCTTCTCGTTTCTTTGGTTTGTGCTGTGGGCTCCTCACTGCACGGACTGACTCCGGCTTCTGCCATGCCCAAAAGGAATCTCAATACCAAGATCCCTGGGTAGTTCCTTGCTCCTACATGTGCAATAACGAGTACACTCCAGAAAAAAAGCATCATACCCATGTACTTTGCAATTGGCAATCGCTGAATTAGGAGGTTGGCTGGGAGGGCCCAGAAGAGATAGCCGAAATTGAAAATAGCCGCAACCCATGAGTATCGCTGGCCTTCAAGAGCAAGGTCTGGGATTAAGGAGTATGCCGATGCATAATTAAGTGATAGCTTGTCTACACGGACATGTTAGTTACGGAATAACAACGGAGACATGCTCTTGCATACCGAGGAATTGAATAACATAGGTTAGGTAGAGCTAGAACACAGCAGACTGTCAGAACTAGTTCTCACCAAAAAAACAGAGTGATTAATTACCATGGGCATAATCCGCCAGTCAAGAATTTTCAGCACCTCTGCGCCCTCAGTCTCCAGTTCCTCGGGAGTTAACTGCTCTGCCTCCAGGTACAGATTCGCTCCGATATCGTGAGTCTCGCCAAGTACAACATGGGTAGTATCTTTCTCTGCGGTGGATCGATCCAATTTTGTGTCGTTGGAATTCATTTCAAGTAGCGAGGATCAAGTTAAACAGAACTGAGAAGTCCCCACATGCAAGTCCAGCGATTTATTGTACACAAGATCCGAGCAACGATATGACTCGTTACCTCCGCCAAGAAGATAAGCATCAATGTTTCTCCATCTGCAAGGTAATCTTTGGTCAAGTCGTTGAGATAGGAGATACGGCCAATAGTCCGCAAAAAACGTGTGGGGAAAGCGGACTATCCCCCGCTACGGGTTGTTATACTTGGTCCTGTCTAAGACTTGGAGAATCACTCAAAAAATCACTGGCATTTTACTTGCATTTCACCTACATCTTACCAGCCTTTTTAAGAAGTATATACCCCTTGCCGCCTTGGCCCACTAAGTCTCAAGCTTTGCGCGATTAGAGACTAGTATCTCTGAGCTCCAATCCGCGCTTTCTTCAGGGTTTCTCACTAGCGTGGGCTTAGTAGCACGATAATCACGAAACATCGGCGCGTACGATATAAGTGATTCAAAGCTTTCTGCTATCCTAGTCCTAAATCTATACACCCTCGATAAAGTAGCTAGCTCCGATACCCGGCGCGTAGTAGGTCTACTGCCGCGTACATAAGAGGGTGTCCCTTACCTCGTAAAAGATAGTATCAAAGCTAAAGGTATAACCGTTATAAGCGGCTAGCCTACGTTAGAGACTCTTACTGCTAATAAGGATACTACCTATATCCAAATTCTCCGCGAAATCGGCGCCGCGCTTCTCGACCGGACGAATATACTCGCCATAGCGAATGGTTATTCCAGGCGCCCTAAAAGTTTATATAATCCTTTATACCTAGCTATCATAGTTTTATTCATAATTACAAGATGGAACATCTAGTGTTCCATCAATGTACATTGGGGGCGATGACTCTTCTCTTTCCACGGCCAGCGAAGTTAACACCCGATGGTCGAGTCCTGCTTTAGCGCAGATTATCGTAGTTATCACAGCTCATACGAAAGAGAGCTCGACAACGGGCAAGTTGATCTTATAATGAAGACCTGGTATCGCCAAAATAGATGCAAACTTTCCTTCCACTACTCGATTCTTTCACACTCCTAAAATACGTGCAAAGCCCTCCCCGAATTTACAATCTCGAATTAAAAATCATACTCTACCAAGCTTTGATGCATGCTCCCATAAATCATATCTTCAACCATCGCCAAAGCAGTCTGGTGCACATAATCCTTCCTCAGCTGCTCCAAGTGCATTTCAGCCCCTTCCAGAGACACCGTAGCACTATAGTTGACTTCAAGTGTGCCGGAATTCCACATGATCTTCTGTCGTACGAACTCAAGCCAGCCAGAGTAGCTATACATGTAGCAACAGCCTGTTGGTTGTTCTGTCTAATGCGCTGTTGATCCTGGATATCAGTGACATGGGCCGTCGCCCAGACAATGTGCAGCATCATGATTCCTGCTCGGAATTGGAAGACAAGCCAATGACAGATTGATTATTAGCCAAACCAGATCACCTCAAGTACATCACGATGGAAGAAAAATTGGGGGTTGACGCGTATTGACCAGGTATGCACATCACATGTCCTTCTTCCTGTACGTGGCGAAAATTGAGACAGACTTCGGCACTCGTCACTTGAATTTCCTCTGTTCCATCCATTTCGGTGAAATCACGTTTCTGGTCTATCAAGGTCAAGAAACCATAAGCATACAAGCATTGAATCCTGGAATCTCGTGTCGCCATGCACCAAAAGCGGACTAGAATGAGGAGCTACAGTCTCACTATATCTAGTGAGAGATTTTAGGGCTGCTCCTCTCGCGATCGTCCGATCCTGGCTTGGAATTTGTGTAGTCGGAATAAGTGGCTTATGGCGAGGGTTGTGGTTAGGATTGGTAAAGGCTTTCACCCCGATTGCACATTTAACTTGCGGGTTAGTAACCGAGGACATATTTCGATAGTATTTGGGATATATCATCTATTACCCGTTCCTCGAGCTGTCTCAAGCATTCCAGCGAGATTGTGATGTTATCTCCCGTTTTCTCAGACTGTGCAGGCAAAAAGTTCAGCACCCTTGCGACGACATTCGCCACATGAAGGATTCGCATTGATCACATTTCCTCTTGTGTTGAAAATAGCGAGCGTATGCTGTTTCACTATGCTTCAAGGGGCACGAAGTACAGCAATTGGGCATATACAAGAGTGAGAGGAAATGCAGGGAGACTCACGAAAACGAATTTGACCCGCGCCGGTGCGATGTAAGTGCCTGCAACAGGATGGTCTCGGCGATGTTGCTAAGAAAGGTTTTTTAAATCATATATGCCAATTCCCTGGTAAGTATATAACATTGTAAGGAGAATTTAAAAGATCATCGTCAAGTCAGCTCAACTGGAAATAAGGTCCAAGGCCATAACATCGGTCATAACATTCATCGTCTCATCGAGCCCGTGGAGAACTCTCGCCAGGCCAGGAAGCGACAGCGATGATCATGCTTTGATCCATTTTTGAGCCTTGGTGTCATATCCAATCAACGTAGGATCAACATGTAGATTCTTGAGCATGAATTCCATTGTGAACTCCTAAGCAAAAATGTCAGCTCACAGATTCCGCCCAAACCACTGTCTTATCACAACACGTACCTCATCCTGACTCTCCTCCTCGCGATTGTTCTTGTTCAATAGATGGCCAGCAATATCCTCAGCGCCGGAATTATCAACGTTTTCCTCCTCTTCATTAACGTGCTTCCGCTCATAGCCCTCCTCATCAAACTCCCACCGAGCGGCATCACGCTTCGACTGCTCTTTCCAAGCCGCCATCCCTCCCATACGATTGACCCTTTCCTTGGCACCGACAAATACCTCATCAGCTGCGTCCTGGCTAGCGAGACGCCATTTGGTGATGAGCGTTGGTATCTCGATGTATTTGGGGTTTTTCTCGAGGTTGAGGGCCTGGGTTGCTATTTCGAGTTCAGTGGTGAGTGCATCGACCTTTGACTTGATCTCCCGGTGCTCCTTTTGCAGTTTTAGGATCTCTGGGTCGGAGGTTTGGAATGATTGTGAGAGTGGGGAACAGAGCTGTAGAATGCGTTTGCGCCTAGGAGGTACTGGAGTTGTTGTTGTTGTTGTTGTTGATTCTGGTGGATTTGATGTTGACTTGGACTCTACGGGGATGTCAGGAGTCACTGGGATATGAGTATCCTCAGGGGTCCTAGATGCGACAGGCTTAGATGGTGTGTCGCCTGTGTTTGTTGGTGCAGATCTGCGTAGCGGGGACTTGAATGGCTTTGAGAGTGCAGTAGCTGCGTCGGTGCGACGACGTTTGCTAGATGGCTTGTCCATGGTGTAGCAATTGGAAACAGACTTCAAAGGTTCGATGTGTTTGACAAAGAAACCCCAACATTTGGAGAAGCCAAGTGAAATGCGGAGATGCGAGATTCTTATCGATAAGCAACGGATTTTATCTACGAAAGGTCACGCTGAAATGCACACGCTATTATCCCTTTAATGACCAACTCCTCCTGCCACCCATTGCCCAAATTCAGGATCACCAGGCCGAGGGAAAAAGCCACGGTCGTTAGCGTTCTCGTTTCCATTCTGGGCATCGGCATTGGCATTGACATTCTCATTCTGTCGGTTGCGTTGTTGCTGTTGACGGAAATAAACCAAAACCAACAGCGTCGCAGCCAATCCAACAATGAGGAGACCCTCGAGCATTCCCTCGTCGATGTCGAGGTCCAGGTCATCATAGTAGCCATCCTCATGGCCTTCGGATTCCAAGCTACGATATTCATCATCTTCTCCCCGCTGTTGTTCGTAAAGGTCTTCGTAATAGCCCTCCTCGTCGTTCTCGATGAAAGCCTTGACCCATTCCTTGAAGGTACGACGGGGCTTTGAGTCTGGGGGCAAATCTAAGTAAGAAACTAGAAGGAAAGAATTTTGTTTCACGAGTAAGTGGAAATGAGTAGCTTACCTTCCTCCTCGTGAATGGGATTAATGTTTCCGTTGGTGATGCGATTCCAGTATCCTCGGACCCGAAGTTTGATCAAGCTGAGTTTCACTGGCAGATACGCTTCGGGGCTGAGGTCAAGAGCCAAGTCGTAATACCGCTTGGCCATGTGGAAATCCTGATCTACTGCCACACCGTTCTCGTGCATCCAGCCCAGATTCCAATAGCCCTGCGCACTATGGTGGGCTTCAGCAGCATTGTGGTAACAGATGGAGGCCTTGTCAGCATCGACCGGTGTACCCGTACCAGACAGGTAGTAATCGCCCATCTTGACCAAGGAGTCGATATTAGCTTGCTTCGAAGAGCGGGTCCAGTAAGTCAACGCCAGTCGCGAATTACGCATCAAGGAAGATCGAGCCTTCTCCACCCATGGAAGAATAGAACTGAGCGAGAGCACAGAGCGATGGTCATCAAGCAGATAAGCCACATTAGCCTGTGCGTTCTCATAGCCCTGCTCTGCTGCCATCATCGCTGGGATGAGAGCGCCCTCCTTGTCACCAGATTCGTAAGCAGTGTTTGCCTCCACAAAGGCTGAGTGGACGATCTCTGCTTTTTCTGCAACCATTTTGTAGTAGGCCGCGGCCACACCACAGTGCCGCTGTCTGCCAACACCGAAGTTGGCCATTTCCGCTAGGTAATAGTATGCCTCCATCCACCCCCAGCGGGCAGCGAGCTCGAAGTAACGTGTTGCGGTTGCCACGTCTCCTTGATCCAAGAACAGAGCACCCAATCGTGATTCTGATGCCGGAGAATCCTGCTCTGCCGCTGCTTTGAAGTACTGAGATGCCTTGAAGCCATCCTGAGGCACACCATAGCCCTTGAGATACATGAGACCTATCCAGTGCTGGCACAGAGAGTCCCCGTTTGCAATACCCCGTCGGAACCATGTGAGGGCAGTCGGGTAGTGTTGCTCAACCCCCTCCCCGCGAAGGTACATCAGACCAATATGGCCTGCGGCCTTAGACGCCAGCTTGTCGAGCCCTGCGGGGGGATTTGAGTTGATGGTCCCATCCTTGTTCCAATATTTCTTGGTAACAACCTTGAAATACCTCATAGCCCGTCGGAAGTTCCGCGGCAAGCCCCGGGCACCCTCGAAATTCATCTTACCAAGGGTGTACGTAGCCTTCAGCTCCCCCTTCCGGGACATGAGGTCCAAGTACTCCAGGATGTCTTCCACGCTGGCCTCGGGACTGGCATTGGCAGCGTCCCGCGCATTAACACCCGAGCTCGAAACACTGGCTCCTGGTCCGTAGACGCCACCTTCTTCATCTGCCCAGCGATAAGATTCTCGAACAAGAGCCCTACCACCAGGAGGACCTGAGCGGTAGTACTCGATCGCCTTGTCCGCAACCTTCTTGTAGTAGTGGATCGCGTGATCACAATCCTTCGGTGTTCCGATGCCAGTGTGATATCGATATGCAAGTGTCATTTCCGAACGAATGTTCCCTGATTCCGCTGCAAACTCATGGTACATCAGGGCCTTTGCCTGGTCGGGTTCGACCGCGCCGCCGATACCCGTCGCATACATGAACCCGACCATGTTCTGCGCTGTGTTATTTCCATCCAGCCATGCCAGTTCATGGTACCAGCGGAAAGCCTCTTCAAAATCGCGGGGATGGGAGAAATTGCCGTAGAAGTTCATCTCTGCTAACAGAAACATTGCATCCGGGTCTCGGTCTTCATCAGCAGCTGTTCTCAATTCCTCCACTGCTATCGCGAGATGTTTGTCCAGTTTTCGCTCTGGTTTTTCGGTCGAGGGGCCATTCAAAAATAGTAGTCGGACCGTTTGGCGGCCATAGTAAACCGCAGTCCCTAACAATCCTCTCGGTTTGTCGGACTGAAGGACTGGGTTTTTAGTTGTGCGAAGAATATCCCAGGCATTCTCAACTCGTTCTATCATCAGATGATCGAGTTAATCAGTATCAGTGGTCGGTCGATAAGGCGCGAGATATGGAAGCTGTCTCTACTCACGAGTCATGTGTCGGGGTTCTGCTTCCTCTGTCTGGAACGTGAATTCGTGATCGGCATCGTGGCCAGTTGCCCCAAACACTGTTTGGTCGGTGAGCGGCTGACCAGGCCCAGCTGCACAAGTCCGCAATAGCACTATAAGGGGGTGTCAGCTGTTGCTGTCCTGTGGGTGCGGGCAACTCTTACGTAGGGCCGAGAGAAAGTGTGAGAGCGGCGTCCTCATAATGCCTGCAAAATGTTGGTGTAATGTCGGAATGTGAAGCACATTGCGACCCTCAGAGCAATGTGAATCACAAAAGCGATAGAGCTGGGGTTCGTGATATGATGTAGTTCCAGAGTACGGGCCACTTGGCTTGACGGAGCTTCATTTTGCCGAGGGCCGGTCAAATTGTACCTGAATAGAATACATGTTGTACGTTTTCTACGTTTACGCATGTTTTGCAAAACAAGTACACAGTTAAGTCTATGTTTCAAGGTTCTATTTGTCCATCTTTTTTAACGTCTTCTTTAATTTATACACAAAATTAGGACGAAAGCCTTCCAAGATCTAGACTTCTCTTTAGAGCATCTTTAGAAGCGGTGATACAAGCTGTCAAAGCCTCGAAACCCAACGATCTCGAGGCATGCTTGTTTTCGACTCCCTACGAGTTACAGGAAAAAAGATTGGAAATGTCACAAACATTGTTGGAATCTACTCATCCCCTCTGCAGGATGTGTACAAAACAGAAAGCAGCAGTCAAAATACATCCCCGGTGCGCTTTCCCTGCGATAAAAAAAAATTTCGGGCAATTCCCCAATGGGAATCTGAGTCCGCACTCCTATTTCACAGTATCTATGAACGGTGTCCTCGATTCTGATCAAATTAGGTGGGGTCCCCGTATTCGCATTGGAAAATAGTGCACCGGGAAAGCAAAGCAATCTCAAAATGATGGCGGCTGGAACCAAACTGGCACGTGTTGTTGGTTAATTGGTAAAAAAAAAGACTAAACAGATACAAGAATGGGTAATCCCCGAGTTCGTGAAAAAAAAAATTATCAATCATTTCCGAGATGTGTAGCGCGAAAAGATCTTTTTTGTTTAGTGGTTGAAGTTCAAGTTGATGATGGTACAGGTGCGGAACACGAGCCTGAGAAAAGCAAGACGTTTTCGTACCATGTTCACTGGCGCGGCGAGGTAGGGCTGTACGCCGGGGATGTCGGACTGTACGCCGGAGATGTAGGCGACGTTGGGGAACCAGAGAAATTTGGAGAAGTCGGCGAGTATGACTGCGGGCTCGTGGGGGACCAGCCAGGTGAAGTTGGTGTGTACTTGGGAGAGGTGGGAGATGTTGGAGACAAGTGCCGAGCGCCACTGATCGCAGGACTGGTGGGGCTGTAGCTCGGCGAAGTCGGACTGAATGCAGGCGAAGCCGGACTAAAGCTGGGGGAAGTCGGACTGTAGTTAGGCGATGTCGGCGAGAACCCAGGCGAAGTTGGAGAGTATGACGGAGAGGTGGGCGACGCTCGGCCATACGCGGGCGAGGTCGGCGAGTAAACCGGAGACGTCGATTGGAACGTTGGGCTGGAAGGCGAGAAGCCGGGAGAGGTCATCATGCGCGGGCTTGTCATGCCGATGACAGGGGAGGTCGGTGAATAGCTGGAAGACGGAGAGAACACAGGAGACGTCGGGCTAGTGTTAAAGGGACTTATTGGAGGGTAGTCAAGGGGGGAGAGCCCATCACAATAGGTAACGGTAGACTGGTACTCGGTGAGACCTCCAGCAGACTCCTGGCCAGTGTGGTACATGGGCGAGAACGGCGCAGGGAGGTCGCCACTGGTCATGCACGGGGAGCTGGCCATAGGAGAACCAGTATCATACTGGGTGGCAGCACCGTCGGAAATGATGGCATCCTTCGCGCCAACCACACCCATAAGGCCGTAGCTTGCATTGCTAGACACGACGGTGTTGAGCAAGTTCTGGTCCAGGTAGACGTCGAACTCACCCGTTCCGGCGGGTGCCATCTGTCCAAGGATCAAGTTCTCCGACACACCACGGCAGTCGTCGAGCTCTCCAAACGCAGCAGCCTCGAGCAGGATCTCAACTGTCTCTTCGAACGAACAACGCATAAGGGCACCGTTGTCCGCACGATTGATACCATGACGAGTGACAGGAGTCAGATAACCACGAACAGTCATGACATCGACCAGCAGAGCCAAGTGACGGTGATTAACGTACGAACCGTCAAATGCAAGCACCAGGGTCAATTCGCGAAGCACAGCTGTACGGGCAGCCTCAATACCGAAGACTTCGAAAATCTCGATAAACTGATTAGAGTACGTGCGGGAGGCGTCAACTCCCGGAATCGTAAGCACAGCAGCCAAAGAAGATCCACTAGTTTCCAAAACCCATTCCTTGCAAAGAGGATCAGACTTGCTGGTGTGGAGCGTACCATCCTCGATGACTCGAACCTTGCTCTTCTCGTTGATGAAAGCACGGTCTACTCCAGGAACACCACGAAGGGTCAAAGTGTCCAGCAGGTGCTGCTCAAGCTTCTTGAGTGTGACGTCGTACTCAACATCTTCGTCATCGTCATCTTTGTAGTCTTGGACCTGACGAATACGAATAACTTGCTCGTCGGCGTTGTTATCACTGAAGATGACTGCAATGTCACGAGGATATGCCTGCTTGATCCTGGTAGCAACATCCTGGACAGTGAGACCCTTGTCAAGAAGAGAGCGGCGACTAAGGACGATACGGAGTAACCACTTCGACTGCTGAGATACATCATCTGCATTATCTTCAGGGATGATGAAGTAAGACTCCACCATATCTCTATCATTCTCGATGACAGTGGACTGAATGTCGGGATCATAGTAAATCTCTGTCGACTCCGTCACAGACCGTAGACTAGTGTGCTCCACAAGACTTCGAAGAAGTTTGGCACCCTCCTTATCGTGGGTCATCATGCCTTCTTGGTAAACAGTCATGGACGGCGTCTTGATGTTCGTAGCAACGTTGAGAATTTCTTTGAGACGTGGAACTCCAAGCGTAACGTTCTTGGATGACACACCAGCAAAGTGGAAGGTGTTCAGTGTCATTTGAGTCGCGGGCTCACCAATGGATTGAGCCGCAAGAACGCCGACCATCTCACCAGGGTTGGCTGCCGCACGAGCGAAGCGACTTTCAATAGCACCCAATACGTGCTGGAATGCTAGCTTGTTGAGGGAGTAGTCTGTGACAAGCCGGCGGAAAGCGAGACGACTGCGCAGTTGTGCCTTGAACAACAAAGTTGCGTTAACCTGAGCCTCCTGTGAAATGGGATCGTTACCACGAACGATCACCAAGCGATCCAGGAGCTGTTGAACTTGAGGGATGACCTCAGCAGGGTGCAAATCACTGATAGTGCCTTCGCGAATACGGAAAGTGGTCCGGGCCATTTCGAGGATACGCTGGACATTGATGGGAAGCTGCATCATCTCCTCATCCTCCTTGACAACAGTGCGCAGGAACTCACGGTCTTTGAGAATGGCCTCCCATTCCTCATCAAAGTATCTCTGTACCTCGATGTCGCCGGCAATTTCATTGGCTTGTTCTAAGATCTCTGGGCCGAGAGTTCGCTCAGGATCCATAACATCAACACGGAATCGCTCCATGAGCTTCGCATCGGAACACTTGATGTGGTCGACACGCTGGTTTTCAATGTGGGCACCGTCAAGACCATCCTCTCCGTAGATGAACTGAATGATATCTCCAAGGGAGTTGCGCACAGTGCCATCGTATTTGACCATGACTTCCTCAAGTGCCTTGACCAGCTTACGCTGGATGTAACCAGTTTCGGCAGTCTTGACAGCAGTATCAATCAGACCTTCACGACCAGCCATAGCGTGGAAGAAGAACTCGGTAGGAGTCAATCCACGGAGGTATGAGTTCTCAACAAATCCACGAGACTCAGGAGAGTAATCATCCTTCGTAAAGTGAGGAAGGGTACGATACTTGAAGCCAAACGGAATGCGCTTGCCTTCCACGGACTGTTGTCCGACAAGGGCAGTCATCTGCGAGATATTGATGGCCGAACCCTTAGAACCGGACCGCGCCATTTGGATGGCATTGTTCAGATCCTTTAGACTCTTTTCTGTGGCATCACCGGCTTCATCACGGGCATTGTTCAAAGCACGAGAGACCTTGCTCTCGAATGTCTCACGCACATTCATACCAGGAAGGGCCTCCAGTGTGTTCTCAGTGGCACTAGCCGTAATCTCCTCGACTTCCTGTTTTCTGTTACGAACGGCCTCTTCAATCTTGTTGATAGTGTGTTGATCAGGAATGGTGTCACCGATACCAATGCTGAAACCGTTGTGCAGTAACCAGTACCCGACAATGGTTTGAGCTCCACTGAAGAATTTGACACAAGTGTCAGGGCCATACTCATTGAAGATGGTGTGAATCACACCACCACCACTGGCACCGACCGTCTTCTTGGAGAGCATTCCATACATCAGCTGTCCGCCGTGAATCAGGAGACCTCCATCACTGAGAGGACTAAACTTCTCGGCCAAAGGCGAGCCATCCTTGTCAACACGTAGAAGGTTGAGACCCGAGGGGAAAGCCATACTGATCATCTGCTTTCCAGTCCAACGAGGGCGAGGCTTAAGAATTGCGGGAGGGGGAATGGCACCATCCCAGTCAGGGACCCACAACATGAGGTTCATAACTTGGTCCTTGGTGAGGAAGGTGTCACGACGGCAAATCTTGTAGATACCACAGAGGGTGTCCTGCACAATACCCATCAGAGGACCGTTACGCTGCGGAGAAACAATGTTCTTCGGGACCAAAGTGAGCTCAGCGAGCTCAGCGCGCGCCTCTTCACCCTGGGGGACATGCAAGTTCATCTCATCACCATCGAAATCAGCATTGTAGGGACTGGTAACAGACAAGTTCATGCGGAATGTGGAGAAAGGCATTACGCGGACACGGTGACCCATCATGGATTCCTTGTGCAAAGACGGCTGACGATTGAAAAGAATGTAATCGCCGTTGTCAAGATGGCGCTCGACCTTCCAACCATACAGCAGTTGCTGGGCACCCGCACGCTTAGCGTGACGAAGATCAATACGTTCACCGTTGTCACGAACAATGTATCGCGCACCAGGGTGAATGTTGGGTCCATTTGCAATCAACTTCTGAAGTTTCTCAATATTCCATGGGGTAACAACTTCCGGGTAGGTGAGAATGCGAGCAGTTGAG